ATGGGGCTTTGAGGTTTGTTCATTAATCCTCGACTTGTGAGGCACGATTCCTGGATCCTAACTGCAGCAGTGGGCGTTCAGGGGCATTGGGACCTTTGCTCATCTGAACCTACTGAGACATTCGACTTAGCAATCCTTGGTGCACCATTCGACAAGACTGTAACATATCGGCCCGGAGCACGCTTTGGCCCACGGGACATCCGGCATGCGTCAGGTCGCCAGTATTCTCTGCGAGGATTCAACCCACGCGCCAATATGAACCCATACTAAAATTGGGCCAAATTATTGCGGTGATATTCCAATCACTCCTATTGGTAACAACATCGCTCAAGAGCAGATGACTCGGGCTTTGAAAGAACTTGGCAAGAGGAAAACTGTTTCTCTCCTGGCTGCAAAGCCAAAATTCATTACCTTATCAGGTGGGGATCATAGCCTTACACTTCCCGCTCTACGAGCGCTAAATAAGATCTACGGGAAGACGATCCAGGTACTACATTTCGATAGTAGGTCGATTCCAAGCGTCATATCCCCGTCTGGTCTTGCTAATACACTGAACCAGCTCATCTCAATACATGGAACCCGAACGCGTATCCTCGTACTGGGGAGCAACACCTTTCAACCACGGCTCCATATTCTGGCTAGCAAATTAGGAAGGACTTGTCTCAAATTTATCTTCCGAACTATCCGTTTATGCCGGTCTGCGTACTCGAGGATGATACTGCTTAAAATTGGAAACGTTTCTCCTCTGACGATGTTGATACCCTCGGGATCTATTGCTTCTGTTCTGAGTGCCAGTCTTTGTTCATTTGTGGCTAAGTCTATTTTTCAGTGCTTTTATGATTCAAACAACTCAGAAAAGCGAAATCTGATTGGAAGTAACACGAGGGGCTTATGAAGCTGTACTGACGATAGCTTCACGTAGGTTGTCTCTTAATTGCAAGCTAATGGGCGCGCAATAGCGATTCCACGCCACAGTAGGAGAACAAGACGAGAGTGACTAAGTCTGTGCTGCCGTAAACCACCCATAACAGGCTTTAACCGGAGTCCATGAGAATTGTCTAAGGTACCATAAGCTTCTAAAGACAGTGAAAGAATGTCGGGATACATGTCCGTAAAAGGCATAGTCTACCGCGTGCGAGACTTCTTCTCGGCGATTCGGCTGTTAGGCCCACAACAGGTAGTCACTGCACATCGGAACATATAAATAGGTAAGGTAGTCAGTCTTGTCACAGGTATCCCTTCTTACTTTCTTCTCACCCAAGTTCTCAGTCATCTGGACACCAACGAACGGAAATATGGCATCCTCAACTCAAACTGGCTGGTTTCTGCCAGCCGACTCAGCTCGACATCAGTGTGTTCTGATGGCTTACCCCAACACCACATCCGCCAATGCAGGCAACCTGCTCGCGAAAGCCCAAAATGAAATAATCAGTATTGCAAACGCCATCGCGAAATTTGAGCCCGTTGTGCTCCTGTCGAGTTCCGAAACGCTACAAAAAGTCAAATCTGAGATTACCCAAACGAATATTTCTGTTCTGCCCGTTGAGCAAACAAGCCATCTGTGGATCCGAGACTTTGGTCCTGTTTTCGTCAAGTCTCAGGCTGGTGATGCGTTGCATGGGGTCGATTTCAACTTCAACTATTGGGGAGGAAAACGCTTGCCCTCCGGTGATGAACTCATTGCTGAGATAGCGACAAAGTACATGGTTGGTAGTTCAGCTCTTCAAGCCAATATCACCGCCGAGGGTGGTGGAATGGAAGTTGATGGAGAGGGTACGTTTATGGCCGCCGAAAGCGCCATCGTCAACGATAATAGGAATCCAGGCAAGACAAGAGAACAGATCGAGAAGGAATTGTCTCGATTATTCGGGGTTGATAAGTTTCTCTGGCTTGCTGGCGAGGTCGGCAAAGAGACAACGGACTGCCATATCGACGCTCTCGCTCGGTTTATTCGTCCTGGAATTGTCCTTCTCAGCAAGCCATCCTTACAAGGTTCCGGTAAATACGCTCGTGCGTACGCAGACGCGAAAGCAAAACTGTCTAACGTTACTGATGCTCAAGGCCGAAAGCTCGTACTCTTCGACTGTCTTGAGCCCAACCTGGATAAGCTGGACAATGTCTCACAAGGGGAGAACTGTGTAGCTTCTTATGTCAATTTCCTGACTGTCAATGGAGGAGTGATCATTCCGCGGTTTGGTGATGAGGAGCGAGATACGGAAGCCTTTCGGCTGTTCGAGAAACTTTTCCCTGATCGTGAGGTAGTCCAGGTCCATATTAACGCACTACCACATATAGGGGGAGGCATCCATTGCGCCACTCAACAAGTTCCCGCCTTCACTAAGCATGAAGTTGTTCTATAAAGTTATATCATGCCTCCAGAGGGCAACATTTATTCCTCCCACAAAGATCGGGATACTGTCCAAAAGAGAAACAGACTATATATTATCTTAGTACACAAGCAATTATATCGAACTTGCTCCGTCTTTTAGGAAAATACTCCAAATCGGTCTCTAGCTCTAACATGATAGGATCTTGCATTCTATTGAGCATGGTGATAATCTCGGTAGATGGTATTCGAACGCCCTTCTGCTCCTGACACTCGCGCTACTTTAATCGCGGCCGAACACATGGGCGAGTATTCCATCACATCCACCCAGTTACCATCAATCCTTGTGAATACCTAACCCACCTAACCCACCAGTGGTGCCACGGTAATACTCGCGAATTGAGATTCGATGATGGGGTTTCCGGTGCAACCACAGAAAGAGCTGCACTTGTCATGTATTTGTTATCTGGGGTTCACCAGCCAGGCAAAAGCACAAGCCCAGAAAGGAAGAGATCAACTAGCCCATCCTGCCCAAAGCAATCAAGTTACCACATTGCAATAACAAACCGTGTGTGGAAGGCCGCAATATCCTTGATAACAGGCTAACAAGATGCAAGTGAGCCGTATCTAAGCGAGCTATATCCTCCTTCTTCCCGTAGGCTGAAATGGAACCACAGCGCTTGAATCGGCAAAAAGCAAAAATATCTGTGACGTCATGCCCATCCAAAGGTCAAACCCCCAACAAGGCGCCCTTTTCAGAGAGGCACAGCGTCGTATTCTGGTCGCATTCCGCAGACTTCGGCTCGTTATGAAGCGAGGCAAATAAGACTATTCTCGGAAGGTGGGATCCAACCTTTGAGTTGACGATCATCGTACCTAAGTACTAACCATCATTTGGTTATCTTTCCCATAGCCTCAGTTAAATCATAGTAAGATTGGTCGATATTTTTTGGAGTTTTCTCGATTTGATAACTTAACGCTACTTGTATCTCATAAACTCCTGGACCTAGCTATATCATAAAACACTTCTCTTCTCTTGCTTCCATTCCTTTTTGATACGTTGAAGTAGTCTACAGGTAGGGTCTAGTGCTTTCTAGGGTTTAGGGTATGACTTATCTGCGCTAATGTAGGGTTGTAATTTCGGGATGTGGAGCACTTCGGCTCTCGCAGCTAAAAGGGTGATTGGCGCAGGGGCAAGGCCAAAATAATGCTATTATAAACACTACCTATAGGGCGGAGTAGTCTAGGGATCAGGGAAGTTGTCCCGGAGAACATTTCTAGCATTGAATCACGGTGATATCTAATTCGCCTTTCTTTCCTTTCCCTTCCCCCCAAACCTATCGAATTATCACACCCTGTAAGGTACATGATGCTACCTGTCTTATTACTTCAAAGGACGAGGATACTGCTCATGCGATTCATTCACTCCTGGGAAAAGAAAGAAGGACAGAAGGAACCCACGTTGTCCTTCCTTTCTCAGACCATGCGCGTATAGCGCATGAAGTGGCACCATGGGTTTATCCTGGGAAGTGCTGCCGTACGGCAAGGAAGAGCTTCCACCAATCATTTATCCTGTACCCTAACCACCTTACCCATGGGGGCAAGAAGATCAGCATAAGCAATGTGACGGGGCGCGTAGCATATTCAGCCGTTGCTCACTTTTGAAACAGATGTTTCCGGCTGATGCCGAAAACATTACATGTATTAAAATGTGAGTTTGGACTGTCCAATTTCGTCTTTTAAGTTTTGAAGGTTGACTATATCAAGGCGAGATACTGAATGGTAGAAGATAGGTTAGACTTCATGCCCAATGAAGCGATTTTCAGGTCGTCTTGTCTAAAAGTCTCCTTTGTTGGATGCGATGTTGTGGAAGGCATCGAGAACAAATGCCTCCACCTTGGCGCGCTTCAAATGCACCCAAGGGGCACCCCCTTAAATTTGCCGTGCCCTAAATTGGAAGAGGCAGTGTTTGGGGCTGGGGAAGACTTCAGATAAAGTGACAGAGAGAAATCAAGAGCTGCCTAAAACAGCTACAATAATCGTTAGGCTATACGACCTTTGGCCCCATCTCGAGTAATCATAAGGCAGACATGAAAAAAAAACGGCTACATTCGGGAGAGGAAGAGTGTATATAAGACTTGTTGCTTGCCTCATCTATCTGAGTACACATTATCTGTCTTCAGTAGGCTGTCTAAGTCAACCTTTATCCGTCTTGGTTATCGTTGTTCTGTTACATTTCAATTACAACATCCTTTTTAGTCTATTTCTGGAAAATGTCTCTCAAATCAGTCTTGTTCCTTGCCAGCTTGGCATTGGGCCATGTTATACAGCCTAGAAGCTTCTCTTGTCAATCACCCCAGCTCACCCAGGAGCAGGTTGAGATTGCCCAAGAGATGTCCATCAAGGAGAAATCTATGCGCAAGTCTGGTATGACTATCCAGGCTTCCATCAGTGTTGATGTCTGGCTCCACGCAGTCTCAGCTTCCGAGAGCGGTCTCAGCTCCGACTCTGCCCTCCAGAACCAGTTCAACACCCTTCAGAAAACATTTTCGCCCTACAATATCAACCTCAACTACGCCGGCAAGACAAAGACTGTCAACGCCCAGTGGGCCAATGAAGGCAACAATCAGGAAATACCCATGAAGAAAGCTCTGCGCCGTGGCAACTACCAGTCTATGAACATCTATATCGTGGATGTTCTCCCTACTGCTTCCGGGTACTGTTACTATCCTACCAATGCCCCCCAGGGCTCTGATGCCTTCTATATTGACGGCTGCACTCTGGCCAAGTCGGCCATGGGCCTAATAGCCGCTCACGAGGCAGGCCATTGGCTGGGTCTCGCGCACACTTTTGATGGTAACAACTGTGACGGCCCTGGCGATAATGTCGACGATACTCCTGCCCAGTCTGGCCCCAGCAGCGGGTGCCCTGCGAGTCGGGATTCCTGCCCTAACCACCCTGGTACTGATCCTATCCATAACTACATGGACTACACGTCTCCGTAAGTAAGATGAACGCCATTTGGAAATCTTCCGCTGACCCTGATTAATAGTGATTGCTGGACTGAGTTTACGCCCGGTCAAATTGATCGTGTCAACAGCCAATGGAACAGATATCGCGCTTAAAGATAGCGGCATGTTTAGTAGAATGCTGCCATGAGGGCATATGGAGGTCGACTACCTAGCAGGGCTACTTTTGTTTATACTTGATTATGTTTGCTTTTAGCCCTTAGACTAGGTATTATATTGGAAATTGGTTGATGAAGATACCTTATTGTCTTGAGCGAATTAGGTTTCGTAAGAGCCATGTGAAAAGAAGTAAGATGTGTATTTATCCAACCGAATGCACTATCGAGAACGTCTGCTCCATGAATTGGAGAGATATAACTTTTACCCAGCCACTATATTCATTCTAAACTACTAGAAGCTGCCTTGATCCATTATGACCTCATGGTCTTACGGGCCCGCCAAAATAATTGCTGAAGTGGATGATGAGGTTAGTGGTAGTCGACTAAGTGAAGGCTCTTAGCGGGTTGAAATGTCTGCTAGTAAACAACAGTTTGTTACTCGATGAATGGAAAAACTTAGAGTCAAGTAAAGCTATCTTGCACAAGAGGCATGAATGCATTCATACACAACTTGAACAAATGAAAAGGCAAGAATATTAAATGAATACTAGGGTTCGGCGTCTTGATTTGGATTTTCGACATTTTCTATAGATCTAAGTTAGTAAAAACACATAGAGGCTACAAACAGCCAAGTATGAGGGTAATTATCACCGAGTGGAAGATTTGTAGCTCCCGTATCCCTAATTCGTGGATAGAAGAGGCGAATAGCAACGAATGCCCCCGGGATTGCCAGCACGAGAGTACATATGCCAAATATGATACCGTAAATGGCCTCGGGTTCCCATCGGGAACCTTGATTTAGCGAAGAATGTGTAAGGAAGGTACTGAGAGTAGTATCATGGCTGGTTTCATTTTCCATCGGCGTCTGCTCCTTTGAGTGGGTGATGGCATTCAGGGCATGAAAGAAGCTCTTAGAGAAGATAACAGTGGGCCAAAAGCTAATCGCAATTGAAAGTAGGCTTGAGAGCGAACACGAGCATCGAGTAAAAATGGTGGGGTCTCCATGATGAGAAATAACATCGAGTTTGGTCAGGTCTTATATAGCTATGGTGCACCCGTCCTATAGTTCCAGTAGGTTGATGAGCTTTCGCTCGTTGATCAGCTGAAATTTCTAAAATTGCAACTATTGCGATTTCACATTAACTTGACCCATGCCGTGCTACGTGCCATGCTAGTTGTTCTCGCATTCTCATCAGGGTTTCAAAATGAAGCCACGCCATATATTGATCATACTATGCGTGTCGGGTATGCTCGTGGGAATCAAACTCGTAGCATGATTCCCATAGATGTCCCTGTATGATTGAAATGGGAATCGTGCTGACCTGCATACAGCTAACTCTAAGTGGTATAGACTTGGGAAATCATGCTTATCACTGTCCGCCTCACCAAGCATCTGACTCTCGAGCCTTTTCGTCGGCAGAACCAAATTTCGCCCCGAAGTCTCCCTCCATCCCTTGTTGAGGGTTGGAACGGCCCCTCCTGTCTCCTGCATTCTCACCCAAGTGTTGACCAACCACGATGGATCATGGATGCCCCAATAGCTTTCGCTGGTAGTCGGCGCATGCATCCCCAAACGTGCGACACGCAGGGGGGATGAATGGATGGATGGACCGTGGTAGGGTTCTAAACTAACAACACGCCATAGTTGCATAATGCCCACGATTAATTAACGACAGTCACCGGTCGTACCGGAGCCGATTGTGATATAGCTTTTCATATTTCCCCAGTGTTAATTCGAGTTATATAGAATCTGTTTAGATTTAAAAACGAAAGTGTTTGTATTTATTTTAATAATTAACTTAATGAATATAAATACTAATAATTTCTACTATAGTAATAGAGAGAGTTGTCTACATACGCTCTACTCCGTATATCTTATCTAAGCCGCCTTGCGCAGACCAACGTTGTAAGCAGACAGAACCGGATTGATTGGCTGGAAGACGGTTGTGCCACCGGCCTCGCAGTTACCCGATGCTCCAGAGGTGATACCCTGGGCCTGATCACCGGTGTAAAAAGAACCACCAGAGTCACCGCCTGCAGCGCAGGCGCTGGTTCGGGTCATTCCAGTGACGCGTCCTTGAGAGTAGTTGACAGTCACCTTCAGGGCTGTGACCTTACCACAGCGGACTTGGGTGGTGGAGCCGGAGCGGCAGATGCTGGCTCCGACGGCGGATTCCTTACTACCCCTGACAGGGAGGCGGTTTTTGTCGCTTCCTCCCCATGGATTGATGCGAGCCATGAGGTTGAATGTCTTGGTGTCAACTTTGATGTAAGCCATGTCGCCCGATCCAGGGAAGGTAGAACCAGCGAAACTACCCATAGCCTGGTTGTTGTAGGTCACCTTGTTACCTGTCTTGCCACAGTGTCCAGCGGAGACGAAGCCATAACCGACGTTGAAACCGATGGAGCATCTGGTGTTTCCTCCGATGATGTAGGCGTCACCGCCGTAGACGTTAGTCGCACTAGTGGTGAACATCTCTTCAACTGTGCGAATTTCAAACTCAGACTCGGAGAGGCCGACCTTCTTAGCGAGCTCCTTGGCATGGTCGAGGCTATCAGCGAGAGCCTCGATGACTAGCTTGTTGCTGGCCACATCGACATAGTAGCTGGCGATACCAGACTTCGTCTCGTCAGTGCTCATTATAGAAGCCTGCTCGATGTCGGTGTTATCAAGAGCTTCTTGGGCCTGCTCGAGCTTGGATAGGGTATTGGACACGATGACGGGGTTGCCTCCGGCAGCGGTCACCTTTTCAGCCGAAGTTTCATCAGTGATGGCAACATTGATCTTCTCATCGTGCTCGCCGATCCAGGCGCCAGCGAAAGAAGCACCAGCGGAGGCCTGGAGCTGACCAATGAGCTCAGAGGCGTCGATGTCTCGCTTGACACGAGAAACGGCCTGCTCAGCATCGAGGCCCAGGTCGCGCTTCATGGCATCGAGGATCCGGGGATGGAGGCTTTCCGCTGTCTCAGTAGGGGCACCATAGGCAACTGGCAAGGAAACAGCCAGGCAAGCAAGAAGTCTTGTGAGTTCCATGTTTGGCGTTCTGATGCAAAGAGTGTCTTTGCTGCTATTAGATGTGGAAAGAATTAGAAAAGCCTACTGAACAAAGGCCAGAGTAGATGGAAGCATGTATCCTTATTTATACTTATCCTCACCTCAGTATTTCAATTGGCATCACGCCTTTTTGATCCGGTGAAAGGCACAGTTCTGCCTTACACAATAGGACAGGAATCCTAAAACAGCAGTTAAAAGTATACATACCTCGCAATATTGCCTCTTAATATACAGAAGTACTTCCTCCGTAGTTCGGGCAGGCGACTTTCTCCAAGGTCCGTCCGCGTTATAGTGAGACCCTGCCCCGAAAAGGCAAGTATAAATGCCAATACATATCTCGCAACTTGGCGCGTTACTAATATTGAAGTCCTCACTTCCGGGGGACTACCTGCCGTCCACTCATACCCCGGTCTGCCCTGTCGCCACAGGCGCGATCCTACGTGGAGTCCCATTATAGTTATCGCCGATAAATTAGACGTTCAAGTGATGACTCCCCTCGGATTCGGATACAGCCAAATGGGCTTCCAATTGATTAATTGAGACGCATGGGAGCTGTGTGGTCATTAAGTGTAACTATTGTCTGTCGATTTGTCTGTCTTGCCAAGAGGTAGCGAATCACCGGCCAACCCTTATTCCTTTCATTAGTATAATAAGCATAAATACAACGCAACATACCATTTGCTTTCCAAGCAACTGGAAAGTGAAGGAAGGACTTTCACTTAGCTAGTCGGCCTACCACAAGAAGCCCGACACAGCCGTGGCTTATCAGAAAACCACCAAAGATTTCAGATTCTATATTAAGCATCTCGATCAAACCACCAGCGTAGAGGCTGCTGAGGCTTATTGGAAATCCTCCTTGCAGGATGCAACGCCTGCAAGTTTCCCACCGCTGGTGCTGACCTCAGTACGCCAGCGACCTCAGCCTGATTCGACGCTGCAACACACCATCCGGTTAGCACAAGGTAGCACTCAGCACACGAGCACTTGCATTACGCTCCCAACCGTTGTCCGTGCTGCGTGGGCTATTCTTATAGCTAGATACACTGACTCGAGTGATGTATTCTTTGGGACTGTCGTTTTGGGTCGAGCTGCCCCGTTGCCTGGAATTGAGAGTATCGCGGGGCCAATCGCGAGCACAGTGCCTGTGAGGATCACAGTCGATTCCAATGCATCTGTGTCCGACTACCTGCGTCGGGTACAAGACCACGCAGCGGAGATGATGCCGTTCGAGACATTAGGTATGCAGAAGATCCAACGTCTGAGCGAGGGTGCGCGGGCCGCATGCGGTTTCCAGAACCTCCTTGTTATCCAGCCTAAGTCTGCCTCTTCCGCCAATTTGGTCTGCCCAGTCCAGGCCATCCCCGAGACCGTCTAGAGTTTATTATGAATGCTGTGAACGCAAATGCAGTTCTATGCTCTACTGACCAGGCTAGCTGGATATCTGAGTGTAAAAACAAGACTGCAATTGTGGTTGACGACCGCTTCGGCCCTGGCCCTGACAACCAGGTCATTAGTGGACGTACCGCCCTTTTCAATGCACTATATGTGGTCTTCACCTCCGGAAGCTCAGGAGAACCGAAGGGATGTGTTATGGAGCTCTGCTCCATGGTACCTAATCTCGCACAAAGCGCTCTCTTCGGGCCTTCCGTGCGCATTCTCCAGCTGGCGTCATACAGTTTCGGCGCTGCCATCGCTGAGATGCTCGCAACTCTCATATACGGCGGCAGACTTTGTATTGTGACCAGTAAGGCTCGAGCACGCCTTCCTCTAGTTCTTAAAGAAATGAACATCAACTACATGTTTATGACACCCAGCTTCTCGCGGTTGATCCCCCCGCAAGCGATATCGACTGTGAAGACACTCATCATGGGTGCTGAAAGCTTGACCCAGTCAGACCTTGAGAAATGGGCTCCTCATGTCAGTCTAGTGCAAGGATACGGACAGACAGAGTGTGCCACTATCATGTCGTGCCATCCCAATATGACAGCCAAATCGCATCCCAGGAATGTCGGCAGTCCAATGTCTTCGAGGTTCTGGATCGTAGACGCTTCAAATCCTGATATCCTAGATCCCATCGGCGCCACGGGTGAGATACTCATTGAGGGCCCAATACTGGCCCGGGGATATCTCAACGACGCTGTAAAGACGGCAGCAGCTTTTATAAAACCTCCAATCTGGCGCGGTAACTTCCCCACGCTCGGCACTTGCGAGCGTCTCTACAGAACAGGTGATCTTGCATGCTTTGCTGATGATGGCACTCTTATCTTCATGGGAAGAAAAGATAACCAGGTCAAATTGCGAGGCCAGAGAATCGAGCTAGGTGAGATCGAGCATCATCTGCGACGAGCGATGCCAAGCGCAAAGGGCGTCCTGGTGGAGTTGGTCGAGAAACCTATCTCAGAGACCGAAACTCACTCCGCCTTGGTAGCCTTCGTTGCCTTGGGCCCCGACGTTGCTTCTAATGACTTGAGCAACATTGAACCATCCGCAATTGAAGCGCTGCACAAGTTGACTTCTAGTGCTACTCCAGAGCTTTCGCGTTTCCTGCCGCCCTATATGATTCCATCGGTCTATCTACCGCTTGGCGCGATACCCATGACCACATCTGCCAAGGTCAATCGGCGAGCACTCAGAGCCATCCTATCCGATTTGTCTGTGGATGAACTTACATCGCATAGCCAATCTAAGGTGGCCAAACGTGAACCCTCCTCTCCAATGGAGAGGCTACTGCAAAAGCTTTGGTCGTCCGTGTTGCCCATCGATCCCGACTCCATTGGGGCGGATGACCACTTCTTGCAAGTTGGTGGCGACTCTATGAGTGCTATCAAACTAGTTTCACTATGCCAGTCCGAAGGGTTCAAGCTATCCGTTGCTGATATCTTTGAAAACCTGACATTAAGCAAGATGGCGGCGGCCTTGCGAACCGAGTCGACAACTGAGCAACAGCCGCGAGGCCAACACCAGCTTTCTACTGCCAACACCAATAAAGACGAAGTTATATCGGATCTCATTAGCCACGGCATCGTCAACAGTCATGATGAAGTGGAGGATGTGCTAGAAGCGACATATATGCAAGCCGTACTTGTGGCTCGCGGGCTGAGAGAGCCCAAGGCTAACTATATATCACTCCACTTTAAGAGAGAATTGGACTTTGCCCGCCTAGAAGCTGCTTGCCGTACCCTCGTTGAGCGACACCAAATCCTGCGGACAGTCTTTTTCGCCCGGCGACAACAGTTACTCCAAGTTGTGTTGCGGTCGTTTTCGGGAGCCTTCCACCAATACCAGTGCAACAACGATGAGTCTCTTGAGATATTTGCAGACAAACTGATAGAAGAAGACGCTTCAAATGACAGAGCCTCTCTTGGCAAGTCGTTCATTCGATTCATGTTCTTCGACGGGGGCTCCGCGGGCTTCCGCCTCACTCTTCGCATCAACACGCACAGTTTGATGGCATGTCATTCCCCTTGCTTCTAGAAGATTTTGCAGCCTTGTATCATGACTCAGCAAGCGACTCATCAATTTGGCCCGGATTCTCTAGTTTCATCTACACCGCTCGCGAAATGCATGACGCTGGCGCTGTCGAGTTCTATCGCGATTTGCTAGATGGTGCTTCAATGACAGAGATCGGTCTGCACCAGAAGCCTCCCTACTCCAACTACCCAGCCAGCCAGTTGCTAATGCGACGAGTCCCCCGGGTCGAGTTTCCGGAGCGCGGAATCACCTTTGCCGTCGTCCTCAAGGCTGCTTGGGCCAAGGTTCTAGCTGCCGTGACAGGACAGCCGGATATTGTGTTTGGATATCTCGTCAGTGGACGAAGCCTGCCCATGGCGCAGATTGAGGACATCATCGGTCCATGTATCAACGCCGTTCCTGTTCGCGTAGATACCAGGAAGGCAAAGACGAAGCTCGAGCTGCTGGAGAACGTCCGAGACCAGAACCTCCAAGGAATGCCCTACGAAACTTACCTATGATAAGATTGTTTCCCAGTGCACGCAATGGCCTTCCGAAACCCGGTTCAGCACACTACTCGAATATCAGGTCGCAGCCGTGGAACCGGGCATGATCCCCTTTGGCGAAGAGCTAGAATGCTTTTTGTCGGCGACAAACCCTCAGTCAGATCTAGCTGATCTTGTCGTCGACGCAATGCCCAGCACGTCGAGCGGTGACATGAATGTGATGTGTATCCAGTTTCTTTACAGCTTAGAGCGTGTCTCAAGTAGCCTTGTTGCTGACATGGCCGACTTGTTATGCTCCATCCTCGATCAAATCAGCCACCAAAACGAACTCGACAATCTTTTCTCCTCCGCTGCTCTCGCTATTCAGTCAACGGCGATCCATCGCAATGCGCTGGCCAATGGCAGTAGTCAACATGCTCAGAAAGATGCAATAAATGGCGTCGCCGATGCGAGCAAAACGATTGACATTCTACCTGAAGTCAGAAAAGTCTGGCGTGAAGTGTTTGGTGAAGAGAAGATTGATCCAGTGGCTCCGTTCTACTCAATATGGAGCAGCCCCATAGCCGCGGTTCAACTGGCTGATCAGTACAAGATTTTGGGATACAACATGGAGATGGAGGACATTATCGAGCATTCGACTATGAAAGAGCAAAGCGATATCCTTAATAGAAGACAGACGCCAACCTAGGGCCTACTACTGTAGTAGTTGGAAAAGAAAATAAGACCTTTCATAACTGGAAAAATTGAACTATTGGCTCACTGTTGATACCATGGATCACGAAATTTCACACTACGGTAACCAGGTGACTATCCGTGATGTTGTCAAGACCTTATTCATAAAGATGAAGCTAGCCATGATATGTGGAAGGATACGAAACCCTATACCGAGAGAGTGTATACAGCGAACGAAGATTGAGAGGCCCACGAGATATCAAGCTTGCTGGGGAATCACATACAGTGAGGAAAATCTCTACCAAGTGAATCCGACTTCGGGTTGACTACCTGACCACTTAATCAAGGGATTCATGCTATGGAAGAGTTGTTTATCCTAGATATAATCACCCGATCGACAACATTATACCTCACTATGTACCCTTGACATGTGAAGTGTAACTCCAGAATTGGTCTAAGCAGCAATAGAACAATTATTTTTCCAAGACTCTTCTCTACCTAATAAGCGCACGCGTGATCCTATCATTCCACTAGGGGCCGGTGCACTTGATCAAGATTGCGTTTCAAGCATCGTACATGCCATCATGACCTTTCTAGTCAACTCCTGGACCTAAGTGACTTTCTGTTAGTAAACTTTCTATCTTATGATGGGGCCGTGTCTACCTTGTCCTCGGCAAAGATATTGAAGTGGTGACCCGCGATGTTGAGTACAATCCTGATGAATTTGTGTTCATATTCATCCCATCCGAGCCGTTGGGTCTGGCGGGCGATATCAACCGTCGCCACTTCGTCGCCTTGGCCTAACACGTAGTCGCTTGCCTTGAGGAGAATGGCCGGCGGTGGAAAAGTATCCTTGCCGCCCCAGATTGGGGGTTTCCATTCGTCAATCATCCGCCGGGCACTGCTAAAGGCTGCTTGCACCTGAGCTCCAAGTGATGCGTTGGAGCTCGACGGAGCAAGTTCAAAGTGGTCGCTCGTCTTGATCTCACTTGCGAACTTGGGATAAACAGAATCCAAAAGAAGGATGCCCGATACGTTGACATCGCTGTCTTGGGCAAGCAAGTGCGCAATTTCGAGAGCCAATAGCCCTCCAAGAGACCACCCTCCGAGGAGGACCTTGCCCGAGGGCATCACAGATTTGATAAGGGATATATAGTCCCGGGCCATTTGGGGGAGCCCGCCCTCCCGTCCCCCGCCGGTCTCGAAATTGGGGTTGGAGATGCCATACACTGCGCGACCAAGTGTCCCCAACCAGAAGTAGCTGAATATTAGGCCGCTGCCATCATGTATGAGAACCAAAGGCGTGCGGTTGGCTTGCTTCGGAGGGGCTGGTTGGATCACGGTAGGGTTGGCGATCAAGCCACCTTTAGGCTCATCAGACATTGCGGGTATGCTGTCTGATACAGATTCCTAGGCCAGGGGAATGGTGCTTTTGTTGTATAGGTTCCAAAAAGCAGAGCCTCAAAGGTTCTCCAAAGATATGACTATTAGAAAAGCTGGCGAACACCAAATATCTGTATTGAAGATGTAATTAAATAGTTGTTTTTGACATCGGCAGAGTGATTCACGTGGACTGTCTCACAATAACTGGATCATCCAATTACAGCGCCTGTAGAAGAGGGGTTCAAAGCTCAGTTCAAGGGCGTGCATGAAAAGCAACATTCAAGCAATGCTCTTACGAGGCTCAAGAAAATCCACCAGAGAGTGAAATGCCTCATAATCTAATATCTAGATGGATCAATTACCTCCAGAATTTTTAACGATATACTTAAATTTTCTATAGCCATGTAGCTTCCGCCAAGCGTGTTGTGGTTACAATCCTGCTATCGGCTACCCTAGAGCTTGACGCCTCATTCAAAGGCAGCAGAAAGATCACTGTACACACTGATTCCTACAATTTAGATATCTGAAACCTATGTTGTATATTATTTCTGGGAAGAAAAAACTGAAATATTTAATTGAACATACTTGCCTCGTGGTTGCTTGGGTTCATCTAGCTGATGTTTAATAATCACACATCGTGTGGCACACTCAGCTCAAAGCTTTTCAATGCCTTCAAGACACACCCTCCTCAAACCCCCTCTGCGACAACCTGAATTACAAAGACTTGCTCGCATGTTAAATGTACATCAAAGCAGTCTTTGTTTTCATTATTAGGGTTAGCCGATTCATGTCTGCATAAGAACAAGAGCTACCATGAAGTCCGCACCACAGGGATTATCTCCTATCATCTTGATCATCCTTGACAATCTCCCCTTGGGTAATAATGTTGTTCTTATCGATGCTACCCGCAGCTCTTTCCGCACCGACCTCTTCACCCTCAATACTAGCCGCAAAAGCTTCACGCTTCGGTCTGAAATGCTATTAGTTGTATTTCTACGTGAATGGAGTCATACTGTCTGGTATTTACCTCATAAATCTTACGTCAATGATGCGAAGGAGGACGGTCATAATCAAAGCAAAGGCGGCAAGTCCAATTGACGCTTGCCATCCTTTCTTGTCTAAACATAGAGTCAGCTAAATGGAGTCTCCACCTGTTTTCAAAATTGGTACTTACAATATGGTGCTTCCACGGCTGGCCATATGAGAACGTTACTCCACGCTGAGACTGCATAGTATACTGCCACAGCAACGCCGACCACCAATGATCGTGCCTCTGGATCCTGTGGAATCCTACGACGCTTATTATTAGTAGATATTGCATAACTATGATAGTTGGATACTTACAAGTCTGAGAGCCAAGAGAATATCAAGGGTGCCGTTCCAAGAGCAATGTAAGATAAAAAGTAGCTCACGTAGGCAGCCGAGATCGGAGTTGACATCGGGTGCGTAGTCCAAATGGTCATGATAATGGCAGGGATGAAATCGATAGCAACTGGTAACAATGTCAGGAGGTCTTTCAAGCTCAGGAGGTCTAAATTTGCTTACATTGTGCGACAAGAAGAGTCCAACGTGAACCGATGAGGTCAGATAAAATTGCCCAAATCCAGACTAAAGCGCTGAGATATTAGAGAACATGAGTTTGTATTAGGAGGCGGGTTTGATACTGACCGAATACCACATTAATTGCCGAAGCACCAATAGGAATGGCATTGACTTCTGCCGTTGTCCATCTCGCCGAACCGTCCGGGTTCTTCATGGCCTTGAGGAAAAGCCCAAAGTACGAGTTTCCGCTGGGAGCAAGAACACTTGCAACGTAGAGTGCAGTGATGAAGTAGACAACCCAGGAAGAGACAGTTCGCTTCACGCCAGCCCAGCTTACTTTTCTAGGCTCTGCTCGACCGTGTCGGACCAATCGCGCCATGGCCAGTTCGCCGTGAGACTTGTCAAACCAAAAGGCCCTTGGGTTTGGGTTATTGGGGTAGTCGGGCAACATGAAAAATCCCAAGAACCCCCAGACCCCTGTGATTATGGCATTCACGACAAAAAGCCATCGCCAACCGGCAAGTCCATGATGCCCATCCATGGTCTTCGTAATCGCTGCTTGTAACGCGCCGGACATCATGGACCCGACAGCTTGGCATGAATGATAGAAGCCCATTCTTTTCGCGAGCTCGGACGGCGTGTACCTAATAATTGATATCAGCCCAAGTTTCAAACGGAATATCGTGTCCAGCTTTTACCAGTGCATCAAAAGTGTAATCATTCCAGGCCATGCGCTGCTCTCAAACAGGCCGAGAAACACTCGAATTACGTAGACCTGATATGTTTTGGTCACCATGGCCATCAAACCGGTCATCACCCCCCAAGCGACCTCCAGACTGCTCAACCAGAAGCTCGGACGGACATAAGTCAAGATGATTTGGCTGGGAATCAACATAATGCAGTAGGCCACGTAGAAGTACGTCGTGAAGTAGTTCAGCTCATTTCCGTAAAGAGCAAGGTCCTCCTTCATACCAGAAACGTACGCATTGTTGATATTTGTCTGGTCCAAATACTTGATGACCTGGCTGATGCAGCCAAATGTCATCAGAAAAATATCTAGCCTTCTAACGAATGCCTTTTCCGCTGGAGACCTCGCGTCTGAGGACGCAAACATCGCTGGCCACTTGAACCAGCCCATAGTGGAGTGCAAAATGTCTGGGCTAGGGAAATCAAAAGAGACTAGAGACGATAGCAAGTAGAGATCAGGGTCCTACACATCGGCAGAAGGTAGCAGCGGGCATTTAACTCGTGGGATAGCAAGCCTACGTTCAAAATGCCTCAACCATAGATAAGGTCCCAAGCATTTGTCTATGGATGATAAGCATTTCCGAATAAACGGATGATTTTTAGGCATCATGTCTTCCTCCGTGGAAGATAGGCCTATGCTACCCGGAAACTCCAGGTATTGCAGTACTCGCGTATTAGGGTGCATGGGGGGATGAGCGGCATCGGCTCCATCGGCTTGCCAATGAAACGATTAGCTTATGGTCACGATGCAACCATGATTTACTATTATATTGCGACCTCTGTCTCCGCCCCAGTTTGAAGTCACACTGCTTGCGGAGATGATGATCAGTTGGCCTCCACCGCTGAGATAGAGCATGGGGTTCAGATAGCGATGACACCGAGATAGGAGCTCCCGACCCATTCCCCTTAATATCCGGGCCTTGATAAAGCCTGCAATTGACTTGACCCGATCAAGAATGTCCAAAGCAACGACCGTCTTTGCCCCTCACTTGTTGTTGCCAATGGAGCCGTCACTCCCAACCCGGGGCTCGAGCCTATCTTTCTGGCACCAAACCACGCGTTCATTTCCCTATTTAAACGCCAATCGTGATACCAAGGTACCTAATTCAACAAAATACCTAGTCATAGGGTCTGGTATCTCTGGCGTACTCACAGCATGGGAGCTGGTTAATACTGGAGTGAAGGGCGAAGACGTGTTGATTTTAGAGGCAAGGGAAGCTGTTTCAGGCGCCACAGGAAGAAATGCCGGTCACATCAGGCCTGGTGCGTGACCTAAATGCAACGTGAGATGTGGCAATTATTGATCGTTACCCTAACTAACTGATGTGGCCATGGTTGAGTAGATGCTTTCCGCGGATTTTCCGCATTCTCATCGATTCACGGGCCAGACCAGGCGAAAAAGATCATCGAAAGCGAGAAGGTTGTGCTCGAAAAAGTCAAGGACTTCATTGCAGCCCATAGTATTGATTGTGATTTTGTTGATACTACAACTATGGATGTGTGTTTGACTAAGGAGTTCGAGGGCTACCAAGCTAAAAGTTTTGCTGCCTTCAAAGCTGCTGGAGGGGATGTCTCCCATGTCAAATATTACCAAGGGAATGAAGCCAAGTCTAAGAGCAGAAACAAAGATGCGCTGTCTGTATACGAGTGGCCTGCGGCATCCAATCATCCTGCAAAGCTGACCCAATGGATTCTGAGCGACTTCATTCGCAAGGGAGGACAAATATGGACTCACTGTCCCGTTACAAAAGTTGAGAAGCACAGCCAAGGTCGCCAATTCCGGTGGGACGTCCATACTTCTCGAGGGGTGGTCACAGCACATACGGTCATTCATTGCACAAACGCATACGCGCCAGCGCTGCTCCCCCACCTGATCAACTTCATTACGCCTCTGAGGGCACAAGCTCACGCATATGTAGCAACCCCTGCTATATCTGGGGAAAGGATTCTACAGAGCACACTTTCCCTTAGATACAGCCTCTATCATTTCTTTTCACTGATACAACGCCCTCACGATGGAATTGTGATTATGGGGGGATCATCTGTCAAAACCGCAGAGGCGAGTGAAAAGATTGCAGCGAGCAAGGAGACGTACGACGACGGGGATTACTCAGAACAAATGGCTGAAAATAGCAAGAGACAATTCAATGATCTATACCTGGAACCTGGATCAACCAAAACTCGGTCAGGAGAAGGATTGGCACACGTTTGGACTGGCATTTTAGGAATGACAACAGACTCAGTCCCTCTGGTAGGTCCGATTGATGGGCTTGAGGGTCAGTGGATTTGTGCTGGGTTTAATGGCCATGGTTAGTATCATCTATTAAACTCAGCAAGAATCAAGCTAACAGATTCAGGTATGGCTCGCATCTTTTTATGCGCTCCGGGCCTGGTGAAACTGATTTCTGGGAATTCCTGGGAAAGTACAGGCCTGCCAGAGTGCTTTAGATCAACCAGGGTTAAAATGAAGACGTTTGACCCAAGTGTGAGAAGTTTACTGTGGATAAAACAAGGCACCGCAAAGAGGGGACACAAGATAGTAAAGATGCTAAGTATTAAACGGGTACTGGCCAGCTAATCTCAATTGAATCTCGTAGTAGAGATTATTATTTAATGATAGCTTCTTCCAGTTCAGTTCACAAAGAGAGCGAGCGACCATCTCGGTCTTCCTTCCGACAAACAGACCCACCATCCCGGAGCCAATGCCGGGTGGCATTTATTCAGATGTGCTTTTGGCTTTCTTTCTTATTCAATATAATGAACGATATCTAAGCCCACAGGATCACGACCTCCAAGATCTTTGTTTCATTATCCTCGTCACAGGAAACTACAATCAATTGACACCTGTTGGAAGGAAACAAACTGAAAATGAGCAGGCCCAAGGTTATGCTCCTGGGAACACTTGAACAGTGAGTATGCGAGACAAGACGGATAGAAATAAAACTCCCAAGATGGCTCATTCCTAGAGTTTTTGTTATTTCGAACCACAAAATTAACGGCTACTCGCTTCTCAGTGCCCAAGATGCATGGTCAAGCCTGGCACCTATTGCAGATAGTATCAGGCCACAGTCCACAAATCGAGCCAATTTCATTAAGGAGGCCAAATCAGGCGCTTTCGATGGTGTTGTAGCCCTCTATCGAGACTACTATTCAGTCACTGTGAGTGGTAGATTTGATGCGGAACTTCTGGATGCGATGCCCAAGTCATTCAAGTACATCTGCCACAACGGTCCGTTACTCCATTGGACGTATACCTTTGCATCATCAAACAGCTCACAAACCACACAGGCGCTGGATACGACCAGATTGATGTTACAGCCTGCACAGAGCGTGGTATTCGCGTGTCCCACACCCCCGGCGCCGTGAATGAATCGACTGCCGACCTAGCAATCTGGCTTGCAGTCGGGGCCCTTCGCAACCTGCCCGTCAGCGTACATTCTTGCCACGCCGGTGCTTGGAGAGGCAAATCGGCTCCAGCGTTAGGGCATGACCCGCAAGGAAAGACGATGGGAATCCTCGGATTTGGCGGAATCGGACGAACGGTCGCCCAAAGAGCCATGGCTTTCGGCATGACGGTTAATTTCTATGATCCATTCCCTGTCGATCCGAAGCTGCATGGTGGTGCTCACAGTGTGAGCCTGGAGACACTGCTCAAAGAGAGTGACATCATCAGCATTCATATTCCTCTAACAGTGCGTCTAAGTCAATATTCCTTCCTAGTCTTTTCTCTTTCTGTTGAGGGCGAACACTAATTATAATCGATGTAATAGCCCGAAACGCACCACTTCATCTCCGCTCCTGAGTTTGATAAAATGAAGAACGGAGTCGTGGTGGTCAACACCGCCCGTGGACCGATTCTAGACGAGGCTGCCCTTGTCAAAGCTCTCGCCTCGGGCAAGGTCGCTAGTGCAGGCCTCGACGTTTTCGAGAAAGAGCCGGAGATCAACCCAGGCCTTCTCGCCAACAAGAAGGTCCTTCTGGTCCCTCATATGGGAACTTGGAGTGTCGAAACTCAGACCAAGATGGAAGTGCTATCCATTGACAATGTTCGGTCAGCGGTTACCAAAAGCAAGCTCATTACTCAGGTCCCCGAGCAAAGGTCGATAGCCAAGCTATAAGTGAGCCCAGATTAAAAAAAAAAAAAAAAAAAAAAAAAAGGCGAATGTACCATGATTTTGAATACAACTTTGTCCTCTCTTATGACACTTTCCCTTTCTTCGCAACGAAATAAACGTCAGATGGCGCTATATCCCGTTACTCTGCTATTTAATGGAGTGTTGGATTCAAGAACAGTTATACATGAATGCCACTCTGTGTACTGTCCTCAAGGACTGGTGGGCAGGCTAACTAACCTGGATCAATAATCAGAGCCTTCAAGGAACAAGTTCTTCTTGTTCCATCCATGTGTCCATCCATATAGAAGAGTTATGAGGGGCACACAAAGACAGTGCTATTTTCTCTGGCATGTTAAATGCCCAATCGGTCCAAGGCGAGTGAAGAAGTCCGAATCAGGTTAAATGACCAACAATCTAGGATCGCCCTCTACATCTTCTCTTACACGAAAAGAAGGCTGACCATGATATTTAATTTCATATTGCATCCAAATTAGTCTATTCATAGGTACAGTAGTCTCGGCTCAAGTCAGCTTAACATCAACAAGTGGTCAGCCGTAGATAAATTAGAGGATAACTGGGATCAAAGTGTTCTCATGAAACAAACCGCAAACGGTCGACATATTATCCTGGTATTCACTATACCTTTCCTTATGTAGGCATTAACCTCGTCTTACTGGACAATGCGCCGTCAAGCCCGGCAGTTCCTCCGCTGAACCCTCCCTTGCACATGACATCAGCATCGTTAAATTGGGCATATAAGCAGGCGGGTCCCCATTATTCACACCGCACGAAGCACATCAACCCTCATAAGCCTCATTCTTGGCTGCATGCGAAGCGTGTACAATCGGCAATCTCGATCGCTCAACAACATCCGGAGAGTGCAACAATGGGAAATCCTAGCAAGGAGAAGGAGGAGGTAAACCACGGCCAGCAAGATGGCGATGCTCCACCGCCCTACCAAGAGCCGGCCCACGACGCACCACCAGGTTTCGAAGAGTCAATTGCAGCTGCGAGGGCCTCTTACAAACGCGACCCAATCACCGTAAAGTTCCCTGCCAGATTCACCTGCTTCTATCACTGGAACTCATTCACATTCCACCTCGGCACGTCCAAGAAGGATCTCCTCTTCGCCGTCTCCCCCGCGAGGCTTTGGGGCCAGAAGGAGACCTTGCTGCGCGCCGGCCCCGAGAAGTCGGACCCGCCGCTGGCCACCGCCGGCACGCTCAAGGGGAGCAAGCAGACCTCGTCTTTGATAAAGGTACACCCTCATTCGGGGGGTGACCACAAGGAGGAACTAGAGGTGACCATGACGGGCGACTATGAGAGCACCCATCGATTTTCCGTCCCTGTGGGCGAGAAGAAACAGCTCGAGTTCTTCGAATGGCGCAACAGCAGGGGGGCCGAAGTTCGAGAGGTCGCCGAGAAGAAGACAACCGGGTACAAGCTCGTTCGCTTGTCCGACCCGGACGTCGAGCGAGGTGGCAGCCGTCAGGAACGCGACGCGGGATTCACGAGCGACGGTCGTAGAGTTGTGGCTGTCGCGTTTCACGCGGCCAGCTGGATGGCTGGTCCGCAGTTTGCCTTTCTCTCGGACACGCTGGGTGAGACGTTTGAGATTGTCGCCGTCATGTCGTTTCTGCGGATATATGAGTTGGCATCACAGCAGGCGGCTACGGCCGGGGCAGTTGCGGCTGCCTGATCGATAGGATACCTCCGGTTTGAGTTGGGAGTAGGCCATCATAGGTTTTCAGTGTAGAGAAAAATTATCCAATTTATATCAGACAAGCCCCAATCCCTCTCGTATCAATAAAGCTCATCTTCCCAGTAGAAACAGGCGCGTTCAGTCGAAGGCAATGCGCCAGAAGGCGTCGTCGCAAAATACCAGAGGTTGTACAAGCTAGATTCATAACTTGTACGCTTCTGCAAGATTCACGGACAAAATGAAATACATCTTTGACTCGGCGAGTCTTGGGCTATATATCAATAGTCACGATACGGTGTCTGCATTGATAAGAGGGCAGCATGTCCATTATGGGAGAATCGGCGGATGCCAGTGGCCTCTTTCAGACTCCTAGCCTTGAGGCGAAAGCCAAATGGGCACATCTCCAATTGGAAGCCGCCATTGATGGTATGCCTGAAGATGACCTTGGTCTTTGGGGAAGGATGTTGCTGGTTGGGGAAGCAGCTTTCGTGTATATTTGCGCAGGCGTTGCTTTGGATTGTCTACAATTTCTAAAAGGGGGGGGGACATGGGACTAGGACTAAAGTACACACAAAAACAGAAAATGATGATACACAATTTGGGTTCGGGGCGAAGAATAAAAGAATGGCATGAGTCTTTAGCTGAATACGTTAAAAGAGAAGGGAAGACTGATTTTAAAAAGAAAAAGACATAACCGTAAAGCAGCGTTAACATATAAAGCATAGATCCAGACGTTTTCCTTCAGGTGATTGGCAGGATGCAGTTGAGAAAGCATCGCCTTTTGTTGTTGTTGTTGTTGTTGTTCGTTATTCTTTGCTGGGCGTAAATATCTAATTCGCCAGCGCACCATGACTCAACTCGTAGAGGACGTAAATAAAATGGTATCGGGGAAAGCGTCCCATGGTGTTATATCGTAAAAAATTTCAGTGTCATACCCTTGCGACAGCGCTGTTTAGCTGAGGCACCTTGAAAAATAGAAGATCAGACCGCTCGCTTTGACTACTTGGACTTCGCCGGGAAAATCGCCATGCAGAATCGCACCATGCCCGTCCACAGGCGCTGATGGGGCCAGCGCCGGCTGACGCCCTGCTGTAGGTACTTCTCCTTGTACAGCTGCAGCTTCTGGAGCTCAGAGCGCAGAGCCTTGTTGGATCGCTTCTGCTCGGTGAGGTCGGTCGACGTCTGCTTGCTGCTGTCCATGGCGGCATCCCTCTCGGCCTCCATCTTCTTGATGGCGGCGAGGATCGACGAGTTCTTCTTAGTGAGCTCGGCGTTCGTCTTCTTCAAGGTGGCGATCTCCTCCTTCAGGCGGGCGTTGTCGGTCTCGAGCTGCTTCTGCTTCTTGTTGGACGCGGGCAGCTTCGTGCGCAGTGCCTCGAGCTCGTCGGCGACGACCTTCTTCTCCTCGCCCAGCGCCTTCTTCTCCTTCTTCAGCCGGGCGGCGGTCGCATCCAGCTTCTGGTTCCTGTCGTCGGCCTCTGTAAGTTCTTTGCGGAGCGCTTCCTTCTCCTTCTTCAACGCGTCTCGCTTCTCTCGCATGGAAGCGACCTGGGCGTTGGCCTCCTCCTCCCTCTTTGTGGCCTCGGCCAGGACCCTCTCCAGGGAGGCGGCCTTCTTCTCCAGCCCAGCAATATCCTCCTTGGCCATGAGCCTGGTCTCTCTCAGCTTTGCCGACTTGGCCTCGAGCTTCTCTTCCAACCGCTTGGCCTTCTCCTTGACGTGTTGCAGCTCCTTGACGGGGTCGGTGGGGGTCTTTGGCGACTCGTTGTTGCCGAGCCACGGGATGAACTCGCTCATTGCGTCTCGGGAGGTCTTGGGGATCGTCCTGCTGCTTCGGGAGGTGCTGGACGACGCGATGGACGACGCGCGACGCGGTCGGTGGCCGCCCACGTCCGAGGAGGACGAGTTGGGCGCCCGCGACCGCGAGTGCCTGTGGCTGCTGGTGGTGCTGGAGGAGTCCATTGCGGGACGAGAGGCGGCGAGGCTAGGTGCTCCCTGGTGAAGACGAGCGGCAGCAACAGTCTTTCTCTGAGGTTTCTTTGTTTGAGATTTCTGATTGATGGTTGAAGGAGGAGGTTGAGTGAGTGGAATTGTCGGTCATGTATCTGCGGGCGGGGGTTCGATTGGCTTAGTCCTGGGCTATGCTGAAGGCAGCAGACGGGTGCGCCGGGAATGTATATCTCGCATCCTCACCTGCAGCAGGTTTGCAGGGTTCCTGCAGCGCCGTGGAACATTGAGGGGCTAATCCGAGAATGATACGATGCAGAGGGATGTGAATCGGCGGTCAACCTCCTGGTGGAATCCGTTGGGGAGCAAGGGCAGCCCACGAGCAGTCTCATTGGCTCACCACTGTCATGCCGGAGGTCACATCCAGCCTCGATTCCTGGCGGCGAGGACACAAGGAAGGGCCTGCAAAACCGACCCTCACATGTGACCCGCGATGGGCCAATCCAACCCCGGTCATCTGGCCAAGAGGCAAGGCCCCGCGAGCGTCCGAGAAGTCGGTGAGAGCAGACAGTGTATCAGGCTAATCGAATGCGGCATACTGAGTGTGCGTCGCGACTTCACCGCCTTGCAGGGGGTGCTTCGATAAAGAATCGGTTACTGGGCATTGGATACCTGTTGTATGGTCTGGTCTGGTCTATCTGAACATCACAGCAAATCACAGCAAGAGGGTGGTCACAATCTGCAGGTTGAGTCCCGATGGAACGTTAGCATCAGCATCACACCCGTGCCGCAGCGAGAAGCAGAGTTTTCACAGACGGAGGGAGGCAGGCAAGGAACAAAACAACGCACCCTTTGAAAGCAAAGGTGTGAGACTTCAAATTTAGATAGACCCATGCGGTCCAAGGGCGAAATAAACTCGGGGCAGAATAAATGACCGAGGCAAACGCGCGCCGGTGGATCGCTGTAGCGCCGGTGGGGCGGCGGCCAAGGGCAAGGGCGAACCTGACAGATCAACGATAGTGCCTGCAGTAGAAGATACGAAAGATGGATTTTGCGAATGCCAGCAAACCTGCCTTGCCCCCTTTTGTTTTATGCAGCAATTCAGGGCCCTATTTATAAAAACGTCATTCTAGTTCCACCGAATCCAACACGTGCTTCGATCGCATCTATGCCCTGTCGAAACCGGGCCTCAGGCACTCTCATGCGTGTTCCTGGTACGGACATTGCTAGCGGCGCGGTTCGTACCGATGAGCTTTCCGTCCGGTAGCTCAAAATGCGATGGCTGGGAGCGGTACGTACCCCGATCGCACTAGGCCAGTTCTGTGCTGCACTGTCCTCCACTGCTCAGCTGGCAGGTGCTGCGCTGGTTTTCAGGCACTCGCGCCTGCCACGTCGTAGCATAAGGCAGGAAGCAGTGGCTGGTGGCTGGTATTATGCGCACCTGCCTTGGATAATTTAAAGCATGCAGTCGCGGCCTACCCTATGCACTGCTGGTTGGTTTCAGCGCTCGCTTTTCTCAGTAGAATTCTTCGCTTCCAGTAGCCTCGCGTTGCGTGGTTTCCCCGTTAGCTTTGTTGTGCACAATAAACATCTCGCTCACATGTCTTCCTAAACCCATCACGGGTTCTGATCATCAGGAGATCGATCCCAACTCGGTGGGTTGGTAGTGGGAACGCCTGCAGAGTTGCCCCTCTCCCCCTCTTCCTGTATTTCGATCTGGGCAGAAAAAAAAGACGCTCGATGGACCCCGCACCCCAACAAACGCAACGGCAAAAAAACCAGGAAATACCAGACCACAAATCGCATGTTTGCAGGTATGACCTAACAGCTAGAAATCTCTGTAAGAGTCTTCGGGTGATCGGGGTGTTACTCTTTCCCGGGAATCTTGTGAAGGAATCATCGTGATTCATCCATCTACTGGTTTGATTTTTTCACAATAGGTGTTGCTCAGAATGTGCTGGAAATGCGTCTCCATATTTAGCTCGCTTTACTTAGGGTTATGTCGTAATGCTGCAGGATGCAGCTAACCAACCAAAGACCTTAATGGGGAGAGAAGCGACCAATGGGAGCTTTTTGATAGTCAACGGTTTCAATTAAAGGGGCTCTATAATGAATACAAGATCAAGAAACGTTCATGATCTGAGAAAGGGAATATCTGCTACTGACAGGCTGCACATTCAGCGAGCACACCACAACCAGGTGGCCGTTGTCTACCGTCGCCATGCCCGCCCATTCGCACGAGTTCAATACCGTCGTCTTCTCTCCCCAGCTGGCACCTCCGTTCGTGCTAGTGACGACCTTGATGGCGAAGCTCGAAGCCCCGACGTTGTCTTCATTCGTCTGAAAGCTGGTCACCAGTTTGGAGCCCACGAGTGCTACTTGGGGAGCTCCATGCGTCGCACCGCTGACACTGCTCCTATACACCACCCGTCGGTTTCCCCAGGTCGCGCCGTCGTCTGAAGATGTAACAGAGTGGATGCCAATGTCGGGAGCCATGGTTTCAAAGACTGCAATCAGGTTCGAGCCTCCGGTCCGAACAACACCGAGCATGCCATCACGACTGGTGATCCCACCACCCGAGATTGTTTGATCGGCAGTCCAGCTCTTACCGCCATCGTAGCTTCGGATGAGAATGCTGTCTTGGTCGGTGCCCGCAGTGTTTGTCTCACGGGAATAGTAAAACATGAGAGACCCGTCCTGGGCATCCATCATAAAGGGTTCCCAGATCCCGAGCCCCCTCGTACCGCTCTCCCTCGGCATGGACAGAAAGGTCCAGTCGTTTCCGTTGTTGTCAGAGTAGGAGACGATGAGTCGATAGTAAGTCCACTGGGAGTTGCTGACGTCGTGGTTGCGGAATGCGGCCAGAATACGGCCACTGGGGAGTTGGTGGAGGAAGCAGTTGTCCAGATCCCCGGTTGCACGAGGGCCGGAAGCTATGGATCCCACGTCGGTCCAGTCCCAGCCGCCGTTGGTGGATCTGGCGGTTCGGAGCACCGAGTTGCTGCCCTCCATTGATGTACGGCAGCTGAGAAGGGATCCATCCTTGAGTTTGGTGACTCGAGGGTAGTAAGTTTCACCCGTGCCTAGCAGGCCTGGCTCGCCATTGCGAGATACATCACGCTTCTGTATCGATGCGAGAGGAGTGGCAGCGGCTAACGGGGCAAAGATCGCTGTAAGAAGCGAGGCACACATAAAAAGACTGGAAAGAGCCATGGTGAAGAGAGCCAACAGAGTGGGAGAAGTGAGAGACTGGTTGAATATTACTTCACCTAAACCATCATGTAACGAAACTCATGGTAGCATTGTCATATATATATTTGCTAGTATAACAGCTCAGAATACTAATACGGAAAAGGATTTAATAATTTTAATGTTCTATGCGACCCCATGAATGAACGGGTAGAGCTCGTAGGATGATTGCATCTAGCCAACTGCCGACTTGGGATCTAAAGGGTGACGCCCAAGCGAATACCTCCCCATTTAGAAAAGAATCCCGCTTACCCAGTCCCGCGACCTGTAAGAAGGGACGGATTGAGGTGGGCCGGGAGGCTCTAAAGGGCAGGTTGACAAGTTGTGCTTATTTTCCCCTCTGGCTTTGAATCATGTGTTGAGCCTTTATCTTCCACCCTGCGACAAATGCCCAGATATCAGGACCACCCACCGGCAGTGCGTGGTCTTAAGAGGCAATTTACAGTTGCTAAAATTAGCGCACACTCTTTCTTGAATCACATTGCCACAATTTAAAAGCCTTCCCATGTGAACGGGCTAGTTGTCGTTGGACACACGTGTCTTGAGATGCGCTTCACCGTTACCCATGGCGTGAAAACAGGTTCTCTACTGCGAAGAGAGAATGTATGGTTCTAAACATGCTTACTGAATTTATTGATGATTCAGAGCTGGGATCTCTTATGAGCTAATGCTACCACGTGGCTCGTCGCTTACTTCTAATCTTAGGTGGTTAGCTGTCAGACGAGGTCGCGTAATTTAAAATGTCCCGGCAGATGCCGCAATCGTGCCCGGCATTCAGTAATTTCTTATCAGCCAAGAATTAAGTAAATCCTTCAACAAAATGAAGCTGACCCTGTCACACAATCATCCCAAGTATCATGATTCTGTGGTTAACGTTACCACCTTCCTTCGTTTCCACCCATAAACAAATAATCGACAATATGAGGTCCTACAGGAAACCTAAATGTCTTCAGTAGCATTACCGTAGACACTAATCCTAGATAGAAGATTTCGTATATCTGCTATCTCAACAATGTTATAGCAGCTGATATCGAAGAGTTGAGGCTCGGCTTCGTGCTTTCCCACAGCTCAAAATATTACTATACCATTTCTCTACCGGACCCGTGGTGCGCCCAGAGAGTACACCATATATTGGAGTCTCTATAACGTCTGTTATCATCTTCATCTTCATCCTTATTAACTGATACTGCAAGATGGACAACTGCAGGAGGTCCAAGGACTGGAGGAAAGAAGGCAACGGGTATACTGAGATTCATGAGATGCCATAGCTCTCCTCTTTATGTGCACTTCACTTATAATGAGCGGATGCGTCTACAGTTTTTAGACCTTCGTTGGAGACTGTGATTTCTATCAGTAGGAAACGCGGTATCTCGAGATCTTCGGTGCTCTTGGATGTGTAATGACATGTACTATAGTGCCTCATGTCCCACCATCGGCCATCTACGGGAATAAACCAATATATGAGGACCCTGACATGTGGAGGATGCTTGCGAGGGCCCCAAGGCCTTCCGTCTTGCTTGTGCTAAGTTGAGGCGGCATATGCCCAGTCTCTAGGCCATGGCTTTTGAAGACACTGTGTCACGCTAATAAATACCAATGCAAAAATAGGGAAGAAGATACGAAAAAGATCCAACGGCACAGATCTGTTAGATAAACTAGATCATATATATAAGGGATTCGAGGCTGTGCATGGTGGCTAATTGTTGACAAGGCAGATTCTGAGTCATACCTGCGCGAGACAGGGGTCAATTCCCTCTAGCTTGGTTGCCTTTGGATTTTCACAATAATTAACAATAGCTGTCGGCTTCTTCGTTGAGGTACGTGGATAAAGAAGAGCCAACCCTTACTCCAATGCGACTGATATCCTTGCGGCCCAATGCAAGTGGTTGGTGGAGAATGCTGCACGCTCACACAAGACCGGCTTTAGCCTCAGACCACTTCCACCCTTACACACACCTCCAACATCACCGTTATCACCAACCAAAGCGAGCCATGACAGCCAAAGCCAGGAAATTGGGTACCATGGCCACAGACGCGCCGGATCTGTACCGTTCTCTGGACTCCTCAATTCCTGAGATACGCCTTTTCGCCCTAGATCCCGCACAGACGGATGAGGGGGCAATCGTTGGCCATCTACAAAACGTCCCCCTCAGCTCAGCTCCTGCGTACGAAGCCTTGTCCTACAAGTGGGGGAAGCCAGTCTATTCCGAACCCATCACTATCGCGGGACACACCGTCCTCGTAACCCCAAACCTTGCAGTAGCTCTTCGAGGTCTGCGGCTCCGGGATAGACAGCGTGTCCTCTGGATCGATGCTCTCTGCATCAACCAAGAATCACTCCACGAACGTGCCCAGCAGGTTTCGCTCATGAAAGACATCTACTCGCGCTGTGTCTGTGACCTGCTATGGCTCGGGCCTCTTTCTGAACCTGAGACGCAGTCTTGGACGCCCTCGGAGGAAATCATGGGCCAAGGGTTTGAGTTGATGCGACGCCTCGTCGACCGGGACATGACGGTGCTGAATCCTATGATGAAGGAGTGGAAGGATCATGAACAGATGAAAGAGAGGTGGCGTGCATCTTACCACTCCACTAATGATGACTTTGACAATCAACTCGCAGGGGGGGAAGCTGCAGGGGAGGAGGAGGAGCAACCTGCATCGCAGGGAACTCACGACGTATCACAGGATAAGGACAAGAACGCCAAGAGGCAAGCAGAGGAAGAAAGGCATGGAGATGAGACGGAGGAAACGGGGACTGGAACGGGCAGTGACATCCAGGATTGCATGTTGTCTTCAGATGAGCAGTGGGCGTTGGACAGCGCCTTCGGCCGCCCAGATGTGCTGAAGCGTTTGTGGGTTATGCAGGAGCTCTCTGTTGCTCCCAAGGTGCAGCTTGTTGCTGGTCGCCACACGCTCGACTGGGACGTCGTCTCCGAATTCTTGGGCGACACCCCGTATGCTGATGCCTTCCACGGCACGTTTTCCCACGGCACCGTCGGACAGATTTCGTACTGGATCTTTGAGAAAGTCCAGATCATAGATCATCAAAGACGTATCTTGAGGCAGGAAGGCGAGTCAAAGCTCCTCGACGTTCTGGCACGGTTCAGACGCACCGATTGCCTGGACCCTCGAGACAAGATATTCGGCCTGCTGGGCCTTGTGACCGACCACAAAGACATCAAAGTCGACTATGAGAAGTCTCCAGCGCAGGTGTATGCGGATGTCACGGCCTCTCTAATCAATCATTCAGGCAACCTGGACGTCATCTGCCAGAGCCCCTGGAGTTCAAGTCGAGATTACCGTCTCCAGACAGAAGACGCCTTGGGCAACCTACCTTCTTGGGCAATCAACTTCTTAGCGGACGGAGAAATTGAGCTCTTTGCACAAAGATCCATCTTTAATGCTGGGAGATCAAGCTGCGAAGTCCCCTGCCGAAGGGTTGGCGAGGATATCCTGGTTGCCAAAGGAGTAATCGTGGGCCGGGTTGGGCCGATACTACAAGACGACTACCCCCATGATGATGGTAATGGCTCTGCTCTTCGCTGGAGATATGACACTTCTACGCACATCCCCCTTGACTGGATGCGTCTTTACTTGAACGAAAAACGGGTTCTGGACAAAATATCAACAGACCAGTACATTACAGGCGAGTCGTCCTTCACAGCCTTCTGGCGCACTTTGACTGTAGACTGCGCCGTGTGGCCGATGACGCGACTGACGTCTCAACAAATACGAGATCAAGACATGTCTCTCCGCGAAAATTGGCCACGATTCCTTGGTGGTGTGACAGATGAAGGACCGAACAAGTCAAATTTGGATAGAGAATATTTCTCCGCTCCCGAAATCCAGCGTATGTGGAACAGGTTGTATACACAATGGTCCTTTTCCACGACAACGAATGGTCTATTCATTCTGGTCATACCGCCAACAAGAGAAGGGGACTTCATTGCATGCCTAGATGGCGCCAAACTCCCGGTAGTTCTGCGTCCCGTGCATGACGGCAGCCTTCAAACATTTCGGATTGTCGCCGTTGCGTACGTGCATGGTATCATGGACATGGAGGCAACGCAATCTTCAGAGCTCCGCGCGAAGCTTGGCCTGCAGGACCAGGAGTTTTGGATAGTCTAATCAGGTCACACGTTTCCCGCAGTCGAAGTCGCTTCTCGTAAAAAGATAAATACATATATGCCTAGGCAAACGCGTCATCGAGATGCCTCTACATTTATGAAAAAAACTTGCCCCATGTTCACACCGCAACTGGGATTATAACTTGTTTTGAAGCCTCGGCTGAAATCGACTCATTTATGTTTGCAATATTTATAAATAAGGGATGTCCTAAGATTGGGCTACGTACGTGACTTGGATTATACATGTATTTTTTAATATAGATACTGTCTATACTTGAACCTTTACACCAAAAAAAATGCCCAAACTCAGCATGGCCAGTCCAGGCGTAGGCATCAATAAAGACATATCCAGGATAATATTAATAGTTAAATACAGAAAGATTTATTTACCCTTTTTCTCAGGTGCCGGTGCAGGCTTCTTGGCAGCAGGCTTCTTGGCAGCTTGCTTCTTAGCTGCTTGCTTCTTAGCTGCTTGCTTCTTATTGCTATTCTTCTTAGCAGTAGGCTTCTTAGCAGCTGACTTTTTATTACCGTTCTTCTTAAAATTAGACTTCTTAGCAGTATACTTCTTTACAGTAGGATTCTTAGTACTTAGCTTCTTAGCAGCTAAGTTCTTACTATTCTTCTTAGTAGCAGGCTTCTTAGTTAGATTCTTGCTACTACTTTTCTTAGCAGCAGGCTTCTTTGCTTGTGTCTTATTGCTCTTTTTCTTAGCAGTAGAGTTTTTATTGGTATTCTTCTTAGCTGCTGCTTTCTTATTGCCCTTCTTAGCAGAAGACTTTTTGTTGTTATTTTTAGTAGCAGGCCTCTTTGTTGCTAGCTTCTTATTGCCATTCCCTTAGCAATAGGCTTTTTAGCCGATGTTAATTTCTTGCTAGTTGGCTTCTGCTTAGTTGACTTCTTAGATGTATTCGTCTTATCTGATTGCTTCTTGTTGCTGTTCTTCTTTGCTGCCAGTTTCTTGGTGGTTGGTCTCTTATTGGTGGCCTTCTTCGTAGATTGCTTCTTCGTAATTAGATTCTTGCTGGCCGACTTCTTGCTGTTGGCTTTCTTGTTGTCGAGCTTCTTAGCAGATGGTCTCTTGCTTGCTTTATTTTTCTTCAACTTCCAAGGCATCTTCACTGAGTGCGTTCCATTTCTCTTGGCTATGTGTTGTTTTCGTTGGTTGGCAGGGCTTTTGCTCAAATTCGAGCCAAGCTTTCTATCAGCTCCCGTGCCAGCCTTGGTGTTGGTACTGGAGTCTTAGCAGGACTTTTGAACTAGCCCCCTTGGCCCAAAGCTGATCTGACACTATGAGCTGTCTCTAGGGCCATCCCTAAATAACATAAAGTATCTGATCAATACCTACCTCTATATTTACGGAAAAATACCCCATGTTCTTACGGCAACTGGGAGCATAATCTGTTCTGAAGCCTCGGTTGAAATCGCCTTCTACTATACAGCTTCGTGGTGGCGTGGTATTAATCCCGCAGCCATGAGTGTGTATCAGCCCCTCTTTCGGACATTCAATCATGTTCACTTTTCAAATCTAGAGCCTTCTGTAGAGCCTGCTACATTTCACTTGTTCCCGCAGCTACCTGCTGAAGTGAGGCTCAAGATATGGAAAACCGCTCTGTGTACTGGGCGGCGACTCCTCACTGTGCGCCTCAATTCAGTTGATGGCGATGAAGCGGGCTACGGTGTCTCAATAGACCGAAAGCCACGCACCAATCCAGTCTGGAGCATTTGTCAGGAGTCTAGGCAGGCTTGCTATGCATATTTCAGGCTACCTTTTCGCGTCCATAGAGGCTCGACGTTATGGGTGAATCCTGAAAGCGACCGCATCTTTATAGCAGAGTTCAACATTGCGCCTCTTGTCTTCCTCAATTTCATCAGCCATTTGAAGACAGCTGATCCCCGTGGCATCGGTCTGCTTCATATTGCTATCGATAGCTTATGCGCAAAAACCCTGGCATTCTTACGAACCCTACCTGCTACCAAGAGCAGCTCTCAGGAGGCTTTTACCACCTTCAAACAATGGATTTTAGGTTTACAATCAATATGGTTCATTCATCTTCTAGATGCAGATTCCCGTTTAGGGTTTGGGCCACTTTCTGGTACTAGGAACCATACAATACTTGGCCTTAACCGTGCTATGCCTATATTTCCATACGCAACCGACTTTGAGCTGTTCACGCCTGACCCACGACCAATCCAAAGACGCCTCAATGGTCAAACAGTCTAGTATGACCCTAAGCGCGCCGTTTTTGCATGGGTGGAAATGGAGAAGAGGCTTGGCTTGGGCATTCACGAGGGTAGTAAAAGCGATGAAGAACCCACCCGCGAAATATCCCAAGTTCTTGCCATGGGGGGGACGGTTGTAGGAGACGCGTGGTGCCCTGCAATGTGAAGAACCTCGAGACCTTGGATGAATGCCTACAGTCAGAGCAAGACAGGTGTCACGAGCTTTTTATTGGCGGCCCTTTCCAGTCTTATCCTCCCGCAATTTGGCAGGAAACGGAAGAATGGAAGAAGAGCCTTTTATCAGCAGCATGGTTCTGGGTCTTTCCATGGGGTACTTTTGATACTCTGGATGAAAGTCTTCCAAGAAAAGCATACCAGAATCTGAGGGGCCAGCGGCCTGGGCTGGGGTTATTCGACTTGGAAAACGATGGCGGTGACTAGTTGGAACACAGCGCGTTTGGAGGTTTGGAAAGGTAGAAGTTATTACATACGTGTCAATTTGTTAAGCGAGGTTAGTTTTATCTAAGCCCAGGACTTGCCTACCCAAATTCAAAAAAAAGTTTTCCCTTGAAGATGAAATAAGAGGAATATAAAACATGACAAGTCACCTGGGCCCACTGACTCTTTGTTTCTCACTGATCTCCCTTACTATACAAACTTAATAAGTTAATCCCTACGTGCCTTGGTGTATGAAGCCAAAAAAAAAAAGGAAAGGTTTTCCGGCCACATGTGATGTAGCCATATAAAGTACTCACATGTAGTTTGTGAAGCTTAAAGAAAAAACAACTTAGAGTCATCCCGAGAGCTGAACAGAAGATCCACGACCTAACCCTAACTCGCTGCCGTGACTCATTTGCCGTAAACTGAACTCTATCCAAGACAATGAATGCCTACTTAAGAGCTCTGATGCCCGCGGTTGCCAAAGACTAAGCCAATCCCCAATTTATCGCAAAACTACCGGCACCCAAGTAAGCTATGCCCAACGACACAGACGCAAGCTATCACCATCATTCTGAGGCTCATGGTGCACCAGCCCCAGCAGCCCGTGGCGAATTCTATGCCCAAGATGCGTGTCTTGCTGCAGACTATTACGCTCCTTGTACCTGGTGATATATATGATGATACGGTAGGATCATATTTATCCAAAATACGCTCTGTCGACATTTTTTCAAGCTGGATTTTGATTGCGCCCAGGAACGCCTGTATCCATTTCATGACGACTTTAGCCTCACCAACGTGAAGTGTTTATCTGCTTGATCATAATGGTCATGATCAAACTACCCAAGAGGAACACCCACCGGTGTTTGTTTAGATGAAATGGACGGGCCAATCTCTGTATGTCGGATCATCTCATTTTGCTGACCAAGCTTTAACTAACCTATCTCCCACTTAGTGTTCATATCAATAAGGGCCTTCCTTCAAAGTACAATAAAAAACTAAGCAAGTGGCCATTCACATGGGGAGGAAGAAAGTTTCGTCGTATATCTCAGCCGCCTAGAGGATCAGATGGGAAACTTGATCCAAAATTCCATCGCGGGGATATCCAAGCATCGCTGCGACTCGATATTCCCCTTAGCGAAGACAACATTGTATTCCTAAGAGAGCATCCTGAGCACGTAAAATGGCTTAAAACCCATCTACATCATGACTTATTGGCAAAGATCGAGTTATTCTGTCACCCACTAGTGAAGCAAAGTAGTGCAATATTGTGGTTTTCATTTCACCAAGGTAGTTGAATACAATTTGAATAACTATTTATGTTTCCAAACCAAACCGGACCACACGATCAGCGTTTTATTCTTTCAGGATAGTATTTGCAATAGCAGCCGGTCTGCTGCATACAAGGGATCATAACAATTCAATAACAGGCAACAATTCGCGGTTTCATTCTTCAATGAACCCATTAATAAGGATTCAAAATTCTGCAAGCCATATCTGATTGAGTTTAAATCGGCTTTGTTTATATATATTGTGTATCTAACTATCTGCTCAGTATATCGACACATATCCTAGACAGGAGACTTCGTACATCTGCTAAACCAAGGACACTTCGATCGAGACCAACTCTTGTCAAATCCTTTCGTTCGTTTCATAGTAGTACTAGCTCCTCCTCCATGACCCCAAGTAGCCACTAGCACAGCTTGTGCTATCCGTTTTCTTTAGGCACCGAGGTTTTTCTCAAATCTATAGGCTAGAGTAGAATGCCCGAATATCCTCAGCGAAAGCCTCGGGGGCGTGCAGGGCGGGAAAGTGGCCGCCAAAGTCGTGGCGCCGGAAGAACACGACATTGGCTGTACGCTCTGCCCAGTCTCGCGGCTACTGAGAGTTAGTGGAAACCATGTTATATTAGCTATAACGATGAAGAGGGATATACTGACAGCGAATGCGAAGTTTGCGAGTTCGGGGAATGGTCCACCCTCGAGTGACCATTGGGTGATGCCGGCTGGGATATTGCTCTTGGGGAAGTTGAGAGTCTCGGGCTATTTTTAAATCGTACTTTAGCTAGCCGAACTCGAGCGGCGGATTGAGTATTCGTATGTTGTTTTGCTCACCTTCAAAGACTCCACGTAGATTCGGAAATTGTTATAAGGGTCTTGGATCCAATTCACCAACGTGTCTGTGATGATCTCGTCATACGAGTATTCGTTGCCAGCACTGGACAACCCCCTGAGGTCCCAGTACCAGCCAGCAACACCCACCGGGCTATCAGACATGGCCCAGCCCAGCGTCAAGGGGCTCTGGCCTTGAATGCTGGAGTAGGCAAAGTGATCGTTGGCGAATGCCAGAGTCGATGCAATGAAGTCGTTCTCCTCGGCTGTTGTCTCGTTTTTCGCCACCCGCTCCAAATCTTCGTCTGTGACATTGTTCAGCTGAAAATCGGTCAAGTAACCAATGAGACTGTCAGCTACGTCGACAGCCATCCATTGTCCGACGAGCCACCCAATGTCTGTGATGACGATGCCGTAGGTCTCATAGCCCAACTGCTTCATCAAAGAGTCGAAGGCGATCCCTACTTCGCGCGGGCCAAGGCCGGGTTGCGTGGGCGCTGGGCTGAAGCCAAAACCAGGAATATCGGCAGTGATGATGTGGAAGGCGTCAGACAGTGGCTCGATGAGCTTCACCCACTCCAGATGACTGGATGGCCATCCGTGGATGAAGAGTAGTGGGATCGCGGTCTTGTTGGGGGATGCATGGTGGGTGAAATGAAGAGGAATAGGGGCGTCATAGGCACGATTGCCGGGAACAGTAGTGGCAAAGTGCTGGAGTTGGTTGATGTTGACCAACTGGGCTTCCCAATCATACTCTTCTGCCCAGTACTTGGCCAGCTCGGACATTCGTTCTGTAGAACCACCCTCGGTAGTCAGTCCTGGGTAAACACTTTGCGTGACACGAAAGGTGCTTGCCCGTTCCTTGGCAAAGTTGATGACATCTTGGTCAACCTCGAGTTTGAAGGGCGTAGGTGAAGTTACGTTTGGCAGGTTGAACGGAAGATGCCGTGCAGCAAAGGCTCTACCGGCGAGGGTGAGAATCAATGTCGATATTTTGGACTGCATAATTGAGAAGAGGATTTGGTCCTGGATGAATAGGTTGTAAAAGATATAGCAGTGATGATGTTGGTGGATTAGAGGCGGGAACTGGCGTGATATATATACATTTCTGTCTCGAGTTCTTATTTCCTTCCTAACCACATTTCGAATCTACTCCATGCATCGAGATTCTCTTCACCGGATCCTGGCGGAGCCTCCATTCTGTTCAGCATGACAGCATTATTAATGTCTATGTTGATGTTGCAGATTTACAAACCATTTCAACACCCTGGCCCTTGGCCATCTCCTAAATAGGAAGTCTCAAGTCTTGGCATCTCACACTATCGACGATGCGTCTCGGATCATACTTTCTTCATCGTATATTCAGCGAAAATTACCCTCGTAGCTTCGTCATATTTGCCAATTAGCTCACATTATGGTATTTGACTTGCGGAATAGACCGCCTCAACAGTAACCCTGACAAACCTCGCCGCCCAAATCCGTTTTTGGCGTGAATCGTGTGTTCGGTTTCTGAAGCTGTAGCTGGCATCAAGTAATGCTATTGACCAGCCTCTGGAGTGCCGGAATACCCTGCAGAAGACAATCGATCTACTTCATTGGCGCGTCACTTCTCCTAAAACGCTTTTCATATTAGTGACCGCTTTGGTTCGCACCAAACTAACGAGGTGTCCGATTAAAAGGGGCTATGACATGACACAGGCCCTCGAAAGCTATGACATGGTATAGCCTGGTTGGTAGGGCTATATTATACAATGATATTTCCTTTATTTGATGAATAAATAGCTCAAATAGGGAATTTTGTGAAATAGTAGCAAACTTGCTTCTTTGATCAATATTACTTCAATTAGCAAACTTCAGCTCTCTGTGCCCATGTGTTCTGATCGCTCGGTTCTTGTGTAACTGCCCCAGCACATAATAACCGACTGGGACGTCACAGGGGAAAATATTGCGGCAATGAGCCTAATATGCCATAGACTGTTGAAGAAATAGACAAAGCGCGCATCAGGTATCTGGCGTGTCTGAGGGCGCCTCGAATAGCTAACGGTTACATGGCAAGTGACCGAATTTCCAGGCAGGGGACGCGGATGGTGTTTAAAGTAATGATGGAAGAAAGCCGGAATCGTGTAGAATCGTCATTCCTTCCGAGGTGCTGTTCCCTTGCCTGTTGTACTTAGAATCTGCGGTAGCGAAGCCTTCGTAGAACAACGGCCGCGAGTTTCGCTGACCCTGCACTTGCGCTACTAGTCGCTGGATTAGAGGATTGGTGCAGCCAGTAGATCATCCGAGCTACGAGGATATGTCTACTGGTACTTACGTAGACGGTGTAACTTCATCTTAGCAGGCTCTTTTGCCAATGTGAGCAGCCTACCATGGCACGAAGGAAATCTCTGAACCACTTCAACAGATCTGTTATTATCATAAGTTTTATGGCAGACTTCTGTTCTCAGTTGATGAGCGGATAGATAGATTCCTACATATAACACCATTCCACTACCAACGCCTACTACGAAAAGGATCAAAAAGCACAAGCCAGATCATCAACAAGTCGTGCAAGCCCCATACTCCGGGATCTTGTATCCTCCCAATCTATTCGGGCTCTCAACCAACGTGGGCTGTTCTTGTAAGACTGCCTTGTATAAACTTTTGGGGCCTTCTTGATATCACCAGTGAAGCTGAGAGTGTCAATGAAGGGCATTGATGCATCCATCAAGGTTCTGTCACCGTCGAGTGTCAATTCAACTTCACGATGCGAGTCATCCGGCCCATTGAACCCATTTGGCAGTAAGTTAAGCGTCAGGATCAAACACAACTCGCACTAACCGCGCCGACTATTTATAGGGACCCTCGAAACTCTTGCTCGGCAATAATCGAAAACAATTGGCTTCAGGAGAAGTGCAAAGATTTCGTTTGGACAACAGGTTGTACATCGTGGTTCGTTGACCCTAAAACCGGTATTAACACCCAAGTGTACAGAGATTGGCAGTTCTTGCTCTGGGCCCGAAGCTATTGGATTGCTTGGAAGGACCTTGTGTATAAAATTTCTGTAAAGGAGCAAAAGTCCCGAAACACTAATGGAGGACATTCTTTGCTTCTAATAGAATTTTTTGGTAACTGTGACAGTGGCTGTGTATGCTGTAATATTGGAAGCGATTGTGTAAATATTTCTTTGCATAATATATGATACGAACTTATTCTATCTTAGGCTGATTCTTCGTCGTAATACCTGGGGTATTTTACAAAAGACTTTTGAAAGAAAAACTCGTATTGGCCACGACTACTCGACTCGTTGAATATTTATAAGTACTCTTCGTTGTTACTTTTACTTAAGGGCAGCTTTTCATGTGGTGCTCCTAACGTTGTTAGGGCTTCCTCTGCAATACTGTTACTTTCGTTCAGACTCTCTCCACCAGATTTACCACAATCACCAATCAGAGGCATGTTTTTAAGTAACTTCCGCTGAATGTAGTAGGTCTTTGGCACACTGGCCTTGTAGACATCCAGGACCACCTACTTGAACTTGACCCCCCTACCGACCTCAGGAATAAGCTGTGAGAAGGCTGTACGTTGCCTATGGGCGCCATGATGCATCTCTAATTCTATATATACGTATGTCAGGACGACGATGATCCTTATATAATCTAAGCCCAACACGAGAAGTCGGAGCGGAAAACAGAATAACTCCGGGGAATTTGTCATGCTTGGCGCAGTTATTGCATCTCGGCTGCCCTTCCTGCATTGCTAACAGACTTTACTCTAGCCGTTTAGTTTTACGTCGCGATTAGAACATGGGTCTGAGTGCAGCAAAGACACTTTCCCTAGACAGGGGATATGTGCGATCCCAGCCAGCCCCTCCCCCTGCCATCCGGCTCGCGGAATTTTACCATTTTTCCATTCCGATATCTTTCTCTGAGATCGGGGAGTCTGAAGTCGCGAGCGCGAGGTCGAGTGCTCGTACGGAAATCATGACTAAGGCTAATAATTGAACCCCCTAATATCGTTACAGACGCAAATCGGTCAATCAGCTACCGATGCTGATATCGACGGATACGCCCAATGCTTGGCAGCTTGTGTACCTCAGCTAATGAACACGCAGGGGCCTGAGCTTGATGCTGATGAATGCTGATAAATCTACCTCGAAGCTGAATATGTAGCGGTTAACTCTGATCGCGTAGAATATAAGTAGAGGTTATACCATAGCTAGATGACCTTCCTGAGTCGAAGTTGTTAAGCCTTTACAAAGCTCCACTTGTGCATGATGTACTACTCCAAGCGTTTTGTCATGCTTCTTTTCATGGGCCTTATTCATGTTGCCCTTTCCCTGCCCTATGCGGTTCCTAAGGCCCGTCAACCGATTGTTACGCTACGAAACGGGACACTTCTTGGCCTCCAGAGCCCTACCTATGAGCAAGACTATTTCCTCGGCGTGCCTTATGCATCCCCGCCAGTGGGAGAATTAAGGCTACGCAGGGCTGCCCCTCCAGCTGCATGGAACGAGACGCGGTTGGCCACCTCGTACGGACCCTGGTGTTATGGCAACAACATCGGGCTCCTCGGGTACTCTCAGACTGTACCCGGAGTCGAATATAGCGAGGACTGTCTGCAACTGAACATTATCCGGCCCTCAGGGACAGGAAGAGACGCCAAGCTGCCTGTGCTTGTATGGCTTCCGGGTGGGGGATTCGCCGAGGGTAGTGCTAATGAGCCCCGGTACAATGGCTCCTTCATTGTTCGCAACTCTGTTGATATGGGTACGCCACTTATGTTCGTCAGCTTAAACTACCGTCTAGGCGCCTTCGGTATGTTGGCGGGATCTGCAATCGAACAAGACGGCTTGGCAAACATCGCTCTCTACGACCAGCGACAAGCCTTGGCTTGGATTCAGGAGAACATCCGTCAATTTGGGGGGGATCCGCAACGTGTGACTATTATGGGCGAGTCTGCCGGGGCATTCTCTGTCGGTTTCCATCTGCTCGCGTATGGTGGCCGGGACGAGGGCCTCTTTAGCAGCGCCATTGCGCAGAGTGGTGGTCCTTACACTGAGGGCGCGGTGAATCGCAACTCAACCAAGCGCGAAGTAGATTTCAACGCCGTTCTCGAAGATACGGGCTGTCAAGGCATGAATGATCCATTGGATTGCCTGCGCCAAGTTCCTGCGACAAAACTCAATGCTGCAAGCGTGGGCTTGCCTGTAAGCATGGTTATTGATGGCCAACTTATTGTAAATTCAAGTCAAGCTCAGCTCGAGCGTGGTCAGTTTATCCGTGTCCCTCTGCTAATTGGGGCCAATCGTAATGAGTGTACTTCCTTTACACGCTTAATTGCGCCGTTTCCTATCAACACCGATGAGGATTTCGCAAATATCATCCACAACACCTGGGCTGGGGGACTTGTCCCTCCAGATCTTGTGCAAGCTTGGTCCAGTTTATATGACAATGAAGTTAATCACCCTTCAATTGCTGGCCTGGGTACTGTTGTGCCAAACCCAGGCACCGCTTATGGGGCCCAGTACGGCAAGACGTCCCTTTGGCTCACAGATATGCAGTTCATGGCTGGGCGCCGGTTCGCGGCCGAAGCCTGGGCTGCGGAAGGAGTTCCAAGCTACAGCTACTTCTTTGATACCGTCCCTACCAGCATTAATGCAACCGAGCTTGGCGCAGCGCACTTTCAGGAAATCCCTTACGTCTTTGGCAACGAAGATGGGGTTGGCTGGGATGGCGACCCTTTTCCCGCTGATCCAACCTTGCGCAACAAACACAAAAGGCTTGCGATGATCATGAGCCGCATGTGGATTAGCTTTGCAGTTGACAAATCTCCAAACTTCCATCGAGGTAAGTAACAGTCCAGATCAAGCTTTCCTGAGTATTGCTAACGAATATATATATAGTGCGGGACATGGGTGTCAAGTGGCCAACCTACTCGCTGACTGGGCCTGAGAACATTGTCTTTAGTGCTATGGATGGTGTTCATCTACAACCAGACAATTGGAGATCCGAGGCCATTGTGCTGGTGAAAAGCCTTCCAAACGACGCAGCACTCTAAATCTAGGCTTGCTCATCTTCCCTGGCATAGGTAATGTTTTATGGTATTCGAGTGTATCACTAGTGTACTACTTAACTTGGAATATCTTTCCTTTCCATATCTTGGTGGCTATTAGGACTAGATCTTTGAAGTAGCTGCGGTAAGGATAAGCAGTTACCCTTAAGAGAGAGTACGGTAAATGGAGGGGGGGTATCTCAGGACATTGCAGGGGATATATGTCAATGATTAGATATACATTAGAGGCTAGAAATAGGTGTTAATCCTAATTCAAATCTAAAGACAAAGTGATTGAACAGATTCCTGACAATTATACAATCAGGTTCTGCAAGGTCGGAGGCGTCCACATGGTCGCCAGATCCGCCATACCAGTGGCCTTGCAAATCTGTACAAAGATGCAGAAAAGAAAGCCATCCCTACCAAGAACCTCTGGACCCCCAGCTAGATTCACCAGCTTGATTGCCCCAAATAAATGCCAACGCATCGCACCATAATTCGACATCCAAATCTAGGTTTGCGTCTGGCAGTCAGTGACTTGGACTATCCAGAGCTACTGCAAAACAAGCGCAAGCTCACCTCGTCAAGACCAAGAAGCATTGCCTTGGCTATGGTTGTATAGTCTACTTGAAGGGTGGATTGGACTTCAGGTAGGGCATCTATTACGGTGCGCAAGCATGCAAGCTTATACTCTGTGGCCAGCTGCATATAGTGCTGCTCCCCCTCGACGGGGTCGTTTTTAAAGCTTTGGGACAGATGACGGCATGAAGATAGGAAAACTCCGTATATAAAGCCGCAGTCCGTTATAGCAAGCCGTATCCATTCTCGGGTCATGGTGTCGGCATAGTCTTTGAGGCCCAGATATTTATTACAGTTGGCATTCAAGCACGGGATGGCGGTCATAATATCTAGGATCTCAATTACCACATGTGCCGATGTACAACCAGGACTGATAAACAGCCTTGGCAAGTTTCTCCGTCTTACAGTGATCAAAGAGGAGTTGCTCCTTGCGCCCCATTGGGAGGGCGAAAGTATCAAAGGGGTCATTCCGGTGTGCGGAGACGAGGTCCACCGGGCTCGGCAACAACAACTCGGAATCGTCTCTTCCAGTTGATAACACTGCTCGGGTCGCGTCGAGGAGGGGCTGTTTGAAATGACGATGTCGTGTTTGGAAGTCGACAGTCCGTGTTCGTCTCTCTCGAGCGTGCGCTTCCCGAGCCGAGTGTTTCCGTGCCACCTTCTTTGTACGGACCGAAGTCAAGTCGGAGAGGTCAGATACAACGATGAATTGAACCTTCCCCATGGCTACACGTTCCTATGTAAGTAAGATAAACATAAGGGTATGCGTCGCGTTGGAAGAGAAGATGGCAAAAATGCTTACCAGGTCCTGGATCGGTCTGGCATTCAATTTGTCAGCAAGCCATCGACCTAGTCGTCCGTGCAGTTAGTTATCTTTAACTTGCTCAGTTCAGGTATTCAGGTGCGTGCATCAAAGCGTCAATTTGGGCTCCACGAAGGTAAGCAACCTCCAATAGATGCAATTCTGGGGAACCCATTGCCAAGACTTGATCCTTCCGCTTTAGGACAATATTAGGGGGGCCTAAATAACTTTCACCGCGACTCTCGCCAAAGGAAGGATCAAAACTGTTGTTTCCTATAAAAAGAAGTTGTTGTTTACTTAGAAATGATAGTTTATTCAAAATAGTTCGACATCCGCCCTCAAGACTTACTCCACTAATAACGTTTACGACTACCACAAATGGCTTGGTTTTGCGACATCTTTGAGCCGCTTACTCAGAGACTTCTTCGGAGACTTCTTCGGAAACTTATTCGGAGACTTATTCGGGGACTTATTCGGGGACTATCTGAATATCTGCTCCTAAAAGCCGAACTGTAATAGATAGTGTAATAGTATCACTGCACGGATTCTTGTGCTTTCTCCAACGCCTCCTTCTACATAGCTGGAGACTAGAGCCTCGCTAAGACGCAGATCCTACTCGACAACATGGCTCTCAACTCTTTTGCCCACCTCTATGAAGAGGCCACTATCGTTGAGGCCCGGCGGTCTGTATTGGATATTCTTGACAACCATGTCCCTAAAATCCATAGCGACATGTCCGTATTGGACTTGGCTTGCGGCTCGGGTACAGTAACCAGAATCATCTACGAGCAATGCTCAGCTCAGAATATCAAACCCCCTAGAGTGGTCGGGGTTGACATTGGTCCGAATTTCATCGAGGCTTTCAATGAAAATAAGGAAGCCCGACAATGGGAGACCGCCAAAGGATATGTCGGGGATGCTTCAGATCTGCACATGTGCTCGGATAACGAATTCGACCTGGTCATCATGAGCTATGCCCTTTTCGCTGTTGCGGATGCGGTGGCAGACAAAGTGACGGCCGAAATCTACCGCGTCCTCAAGCCAGGCGGTGTAGCTGCTTTCACTGTATGGCGAGACAACTTCATCTCCCGCATGTTTCAAGAAGCGAGCACGGCTGTTGGACGCCCAGAGGAAGAGATTAGACGCTTCGATCCGGGCAAGTGGTCTCTTCCAGAGACAAGCCACAACACGCTAGTGGCAGGCGGCTTCAAGCCAGACATGATTAAACATTTCCGCCACGATGATACTTTTGGGATCCTAGACAAGAGTAGCCTTGTCGATCGATTCGACACGCCGTTTTGGCAGAACGTTGGAACAATGGCTTGGGCTGAGGAACAGAAGCCCCAGTGGAGAGCGGAGGCCGAGAAAGCGATTCTCAAGGAGCAACAGGAGAGAGGAGCCTTGCAAGCGAATTGCTGGATATTCATTGCAGAAAAGTAAGAGACTATGGTAGTAAATGCTTCAGTAGGAAAGGTTACTACACGGCTTACGGCCACATTACTCGATCAGCTAAAAAATATAGATAGTCTGAACTCATCTTGAGACCATGCCCGTGTAACTGAAAAGCCATTCAGCGCGGTTCCGGCATGTCTATTATAATAAAAACAAATTCGGTGGCTTAGAGCACCTTCCCAAGGAGTTAGAGGAAATATAAGCCATCAGCCGAACGGTTAGCTATGAAACTATGGAGATGCGGAAAATTGGAAAAATTTGTACGGCTCAGCGTTCCATCTACTTAGCCTATATGGAGTTCCAAGTCCGAACGCGCGACCCCGAGACCGAGCGAGCGACCGCGGTGTCGGGTTTTATCAAATCAAGCATCACCGGGTGTTGATCACAGCATAACCGAACATCTCGGGAATCCTGAAAATAGACCCAGATTCTTATGACAGGGCAAACTCTGATATAATCACAGATATTGTCATCCTACGGACCATACGAAACCTCCGGTTCGCTCTCTACCGCGCATTGATGCCCAACTTCCATCTTCCTTCTAAGCTAGCTCCAATTCTATGATGCTCGCAGGCTCTGTTTTCCCATCGACAGGCTCCGATTTGCCCCCGTTTGTACACACATAGAGTCTTGTTCCGTCCTGCCCCAGCACACAAGCCGTGCAGCCCGCGAGATGGATATGACTACGTTTTCGTTGTGAGTGCATAGATAAATCGTGCCACTGCTTTCCAAGACGATAAAGTCGTCCACGACCGAGCCAGAATACACAGTCTCGACTGGTCCAGTCGCTTTCATGTCATCTGAGACGGGTACGCGATACAAAGACATCCGCATCGTAGTGGTGTAATAGACAAAGGTTTGAGATGGCGTACGGTGGACTTTGATGCCGTTGATGCCGATGGGTAGGGGTGCCCCGGCGGGCACTGTCATGGTCTCATCTTGAAGGGCGACTTCGAATGTATCTTTCTCGGAGATGTCGACGCTATAGACTTTTCCGTTGGAACAGTCGGTAGCTAGGACAGTGTTGGCGTCCCACATGGCAATTCCGTTGACGAAGCCAATTGGTGGGATGGCGGCAGCCTTTCGTAGACCGGGCTGCTCGTTGTTGAGAAACAGCTCGAGGATCCAGATACTCCACGATCCAGTCACGGGCCCCATGGCAGGGTCGAAATTGCCCGCACCTAGAGCAAAGGTATGATCACTAAGACGACAGATGCCAGTGACAGAGGCTACACCAGGGATCATTACAAGGCACGACCCCTCCCCGGTCACAGGGTCAACGCGCCAGACCTCCGGGCAGTCGGTACGGGTCACGAGGAGCGTGCCATCCGTTGGGTTTATGGTGATGTTTTCGAAACAAGTACCCTTGTTTGGGAGCTTGAAAATGGTCTTAAGGCTCGCCATTGCTGGTTTCTAGGAGGTATGATGAGTTGATAGTAAATCGAATACAGGTCCAGGTTTCTCTGCTACTTTTGGTCAGATCGGTGCTACATATCTATGATTTCTCATGGCCAATGAGAGTCACTAGTCTATTTACAAGTCTGAATGATTGAGCGTACCTCGTTTCTCGGTCGTCTGTTAAGTCCGCGATCGATGATGAGTGAGGTTCGCAGATCAGATTTATAATCAGAGAGATCATGCATTGAGGACCCCTTGACAACCCTCATATACGCCTTGACGAATGAGAATCGTAATACTAAAGAAAGGCTTTGAGTTGTGGGTAAACCTCCATGGGGACGGTGACCTCAAGAGTTCGTCTTGGCGAACACTGAGCCTGGCGAGACTGAGCGGCGAGCCTACGACAGAAAAATAATGAATCCCGCTAGATATATAAGAGGCGGAATGCTCACCAGATCCAGATGAAGAATCTCAGATGCATACGTCTTCACCACAGCCTATTGAAGCTAGAGACAATTATGCATATGAACCGTTTCCACTTACCTTTCCTAGCCGGTCTGGCTCTAGCAGCGCCGCAGAGACAAGACAGTGGCCTGTCTTGCAAATGCTACAGAGGAGATGACTGCTGGCCGTCGCCCTCTCACTGGGAGTTCTTAAACCACACTGTTGGCGGAACTTTGCGAAAAGTTATCCCTCCTGCAGCGTCCTGCTACAACGAGTTTGATGGCATGCAGACCTACGATCGCGAGGCATGCGAGGCAGCCACAGCGGGATTCCTCTCTGGAGATTGGATGTAAGTTGACTCTCAATCCGTGGAGGCGGAATAGTTCTTGTCTAACTGTTGATGTGTAGGATTAATTCTGGCGTTGCCCCGATAGGGCCTTATCCAACCAACGAAACCTGCCTGCCGACAACTCATCCCGGGGATACTTGCTTAATCGGCTATCTGCCAGAGTATGTAATCATGGCCGAGACTTTGGAGCACATCAAGACGGGGGTTGACTTTGCACGCGACCGCAATCTTCGACTCATCATCCGCAACACTGGCCATGATTTCATGGGCCGCTCAGTTGGCGCCGGCGCCTTGGCCATTAACACTCACTCGTTTAAGGGGGCAGAGTTCACTGACAAATATAATGGGCCTGGAGATTATACCGGAGGGGCTGTCACCCTAGCAGCTGGAATACAGGGCATAGAAGTATACACCCAGGCCAATCAGCAGAACCCCCCTGTTGAGGTTGTTGGCGGTTTCTGCGGAGTAAGTGTATACAATCTTTCATAATTGCTCTCTGGCTAATACGGTGTGTAGACTGTTGGTTTCGCTGGTGGCTACATTCAAGGTGGCGGCCACGGGCCCCTGTCTACCATCCACGGAATGGCTGCTGATCATGTCCTTTCTGTTGATCTAATCACAGCGAGTGGTGAATACGTTACTGCGAATGCCGACAACAATCCCGACCTGTTCTGGGCCTTGAAAGGCGGCGGTCCTAGCACGTTCGGCGTTGTGACCTCGATTACAGTCAAGACGTTTCTTGAACAGAAGTCATCGGGCATGGTTCTCAGCATCAACTCGACACATACCAACGACACAGAGCTCTTCTGGAGAGCAGTCGATGCTTTCCACGGTCTGGCAAATCATTACGTGGACAATGGCATGTTTGGATACTACGAGCTGAGCGAGCTGAATCTACACGTCCAACCCCTCATGGCGCCACGCATGACAGCTGCTGAGCTGAACAAGGCCCTGGAGCCCCTGTTTGAGAAGCTCGAGAAGCTGAATGTGCCATACACCACTTATACGAAGGAATACGATACGTTTTTCAACCTCTATAAAGATCTACTCTATGGTACAGACACCGCGGGGGCCAACTTTGTCATGGGCGGCGCTTCTTTAACCGACAAGACATCGAAGAGAACCATGACGAGCTCATCAAAGCTTTCAGGACCGCCACCACTATCCCGGGATGGCAGGAGCCCGGGGTAATGTTTGGGCACATTGTCGGGCCAGGCGTTGGCAACCCGAACCCTGATAACGCCATCCACCCTGGTTGGCGCAACGCCTCGAGCTTCAGTATCTCATCCGCTTTCCTACCTCTTGGTGCATCAAAAGACCTCATGGCAGCTGGGAGAAGCACGATTACCAACATTGTCGATGCCGCTCTGATTAAGGCCTCCCCGCGCGGTGGTTCCTACGTGAATGAGGGCGACATTGAACAGCCGGGCTGGCAGTCTGCTTACTGGGGTGATAATTATCCCAGACTCCTTGAGGTTCGCAAGAAGTGGGATCCCGAGGGCGTTTTCTATGCCAAGGCCATGGTCGGAACCGAAGATTGGGTCGAAGTTAATGATCCTCCAAGACTTCGCAGAAAGACTGTTTAAGCATTTGAATTGTACATGCAGCTTCATATTGGGACATTGTTGTCTGCGCCAGAACATTGATGCCAGACGACTTCTGAATTTGGGTTTGGAAGTTTCATATTAACGCCGCACTTCATGGTTCGAACAGCCTGATATAAACTCGATCTACTAATAATTCGTCTGTGAAGCAGATACATCATACGAAAGATTACTTGAAGAGATATAATAATCTTTCTTTGAAAAAACCGGGATGTCAAATGTAGCAGACGCCGCGTACCTGCTTGTTGATGACCCTAGTCAGAAGCCGAAACTTCCATCTCATCAAATTCATCATAGCCTATATTTCTATTCTTATTTACAGATTTAGTAGAGGAATGAGTAATCAAGCTAGCATTTAAGATAGATCAAAGTTTTGGGATCGCAAGGATAGACTACATCCCTACTCATGCCGGTTCAGATAGTTTGGCGGAGAGGTGTTAATCAATCGTTACGATTTTCTCAATTTGTATCGCTGTGAAGTTAAAGTCAATTTCTACATCACACTGCCCTAAAGCCTCGGCTACATAAGTCCTCCAATGAAGGCTATTTTCTAGATTTACTCCTTTTCGAAGCAGAAGTTTTACCATCCCTGCACAGCCAAAATCAATCCACCACTTGGAATAAGGCCGTTATACCTGGTTGGTTTTCCATGAACTTGAGTTTAAAATGCCAAACTCAAGAGTGAAATCTTATTGAAGGCTACAACAATGCACAGATAACGACTGCAAACCTCAAGCGCGATTTATCCCAAGACTGGAAGGTTCCAACCGACTGAGAAGCAGACAGGCATATGGCATCTTCATTTGACAGGAATGCTAACAATTTCTAGAAGCGGTAGGATAGTGGCAGCCCCACCAGAAGGCTTCTCTTTTATCCGCGGGTCAACTGAGCATCTCGCATGACCCCGTTTCTTTAGGAAGGTTGAGAGCGCTTGGCGAACGATTAACGTTGCATCGTGCGGATGTTGGCGTATAATGGCCCGGATTGGAAGACTTAAGGTTGTAATCTAATAAAATGATTAGAACCAGGCTTGTGATCCTTCCGCTAGTGATCATCTTGCGCCATGTCGAAAGTGTGCCTTTAAAAAGAAGATCCTAGATCACTCCTGCCAAAGTATTGAGGGACGGATCTCTATTTATTCTTAAGCAATCGGATGAGGTGATACGAGAGCAAGAATGTATTTATCAGCGTTGAGATCTATCGGTTTTCTGATACCATTCCTGGTTTTAACTGTCGCCGAAAACAACCAACAACAAAATGATACTGAAAACCCCTTCCCTGCTCGAGTAGCTCGAAGCTTCATTATCGAATATGCCCCAGTGAGTAACGATTGGGTTGAGCGTAATTTATCTCTTCTCTCCTTGACATAGAAGCTAAGATCCACTTCCATGAAATTAGGGATCTCGTGAACGGCAGAGCCTAGCTAGCCAGGATGGCATTTCTGTTGTCAAGGTTTTTGATAGCAGTGTTTTTCAGGGAGCCTTGGTTGAGACGGACATTCTGACCCAAGATGACCTGTCAAGAGCACCAGACGTGCTGGATGTCTGGCCGAACGAGTTGATCCAATTACTTCCCACATTTGAGCAACAGGAAACCGTCGCAGATGACGCGCCTATCCAGCACGACAATCACAATGCTACGGGTGTGAGCAAGCTGCATGCCCAAGGGATATTCGGTAAAGACGTGAAGGTTGGCATTGTGGACACGGGTGTCTGGTACGATCACCCGGCTGTGAGTACAAGCCCAGATGGTTCCAAATAGCAATCATTAACGTATGAGTTCATTTCTAGCTTGGGGGCGGCTATGGTGCTGGTTTCAAAGTTTCAGGGGGTCACGATTTCGTTGGAGATGGTCGTGAGTTTCTTGTCCTTCCTTGAGGCCAAAAGTGACTGTCCCGTAACAAAGCCAAATAGGATGGCCCCAGACAGGCGCAAAGGTACCAGACGATGACCCCAAGGACCAGCAGGGACACGGCACACATGTAGCAGGCATCATCGCGGGGAGGAATGATTATTGGGTTGGCGTTGCCCCTGAGGCATCCTTATACGCTTACAAAGTTTTTACCAGCCTCGGAAGCACAGATACGGCTACTCTTATTGAGGCTTTTCTGGCTGCGTTTGAAGATGGAATGGATATTATCACTGCTTCGATAGGCGGCGCAAACGGCTACTCCGACAATATCTGGGCAAAGGTAGCCTCTCGTCTTGTTGATGAAGGGGTTGTCGTCACAATAAGTGCCGGTAATTCGGGAGAGTATGGTCCGTTCTACGGCAGTAGTGGATCGTCTGGCAACAATGTGCTTGCTGTTGCGTCCGTTGAGACGGAACGTTACCCCGCCAGTGCTTTTGGCATAAGGATTAACGGAACAGTCGAAACTTTGGGCTACATTCCTGCGCTCAATTACTTCCCTCCAGAGATCGTCGACTGGCCAGTGGTGAGTCTGTCCTTGGACACAGAGGCCGAAGCGGAGGCGTGCCAGTCATATCCCGAAGGCACACAAAACTTGACTGGTGTTATCCCACTTATCAGGAAGGGGGGTTGCTATCACTATGTGAAACAAAACAACCTGTTTGCACTTGGTGCAAAATACATTCTCATGCTCAATAACGATGATGCTCTCGAGCCGCCTCTAGCCTCCAGTATCGGTGCCATTACAGCCGGCGATGGCAAGAAACTTATCGAGGCCCTCAAGGTAGGAAATAACGTTACGGCAGATTTCTCATTAGATCCAGAGTTGCCTTTTGGAATCGAAGATCCCACAGGCAATCGCGCAAATCCATTTACCTCATGGGCCGCCCTTTACAACCTCGAACTGAAACCCGACATTGCCGCGCCAGGCGGTAACATATTTAGCACATGGTTTGACGGCAGTTATAAAATTCTCAGTGGTACTTCAATGTCCTGTCCATACGTCGCCGGTGTTGCTGCCCTTTACATAAGTGCTCACGGCGGTCGGAGCGTACAAGGCAAGGAGTTTGCCTACCGACTAAGCCGTCGTATAATCTCCTCCGGCAGGGCGATTCCATGGTCCAACGGTACTGCGGCAATATTCCCTTTCAGTGCCAGCACGAGCCAGGTCGGTAACGGGATGATTGACGCAGACAAGATTCTCAACTACGATACACAGCTCGATTTTAGAAATATCGCCCTCAACGATACCAGATACTTTAACCGATACCACGATCTCACGGTGACTAACAATGGATCAGAGCCTGTGACGTATCGGTTCTCCCAGCATTCAGCTGGTGGAGTTGATGCGCTTATCTGGGATCCGTCCGACCAAACGAAGCGCATTAGTCCATTCGCGCAATTATCCCCCAAAGAATATACGCCAGTGGTATCCCTTCCAAACGATATTTTTCTGCAACCAGGCGAAAGTAAGAAGGTCAGCATCAATTTCGACAATCCCGATAATCTTGGCTGGAATGCTTCTGCTCTGCCTTTGTACAGCGGCAAGGTCACCATTTCCGGCAGCAATGGCGAGTTTCTGTCGGTCCCGTACCTTGGTGAGTCTCTTGCCGTTCTAGAATCATTCAATTATGCGCATCTGGCCATGTTGCTAACTGCTGGCGCCAAGGTCTTGGTGGTGACTTGAAAAATCAGTTGACCCCCTTGAACGAGAATGGGTTTCCATATCTGATCTCAACCCTGAATCAGACTCAATTCATTGATAAATCAACGTATGATGTCTCCTATCTCATGTAAATATCTTCTTTAAGGCCAATGGCTAATGATATCTGACACTGGAATAGTTTTTCTTTCAACCTTTCTAACAGAATCATGGATTACCCCAAGATTTATACCAAGTTTATCTGGGGCACCACAGAGGTTCGATGGGATATTTATGAAGAGGGATTCTCAGAGCGGTCTTGGAAATATCCTCCCATTGTAGGAGAGGACTCATTCATCGGCTCGGTGGCCTCTTGGGTCGGTTCTAACAATGGTTGGCCCTTTCGACTTGGGACTGATGATCCAGATGAGACATACACGTACCCGGAAACAAACATTATACGAGCTACGAGCCTTAGTTGGGGCAGGCAGCACTGGTGGTTTGGCAAGCTTGGAAACGGCAGCCAGATTGCTCCTGGCAACTATACTATGCGTTTCGCTGCACTCAAACCGTTTGGAAACCCATTTAATGCTGATAACTGGGACGTGTATCGCCCAACGGGAGGTCTGCCGAAGATTGAGGTCACAGGACAGTATTGAAAGGTTGTTCTGGTGTCTCTTATGAATCCCAGAAATGCTGGCCAACAAGTAGATGTGTTTCACAGACTACATATAATTTCACTCTTCGTTTAGGAAACTAACTTTTAGCAATATGATCTGAGTTAAACCCTGTATATCAGTCCTTGTTAGAACAAGTCATCGTCGCGAAGAACTTGGATAAAGTGGTGCTAGCAATTTCTACTATGCAAAGTTCCTATAAATTTCCAACTTGCGGCATATTATTCGCAATATCTTGCTTCAGCCTTCTTTCTGTATCTTTGGGCTTACTGCAATCTTCATGTGTTTGTCCTTTTGGTGAACGAGATGCTCAAACCCTTTCTGTACAACCTCTTGTAAGGAAATTCTTCCAGTCACCATCTTTTCCACGCCGTTAAATTGTCCTTAAGACAGTCAGTGTCTGTTGTAGGAAAATTGGTTAATGCAGATGATCGAACTTACCACTTACGAATGCGTCCACGACCTCACTAAAGTCTGCGTCATTGTATGCCAGCGAAGAGGTCACCTTAAGCTCCCTGAGCAACATCATCTGGCAGGGCAAAGCCACCTGAGATGAGACGAAAATCAGCACAACTGTGGAAATTATTTCCGGGTGAAAGGGCAAAGGCCAAATTCTTCTTTGTTACCTTCGGTGTACCCAGGGCGACGTTAACATAGCTGCCTCGGAACTTCAAGCTACCAATAGCGCTATCCAGGGCCACTTGGGAACCTGCACAATCAAAGACAGCATCTACCCCAATTTCTTTTGTTCTCTGACGGCATTCCGAGGAGATGTCTATTTCCGTCGGGTTAAATGCGGCCTCCACAATGTCCTTGAGCCACTCTCGACGTGCTGGACTAGGTTCGGAAACAAATATATGCTTCATCCCCCACGCTCGGAGGACGTATATCATCGAGGCGCCTACTGGTCCACCACCCACGACGAGGGCTGCTGCATCGCCGCAATTTCCCTTGCTCAAACCTGAAAGAGCGGCGGCATGCCAAGCGACTGACAGCGGCTCTAGGAGCGTAGCCACAGCCAGATCGACAGAATTAGGCAGAGCGTGCAGCTTTTCTGGCCTGACAGCAACCATTTCCGCAAAACCCCCGCCGCCGCCGCTCAAGCCGAGGAAACCCCATTTCTCACAGCCGTTTGTATGCCCAGAGCAGCATTGGAGGCACTTGCCGCAATTCAGGCGGGGATCAACCATGACGGGCTGACCAGAAGAAAACTTCGAACCAGGTGGTGCTTCTAAAATCCTCCCGGAGAATTCGTGACCCATTATCACCGGCATTTGCTCCCCGGAAAGTGGATGTGGTTTCGTTGGAATAGCTACCGGACCTAAGGGGATAAATGCGCCGGTTGATCAGCATCAATACACATCAGAGCATCGTCGTTCTTCTCGGTTCAGCGGCTCTCACCGTGACTGTATTCAGACAGATCGCTGCCACAGATGCCACACCATTCCACTGCCACAATCACCTTGTCATTCTCTACTTTTGGGCGGTCGACTTCCTCAACCCTGATATCGCCAGGGCCGTAAAATCTGGCCGCTTGCATGGTTGCTGTTCTACTACCCAGACTGGATGATTCTTCTTGTAAGTGGAGGCAAAGGGGGGGGATGAGTTGGGATGTTTTTAATTATCCTGCGGGGACCATCAAACGTCCTATTTGTGCACATCAGGCTATCATTATCCGTCGCAATTACTTTTTCGACAAACTATTAACCGAGGTGATTTCTGGTCACTGCATAGCCAGTATTATTGCCCGAGCTGACCAAGCATTTCACCTTCTATATAGGGCGAGTGATATATTCTCTTGTTTATTCGTGCCATTCTTTTCCCCGAAGATCTGCCTCTGCGCTTGACCTGGATTGGCATGGTAGCCGGTTGGATCGTGGGCACACGAAGATGTTCTTGCGGTTGACGACGGTCGGTCGAAGGCGAGTTCCCGAGTATATTTCATCTTCTTGGAGATCTTGTGCTCGTCCACATTCATCCCGATATATCAGAAACTCAGTCCATGAGCTCTAATATCGTCTTACCTACTCTAAATGATAATTAAGTGAGATTCCCCCGGCCTTAAGCTATTACATGACTCGCATAATGACAACATTGGTAGAGACCAGACTAACAACATAAGAAGGATCTACATAAATGCCTCAATATTCATAGAAGTATGTAGCCTGAATGGTCTGTCACTGCTACAAGTCGGGCAGAAAGTGAAGTCAGTTAGTGTTGGTGGCGCATATCGTTCAAGGTGAATGGATTTATGGTACCTCCCAGCGTAAGAAAAAGTATGGCTGACATATTGTTGATAGAAACTCTGCCACATGGGAGCGCAGTTATTAGAGTTAGTCCGTCTTTGCCATAAATGTGAAGATCTAGAGTTCCTCATAAAGCTCCATCAACACGTCCAAATGATCAAGTTTTATGAGGATAGTAAAATATTCCATTGTACTAAACCACATTTCGAACTAGATGTCTCGATTTGGAAGAAGATGCATGAGCACAAAGAGGTGCACGTCCTACCCCACTGTACATTTTTACACATATCTGGTAACTTGCGAGTCCCAAAATATCGATATCAACGGTTCTGGTAACGCTTGCCATTTCTTAGTCATTTTGACGACCTTGATCTCTCGGGACTCTGGTCTCGCTTCGAACATGGCAGCGTATTGACCTCTCTCAGATTCTCGGGTAATGGCCCGCATTTTTTGAGAACGAGAACCAACTTCTGCAGTTCGGTCTGGTTTTTGTCTTCCCAGGTATGAAAAGAAGCCCCAAGGTTGATAGTCGTTACCTGGTGAAAGGTTCCGTTCGAATGAGTGCCACGGATAAGCCAGGGAGTTCGGCCGAACCATAGCTGCGGCATACATTCTCTTGGGGAGATATAAGAAGCAGCGGATTTGATTTCAGCTGCAGTGGTCTGGTGCTTCAGGCCAGCTCGTCTCATAGGACAAACGGGTGGATTTGTTCAGCTCAGCTTTTCCGTGGTATTGTAAGAAGCGTCGACTTCGCAACGGACGACGCAGTTCAACTCTCCCAGAAGATAGCGTAAAGCACAATAGTGCGATGTGCCTTCTTCCCACTCTGTTGGACGACTCCTAGAAGCACATTCAAATGCTCGGCCAAACCCAACCTCTATAAATGGACGGGGATCGTATGTTTCAATGAGTAGACTGTTATGAATTAACTGGAGGTTTACTCGGAAACTCCGTGCGTATTTTTGACCGCAGAAGAGCAGCAAGTTCCTTAAACTGTTTCGATTGCAGATAATCTCTACATTGTCGAACTTCAAATGGGGATTCATGGCCCCTACGGCTTCGAACATCGGTTCGAAGGAGTAACGGGGCCATTTCCGGCTAGTCGAACAGTCGTTTTCGCTTGGGCTCCGGTCAAGAGTGACTGGCAATGGAATCTCCCTCCAGTCTGGAAGACACCCTGTAGAGTTTCATATCAGCGCTTGGAAGTCTAGATGGCAAAGATTGAGGAGATCTTTCTAACCAGGGAACGAAAATTCACCACCAATCTGCAAGTTGTAACTGCAGATCAAGTCACAGCCCTGTGAACTTTTCACTTTGTTCACACTCGAGGGTGAACCTAGTGCTGATGCAGAAACCGTGCCAACTGATTCGCACCTGCGGATTCCCTCCCACATCCATGCATCTTCAGATGCTCTGCCGACGTCGGCTGCCTGGGACAGTCTTGGACTTTTTCCTTGGCACGATACGCCATGTTTGTCCTCTTGATGTTGGGCGAGATGCTTGTTAGCATGGAACCGACGGCCGCATGCGGAGGTTGGCATAGTGAATAACTGTCCAAGGGAAAATAGATAGATTCAAAAATAAGTCTGTAGATTGTGACAAAATCTTGACCGAAAGAACTTGAAGTTTTGCATCAATGAGGCAGAACTGCACCCAGATCCCAGAGAAAACAATGACCTTTTATATGTGCCATAGGACACTGATTCGGAAGGTTACAGGCCTCTGATCGTTTCATAAGACTGTCAAAGGCAAGCGGTTCACCATGCGGATTCTTCAATCAAAATATACATAAAACAAACAAGTTCTGATTTGAATCGAGCGAGAAAAATGGATAAAGTCAGCAAATCGGGCGTGAGATGTGTGTGTTTGTTTGCTACATTTGATATACACGGCTTCGAAAGTCAAAAACACATTAAAATCACTCTTCAGAACTCCCTGAAGGATTTCTCGACGTCAAAAATAAAGGTAACTCATGCAATAGTCAAAGCGGATACTCTATAAACCAAATTCAGAACATCAAAACGCAAACCCAATTCCTAAACCCGTTTGTTTGTTTGATCGGAAACACTGTTTATCTGAAAATTAACCGAGCCGGAACTTGAATTATATAAGCCCCTTGTCGGCCTCCTATGTTCTCATTGAAGAAACTTGAGTCGATGACCGAGTGACGCGTCGACATGGAGCACCAACCCAGTCCGCATTGTGCTATTCCGCAAAAAAAAACAAAAAAAAAACAAGAAAGTTGCAGCAGAAGTGGGCCTGTACGTTTACAAAAATAATGAGCTTGTGCTGGAATTTGACACGTATGTGATGGCGGTCCTCCTGCATACTGTCTTGCACGATACACACGGCTAAGGGCTCTGCCTATCACATTTGTTGATGGGTTAGATTCAACTTAGTAAGCTCTTGAATATGGGTGCGTGCATTACCATGTAAAAACAGTAAATGTTTTGAAATTCCTAAAGAGTGACACCAATGCGGACGATCGAGCCGACCTTTGCTGAATGGGGCCTCTGATGATTCCCGGCATGGTTCTATGTAAACTACTAGCCACTCATTCTATTGGGAAAAGGAGTACCCGGCAAGTTAGTAGACGATTCATCTGATAAGTCGCGGCGCCCAAGGATGCACCTCGCCATCGACCGTTCTTTGACCCCAACACATAGAAATTGAACATAACCGCACTTCTACACAGCAGGCTTGAATCAAAGGGGTTGCGGAACCTCACGCTACGCTCTAATACTTCATCGTATTCAAAAGATTCCATGCATTACTAAGAATGAGTATGTTCAAGCCATGAAACGAGCATAATTAAAGATCAATCGAAGTACTTTGAATAGCGCTCTATATTGAAGAGTTTTTATTTCACTCATGAATCATTCTCTCACCTGGTGGAAGCCGATAGGAGTTTCTTAACAGGGGCTAAGCAGCGCTGCCTTGGTCACGTCCTTGGGAATGACACCCGCGTTGACGGCAGATTTATAACACCAGCGCCATTCATCGAAGCCTCCAATCCAATTGCACTTCCAGGACCAGTAAACCCAGCCCCCAGACTTCTCAAAGGTCTTCACCTGGGCTGCCCAATACTTTCGATACCAGTCTGCCTGATCAGATCGCCCCCGAATACCGAACTCGTTGTTGCTCTCAACAGCGTCAGCGACAGCAATAGACCATTCTCCGATGATGATATCCGAGCCACGGTTGTCCTTGCACACTGCATTGATGTAGCCATCCTTTGTTGTTGTGACAGAGGGGTCCCATTTGTAGTAGCGGTGGTCGTCGAAAGACAGGAACTTTTTATCCTGGATATTCGCAGTGGGGTTACCGGATCCCCAGGCTTCGCCCTACGGATATATTAGAAGGGTTATAATGATTGTGTGAAAAAATGTCTCACCATGAACTGAACGTGGAGAAGGTTGGCATCGGCAGTGTTGAGTCGGCGTTCAGCGGCGCGGATGCGCTCCAATGCTTTGGGGTAATAATTGGCAATCATATCCGCAGCCTCAGCAGAGTAACCCGAGGCGTGGACGGGCTCGTTCATGACCTGGAGCATACCGACGTTCCAATAATTCGGAGTAGTGTGAATGCGGTCCGCCATCCACTCGAGGAATTTTATCGCGCGCTCGTAGTTCTCGGCTGTGTAGAACCCGGGATAATCAACACCCTATCTATTGTTAGTTATTGTGACAATCACCAAGATGATCCAGTGGGAGAATTACATGACCGGTGAACTGCTGGTTAGGGTATTGGGATCCGGGACCACCGTGCAAGTCCATGATAACATACAGACCAGCTTCTCTGCACCACCCGACAAGTCTGTCCAGATAGGCAAGACCACCACGGGGATAGTATTCGCCCTGCTTGACAAGATCCTCTTTGATCCAGAAGCCGACGGGAATGCGAACGGTGTTGAGACCCAGGCTGGCAATCTCTTTAATTTCAGCCTGAGTTATCCAAGTGTCCCAGTGCTTCTTGAACGCAGCATCAGCAGCATCTTGGCCCAACTTCTTGACACAAGCCCATTCATCATTGGTATTGGCACATCCCATGCTGTTCCATTCGTCGTTGGCCATCCAAGGCTCGATGATAAACTGAGAGCCGAGATTGACACCCCTGATCTTGCTGGCTCCAGACAACCAGCGCTTGGCCTTGGCACCGGTGGTGTCATTTTCTACCAGACGCGTTAGTACAACACACTCTACTGATCGAGGAACGAGATAACATACCTTGGGACTCGGGGGTCCAAGCCTTGGCCAACGCCAGCAGAAATGAAGCCGTGAAAATGAGACGCATTTTGATATTGCCGCCTGCTTACGAGTATATCCAGCTGTCCGTAATTCGACAACGACCGCACTCCGGCAGATGCTGGCTGTTAAATACCGAGAGCTGTGAGAGCATATTATCCCGCTGTGGGTAAGCGGAGCCGTAATCCGAGAACTCCCCTGCATTCAGCAAATATTTTTAGAAGCCAAACTGCCGGATACATGCAATGAGCGACGAATTTCCCATCGTTTGTTTCATGTCGTCCCTAGCGTGCTACGCTGAGCCGTGTTGAGCGGCTTTGTCAGAAGTTAGATGAAATGAGCTGATCCTTCCATTGTCTTCAGCCCTGTAATCCTTGCTACTTTAGCCTTATACTAATTATTTGATACCTGTGCCTCCCGGTTCTAAGCAATGATGAATGCTCTAGGGCAGACGTGGTATCCCCATTCTGACCGACACAGCCGTTGGCAGGAGTAATAAGATGAGTGACATTACCCCAGCCGTCAGCCGGACCACCATGTCCATGCACATATTTTGTTGATAATCTCGCATTTAAAGTCCATTCTGAGCTTACTAATAACTATGCATACGGCGCGATATTCATATGCCCTAATGAGGGTTAGAAACCAGGCCTGGTCGGTCGGGTCTTAGGATGGCCTTGCCCTTCCTCTCCATTAATACACAGCTGTTCAAACATACGTGACGTGAAATAATTTTCCAATGGTTACTGGAAGCGCTTGGCACTATGCTGGTGAGCGTACAGCTCTATGGCACAGCTGGAGGGAAATTCTCAGCTGTCGGGCTAAATGAGAACTCCTTCACAATACTGGGAGTGTGCAGCCCACCAGACTTTCCTCAATATCAACCTATCGGATTTTGAATCCTACATGTAGATATTAAGAACCCCCCAAGAAATAGACTTCGAGAATAAAGGGCAGAGCTTGCCAATTGACGTCAAAATTGAGATGTTGTTTCATGAGTTGGTCAAGACTTACTCCTTGATCAACTACCCGAATAGTCAATGGTATGTCAATTGATATAGGCACTATAGATTTAGTAAGTGTTTCATGACGCTTATGGCTTATATTGCGTTTCATTTCTAGTCTTGCGATTACCAGGTACAAGCTATTAGTCATGTGATAGTAACATGCTCCGATCAAGCAATTGCAAAGATGGGTGCTCTTGGAAATGCCCTAGTCAAAGTATATATTCGCTCCATCGAACTTTGATGTAGTTGTGGTAAGATCATTGTCTGAAATGGCTATAAACCGCGCCTCATAGCCAAGTAAGTTGCTATAATACCACCACAAGAGAGCCGAATAGGCCTACATAGGTAATTCACCAACTCCACGTGCAATCTGGAGACCAGCGGCGTCTTGGGGAAGATCTGGGCGAAAATCCTTCATCGTTTGCGGTCTCATCTTCCATGGACTAATTTTGCCCTTGATTTGGCCAGGTAAGCTGGGTGGGTGTATCTTGGCAACCAAATCCGACAGGTATGAGCAAGGGAGCGATACACGCAGCGCTTCGAATAAAAGGACTTTAAATACCTATGAGGCAGTCTCCGGATTTAGGGTCTATCCAGTTAGTAGGCGGATTGCATTATACCCACACATGGAAGGTAACAAGGAGAGTGCAAAAGTCCAGAGCGAGGCAGAATCCATCAGCCATGTTGGCGAGGGTGGTGGGCGAGGCCTTTGTTCAATGCAGTCATGCTCTTAACGTAAACACAAAAGATCATTTTTGAAAATCATCAAGTGTATCCAGGTGACTCTAAGATCGCTTACCTTACATGCGTATCATTGTCTTTGGTCTTGTCATTGCTGACTCGAGTGCTGGCCTCTGGACAAGCTAAGGGCGATGGAAATAAATAGTACCCAGCAACAACCGACTTGTGCATACTTATATGCCTGTTTCGACAGTTTTTCACATGTTCTGATGACGAAACTTTGTGCGTTAAGAGTTTGAGGGAGAGAATGATGATGGGCACTACCACCCAAGTAGCAGAGTAAATCAGAACAACCAATAGATAAGAAGTGTCATGGGTAATATCTAAATCCATGTCCTTTGATGACTAACACACCCCGGATACGAACCCGGGCAACTGGGAACAATGCGATGGAGCCTAGAAGCCTAGCAACTAACGGTTATTATGGGTTTGTGCATGAGAATCCGCACGGGCCAAAGTGCTCTGCCTGGTCCTGGGCAGCCACTGCTCACGCCTCAATGGACGTTCGTTGTCATGATGGATGTGCTTTTGCGTTTCCAGGTTGGGAAGTGTCTGTTGTCCATCGATTCGCCTCTCTGGACACGGCTGTGTTGCGTGTGCCGCCTTGTGAAACAGTTATGTATGTGTGGGGACGGAGGGGGCACCTCCATTTTGCGCGCCGTTTCATTTGAGGCTCAATGAGCTTTCGTTTCTCCCCTCTTTCAGCTGTGTTCATTCATCTTCGCTGGACGAGGGCCTGCGCCAACGTTACGCGTCGCTGTCACAATGCCGGGCATCCCAAGAACCAAGGGCTGCACAGTCTGCAAAGTCAGAAAGATAAAGGTAAGGCTGCGCCGTGAGGAAATTGAAGAAATGGAATGAAGAAAGCCTGACTTTGGATGGTGGCACCACAGTGTGACGAGAATTGGCCCAGTTGCACCCCTTGCCGGCGCTCCAAACGCGAATGTCCGGGCCCAACACCGCTTGTCAATGTCTCGTACATCGCTCCTCGAGATGCTGCGCCAGGATCAGCCAGCCATGGCAGCAAGAGAGGAGGGCTGGTCATTCGTGCTGGCCATCGCGCCGCCAGACCCAAAACTCAAGTCAACAAACAAGCCCATCCATCCGGATGCGGCCCTCTCACAACATCGAGATGCCAGGAATCGCGCTGCCTCGGCGCTCTCCGCTCTCATCCTACGAGTCGCCCTGACCAGCTTGCATCGTATCTCACTGCTGTGTTAAATGACGGCACCTACCAGGGTGACCTCGCCCAGCTGGACGTGCTGTCCTTCATCCCTCAACGCCTGCACGTCAGTCCATGCCTGACTGATAGCGTGGCATTCTGGTGTCACTTACAACTAGACACCCGTCGAAAACTCCCAAAGCCCAGCGTCGCAACCTTGCATTACTACAGCAAAGCCCTCCAAAGCCTCCAGAGCACCTTGGAAGGCAAGAATGCCTATCGGACTGAAACGCTGGCGGCGGCGGTCCTGCTCCAGCGAACCACTTTGCCTTTCCACAAAATGGTCAAGTCCGACGCGATTGCACATGCCAAGGGCATCTCAGCTTTGGTCATGCAGAGAGGCCCTCCTAATTTGGATGACGATCTTGATGTCTCGCTGGCTATTGAGTTGTGCTCGAACCTGGTAAGTTCTCATCTTCCCTAGTTAACTTCCTATTTGTGTCCATGAGGCGTTGATTGACTCTTCTCCCTCTAGTTCTGCTGGCATTCTCATGGAGATGAAGATGACACACTTCTTCCCGAGATGGAGCCAGCATCAACCGATGATGACGACCCAGAACCCCCGGCGGAATCTTTGGCAATTCCGGGACAAGAAGTAGTCCGAGAAGCTTTTGTCGACTTGCTGAATACTATACCCGCCCTCAACTCCATCCATGAAAATCCCGAATCCAGGGAGACAGTATCGCTCGAAGCAGCTGATGTCCGTCGACGACTCTACGATTTAAACGCCATCGCGTCTAAAGCGGCTTCCCAGATCAAGAATCAGCTCACCGAGATGGGCCTGATCAAAGTATTACCCGATCCCGAGTCCTTTGTCAAACAAAAATATGAATTCGCCTCAGTCGACATAGCACAAGCTGTTCTTGGAATTTTCATTCTCGAAATCATTGCACCCAGAATGCTGCTTGGGCTCATCTCACTCTGTGATCCCCCAGAATCGGATGACGTATTGCAAAAATACCGGTCTGCCTCCGTCCAACTTTGGATGTGCATCCCGTATTTGGATAGACTGGAACTCACCGATGCGCAGATCATCTCATGCGCCTTCTGCCTCAGTTATGAAGCGGCGGATGCCACCGAGAGGGATCTCGTCGCGGACGTTGCCGCGCGTTACGACACCTACCTCTCGAGGCTGAAGAACAACCGCACCTTGTTGATCGAGCGTTTGATAAGGACCGCAAAGCAATTGACCGGCAGTGCAGACATCATGCCCATACAAGTGCTGATGATTAACCCGACTAAGAAATCACCGCCCACTAAGAAGAGCCAGCCTCGGCGTCCATCTAGAAAGCCACAGTCTGCCCATCTTCTTCACGGCTGCTTGTTCTTCCAGGGGATCTTGAGCCCAGATGACCCTTGATCCGGTTTGCCAATCAGCTTTTACGATGTATAGCACCCTGCCAGGCGGTCAGGTGATGTCGCTGAACGTCTTCAAAGGCGTTCATTAAGCACTTGTACGCAGATACTCAGTATCTCAACAGGTCAAAACTGTAGGGACCTGCCTCGTGTTCATTCAAGTTCCGGCATTGGTGCGGCACGACGTGAGGTTTACCTCCTACAACAACGTTGGTGGACAATCGAAACAAGGTGGCTAACCGGTATTGGATGGTAAGCTACGCTATCTGATCCTAGCGAACATTCGGAGACTATGGTAACTTTATGGCATCAACCTGGGGTATGGCGCCAATAGCGCTATCGGCTACCTGGACCGATCTATACGAAATGACTGAGCCTACCACCTTGGTCTTGATCCAAGATCGGAAAGTTGATGCGCAAGAATGCGAATGAAGCTGGCACCACAACTTCTAAGGGCGACGGCTCCATAAGTTTGAAGAAGAGAAAGCGGTACCTGTGGTCACGAAGAAATGCTTGGTACAGCCGCTTCAGATAATACACTCATTTTAATTCCTTGATTTTCTTTTCATATCCGTGGCTGCTGCTATTATTAGCAGGCCGGTACATATCTCGGGTCTCTCGGCCCCTCCCGTAACTCTCGGCAGTGCGAGTTGATCACATCTCATTGGGCCTCTCTATGTTGATGGGCCAGAGCACATCATCCTCGTGTGGCGAAGTCACAATGTCCCCTCCTTGGCAGCTTGAGCGATGTCACTGTGGAGATAAATTAAAAACTACACGCCCCTGATAGTTCTAGAATCTTAACTCGAAATAAATGCATAGGGTATACTTCGTATATTGCGGGATTCAAAATTGACAGATCCTGAAACCGTGTTTCTCAAACAGCGTCGTATTTTGCCGTAATTATGACTAACGGGCCTGGGGTCTTCATCCTCGCTCCCTCTCACACTCGGTGTGCCATGAATTGCATGACCTGAGCACAAGTCAGGATGAACTGCGTTCCCTATGTATAAACTTGATACTATGATAGTGTTGATTAAAGTACAAACTTAGTCGGCAGCATCAAAACAGTCCACGCAGTTTGGCATAAACATTCGCGTGCTTCGACCATTCATCATAAGATGTCATCAGGAGCAGCAAATCCCACCCCGGCTATGGCATCATCCCCAGGACCCGCTTGAAATGCCCAAGAATAGGTCCAATCACCATCGGAACAGGAACCAGTGAGCCTATCTTTATTACACTCCCGCCAGTATAATTAAACCCCATGGCTTTGCAGATAGACCTACCTAAACGGGAGGATCGAATGCATCTCAATAGGTGAAGGATGTTTTCCTTACTCAGACACCCCTTCTTCCTCTGTTGCAGCCAGATTTTCGACATCTGTTAATTCAATGCCGCCATTGATTCTCTCCAATCGGGAAAGTGTATGGATGTGCAGCCACCTACGAGGTTGCAGTGGCGGATCCTCCCTAATGCCGAATTCTCAGTTTCAGGATAAAGATCATCATATAGTCTCCGCTGTGTGAAGCTTATAAGATCTAGCAGATATTCCCCAAACCTGCCCAGTGTAGTCCGCCATCCTCTGGAATCTTTCTTAGAAACAATTCTGAGAAGTTCGCCGGTCAACTCCGCCAGAGTGCCAACCGAAAAAGAAATCTGTTTCTCGACTGCCCTCTTGAGTCATAATGCGCTACACATTGGCTCCGGCTATTCTAGCCCTTGTCTCGCAAACACTCGGAGCTACCATTGGCACTCGTCAGAATTCCGAGGTCCCCAAAACCGACTTCGACGCAATCATTGTGGGCGGTGGCCCCTCTGGTCTCAGTGCGCTCAGCGGCTTGGCACGCGTGAGAAGAAATGTCCTCCTTATTGATTCTGGAGTCTATCGCAACGGACCGACCCGGCATTTGCATGACCTTATCGGTCTCGACGGTATGAGCTCCCATGCCTATCTAGTACATAGCTAGGATTTAGAGCCCGAACACGGGCCGTTTCTAACAAAAGAGTATAGGTCTGACCCCAGCATATTACCGCTGGCTTGCGCGAGAGCAGCTCGCTTACTACAACACTGTCGAATTGACCAACGGCACTGTGACCAAGATTGAGCCTCAAGAGAATAACACTTACTTTCGTGTGATCACAGACAACCGGGAACCTGTTACAGCCCGGAAGATTGTTCTTGGAACGGGTCTGCGGGACATTTTGCCAGAAACCCCTGGCATTCGCGAGAATTGGGGGAAGGGTATTTTCTGGTGCCCCTGGTGCGATGGTCATGAGCATGCGGATCAGGGACTAGGTCTTCTATCCAGCTTGGAGTCAGTCGCTGGCTTAGTCCGGGAGGTTGCAAGCCTCAACAAGGATGTTGTTGCCTTTGTGAACGGCACAGACACCCCAGAGACGCGCGCTCTAGCTGAGAAGAACTTTCCGGACTGGGAGAAGTACCTCGAGCTGAAGAAGGTGAAGGTTTACAACAGCACCATTGAGCGCCTCGAGCGTCTGCAGAACGCTACTCTTGGTGACCCAAGTCTGCCTACCTACCCAGAGCATGATAAGTTCCGTGTGCACCTGGCCGATGGAGAGAAGGTCGAGAGAGATGCATTCCTCACCAACTACGATGATGAACAAGCGAGCACAGTTGGCCCTGACCTAGGTGTTCGGTTGGATGGCGGACGCCTGGCCGCTGACAATTCGAAGGGCCTAGCGACAAACATTCCCGGTGTATATGCCATTGGGGACGCTAATGCCGATAATGTGACCAACATCCCGCATGCTCTTTTCACCGGCAAGCGTACCGCTGTCTATCTCCATGGTAAGACATATGCGCGAAATTAAGTTTTAGAATCATAGAAACTAACAGGGCCGTAGTGCAACTTGAGCGCGAGAATGCACTTGCTGAACTTGAAGCTTACAAGGGAAACCAAACACTGGCCGAGAGAGATTTCAGCGACGACGATCTTCGTGCTGTGTGGAAGCGAATGAACGGCGAGCCAGGCGACTTGCTATACGCTGGCGAATACCGTCAGTAACTAAGTTCCGAGGATGACCTCATAATATCTTAACTCATGAGATCTCGTTCGTTTATACTTTGTCAAATGGAGACGGTGGTGCCTAGGCTTTGGGACAAAACTTATGTTTTTGGTATCTTTCTTCGACTGTATTATGCTTGAGGAAGAGGAAGTTATTAGAAATGCCCCAAGGGACATATAATAGTTTTGTTCCAGTTTCTGAAACCATGTATTATTCATCTGCATTACCCAATGATTAGCTCGCGCATACAGGAAAAGCCTTGGCTCTTTAGAGCCCTGCGGTCTTCAGAATCCCTGGCTTCCTAGCCTCCAAGATCGGTACAGTTTGCGACCATACCCTCTTCTGGACTTCATCTCCCAAGTCAGTATAAATCCAATCCTCCACGTTCTGATTTTTTCCATCGCTCTGGAACTCTCCAAGCGAGTCCTCAGGCGCGGACGCAGCCAGCACCAAACACCGACCGCCCACTTCTCCCGTCCGTCCCAAAAGCTTATACATGAGGCGAAGCCCCAACGAGCTACTCTCGCGGCTGAGAGTGCTGTAACAGAGGCCTGGGTTGACAACGTTGAGGATAACTGGGTGAGCATTGAAACCGGGGCCCGACTTCAGCATCGCCACAAGTTCGCGGACCAGGAGAATCTCCAGGAGCTTTGTCACTTCGTATCTTTTCTGTCCATTGTACGACTCTTCTTCGTTCAACCGCGCATAAAGGTCAGAGGCGTTGATTTCTGGGAAGGTGGTCAGGCGGTGGGCCTCTGAGCTCACAACCGTTATATGCGGCATCGAGTCCGGAAATTCAGTCTTCGTTTGGTGGAGCTTTGGTAACAGCCCCAACACCAGAAGGAACGTATTCAGCACATTTACTTGTGTCGTCTGCTCGTGGCCCTCGACGACCTTGAAAATCTTCGTGTTGATACCTGCGTTCAACACGACGGCGTCGAGGCGTGGCAGCTCCGTCAGAACCCGCTCCATAAAGTCAATAGTTGACTGGTTGCTCGCCTGGTCTAGTGGCCAGACTTCGATGGCGTCGGCATCATTTCGGCCACCAACACTTTTCAGGATATCCTCCTTCGCTGCTTCACCTTTGGCAATAGTCCGGACCGCAAGGATCAGTTTAGACGCATTGAGTCTATAGAAGTGGCGAGCAGCCTCAAGCCCTAGCCCAACGTTTGAACCGGTGACTATGACCGTCTTTCCGGAAAAGGAAGCCTCGGGATAGGGAGGAGTTACGAAGAGCTGGGAGTGTAGAAAGAGGCGGAGGCCAACCCCAACGTTTGGCTGAATCTGGAAAGTCTTTGCCATAGCGAAAACAAAAGAGTGCTGCTAGAAGGAGCTTGTAAATCAATGGCTTAATACGAATTTGCATTTTCGACTAAGTTCCAGTCGCCATTTAATACTTCTTGAGCAAACATCGCCGTACCAACAACCTCATCATGATGCCTTTACCTCTTGTCCCGATTAGGAATTTGTTCAAGGATTCCAGCAGACCCGTTTAATTTATCCACATGAAAATGGAAGATGGCCTGAAACTAGGCTGTTCTAGGAATGTGTTCGATGGATTGCACCATGACAAATCTGCTGACTCGTGAGATTGTAGCCCCAGATGAATCTTGATTCCTGAATCATCTGTCTCTCGTTGTCATCCTCTGCATCAACACATTCTACTTTCGGAAAATGTCTTGACATTGAACCGGCCAAGCCATTATTCGAGCGCTATCCACTGCCGAGCACATTACAGCAGGGTGGGAACCTGATGGAGTCGACTGGGTTTCTGCCTGGTCTGCACTTCATCGTCACCAGCCATCCGCAGGACGCGACCACTTCAGATACACTACGTCAGATCCGGTCGCACGCAGCCAAAGAAACGCGTTCGCGCGCGCGTAGATCGATCAAAAAGCCGGCCTTCGGTCCTCGAAGGAAAGTCAGGCCCCGTCCGAAGATAGATGAGAGCACGCATGACCCTCAGGGCCTCAAGAAACAGGCATGCCTCGCTCCAAAAATTGAAAAGGGCCGAGAGTCTATTGACCAAAACGCAATTGATCTCCCTACCATAGAGTACTTCGACCCATATCAGTCTGCAAAACTTTCCCGTGACGTGGCATGCTTAGGTTCCGTCCGGCCCTTTTCCGATATTGAGAACTTCTTGTTTGATCACTGTACGCCCATCCTTGTTAGCAAGATGCTACTCGCCAACTAATCTTACCACCTCAACAGATATCAATTTTTTCATCCCTTTTAGTATTGGCAGCTGCCACAGGAAGAAGAACCCAAACCTCGTCGCCATCCAGATGAACCACTGGGTTCCATTTGCTCTAACAGACGTGGGTCTCATTGCCGCCGTGTTCTTACAATCTTGCCGCAGCCTTGCATCATTAGCCACGACAAGTGCTTATGAGGATCTGTCGACGAAGTATCGGCTTCAATGCATCCGGTCCACAAACGCCTCCCTATCCAGAGCAGTCACACAGGCCAATGATGCGACCATCAGCAAGGTAATGATATTGGCATCCGAGGAGGTTCGTGCTTCTACCTCAGACTGGATATAGAATGTGTACATTCAATCTTCTAACATGTTTTTTTTACAAAGTTTGAGCGTGGTAATTTCGACGGATGGAACACGCACTCTGTTGCCATCTCTCGTATGATTTCTATGAGGGGAGGGATTGATAACCTTGGAGTCGGTGGGCTTATGAAGGAAATTTTAATTAAGTAATAGTCTCCCAATTCTCCCCTTGCCTCTTTTCTATATTAACTAATTCAAGCACACCGTACTGCTACGGATTTTCGGATGAAGATGGTTAGAGACCGATACGTTAAGTCCGTACCTCATTAGAACCACAGCGAGCTACGAAAAGCACAATGCACATATATGAATTGTTCTTATTGCTCTCGATCTAACTGTTGTTCGAGTTCATCATCACCTGGCTCCATGTTCGTCCACAAGCGTTGTAAATCTCCTCTGAAGGCTCCGGCCGCAGAAAACGTAGTCTCTATCCTCCCCAGCAGCGTTGAAACCGTCTCCCTTTGCGAACTGCTTCTTGAACGTGCCCCTGCAACCCGCAGTGGGAATAAAAGAAGGACAGCAGATATTCTTGACCTCTCAAGTACGACCTGGCTTAATTCTAGAATACAGCGCACGTGAGCTTGGATATCGTCCTCGGTCAAGGTTGGAAGCAAAGCTCCCAGATCAACCCAGTAATTAATCTCGTAGTCAAAGACCCCAGAGAGATAGATGCTTGTGGCAGCTTGAAAAACAGATGCCAGGAGATCAAAGTCATCGAAATTTGAGCTTCGATTATGGCGGCCGTTGCTCATATGTTCAATGCTCTCAGTCTGCCACACGTTTAGAGCATCACGCAGTAGAAGGCCCTCAATAGCAATATCGCGCGCTTCTTCCTGCTGTGAACCCTCATTTGATGAGCGAAACTGCTTGACGTGTATATATTCGGCGACCCTGGAGCTTGTTAGGATATCTTTCATGTGTATTTCGGGTTATCAGGACACCCACCGGGAACGCAGCGATGCGCAGCGCAGAATGATGTCAAGTAGATCATCGAAAGGATGTAGATTTCCAGGATTAATGGTGGATTGGACCCTCTTGGAGAAATCAACCCACTCGTCTTGCATTAAGAAACTGTAATCATTGAAAACAATGGCTCTGCAGACCTCGAAGATCTTAATTTCCATGAAAAACCTTTGTGGTAGCGAGCCTACACATGCATGTGGCCCGATGGCAACCAGAGCTTTTGACGTTCCGTGAACAAGATGTTGCACCCAGCGTTGCCCCGACGAATCGACCATGAGCTTGCGACCATATTAGCATTATTTGCCGGAAATTACGCTGATTAAAATTGCAGAAGCACGACTAACCTCAAACAGCCCCAAGAGCATGGTTGTCCACAATACCGCCAATTGTGGTTCCGGGGTTTGAGTTTGATACTCGATCGCGTTCCGTAGACCAATGACGGCTTCATTGTAAAATGTGAGGGCCAGACGATAATTAGCAAGCCGGTGGTTGGGGTTTAGTTTGGTCGCTGTGAGTGCGCCCAATGCCAGAACAGACTGCCTGAGGAAGATCCCCGATGATGAGGATTGCACCATTTGCTTGATATCAAAAGACAAGATCCCTTGCTGGCTAAAGGCATTCTTCTGAAGAAATTTATCCCAGTACAGAAGAAAGTGGGCATTGGGATCGAACTGGGGGTCGACCCTTGGTGAATCAATCAACCTTTTCCGTGGAACAAGACTGTTACTGCCAGTGACCACCTTGCGAGACCCCTGGTCAATTATGATGTTGAAATGCTTTCTCTGCGGGGCAGGATAAACGCATTTGAAGCCTCGTTTTTGGCAATACGTGCATGGTCTTGTCCCTGAACACTGTGGAGGGTGAAATAAGGTCAGCTGGTTCAGCACCGCAGGCCATAATTCCCCAGGGTCAGGGTCTCACCTTCACATGCTTCAGGACACACGTCTCGCAGCGAAACGTTTTCTTGCGGCTGTCATTAGGTCCGATGGGCATTTTTGCTCCCTCTTGCATTCTGCTGGGATATTGAGAACAACAGGAATGGAACATAGACTGCTTAGTCCTTTTGAGGCATCAACTGAGCGACATGGTGTGTATCACGCTATTCCTGAAGAAGAAATAATTGTACGGCGCTAGGAGCCAGAATTGCTTCAGACTTTTTATTGGTCCAGGGTCCAAAGCTCACCCCGTGAATGTTGAGGTGCTGTGGCTAAGCACAGTGTGGCTGGTGTGTATGTGTAGTGTAGCTTGTGCCGGAAGACCAGCGGGGAATTCAAAGGAATCAACTGTAACTCACGCTTCATACATCATGCACTGATCTGCTTCTATGTAGAGGCTGGTCTACCGATGGTGAATGCCAGCTTAGAATCGTCGGGATCTAACGTTGATCCGCCTGCCTCGGTGTATGTTGAGCTGTAGACTGCTTGTCTTATCGTCATTAGCAATGTAGCGGATGGTAGGCACGCTTTTAAGATCAAACAATGGCCAAGTTGCAGTTAAAGGATGGGTATTATTTTATTTATAACGTTTTATATACCTATACATCTGTACGTAGAGTCGATAAGCCTCAAGCAAATGGAATGCTAAGTCTACGGTCGCCTGTCTAGGGTAACTGTCGGATCTAAGACGTGAACGGGCTTCCCGCTAGAGCCGTTTCTGCAACTGACAAAGCCCAAGTGTTAAAAACGGTTGATAACACGTGACACCGCGCCATCGCAGCCTTACCCAAAATGGAAGCGCGTTTCAACAACCCAAACTTTTCTCCGTTCCACACCAGATACACAATTATTACCAAACCTGCAGCAAAACCCCTGCTGCGATCGTTATTGCCATGGACCAGCCAAGACATTCCAACCATCAGCGGCGGCGCGGATTTCGCGGCAAGAACAATATCCGGCCTCGGAGAGCTCGCACTGATGAGAACCGCACTGATGCTGCTTCGTCGCAAACTGCAGCAACTGCGCCTCCTCGACAGGCCAAGCAGGAGGAGGATACTGTGATGACTGGCGCAACACCAGAGGTCACGGTGCCCTTGGATGATGCCAAGTTTTCCGACCTCAGAGGATCCAACCTTGTTCATCCCACCTTGATTGAGACCATTACGAATGATCTCAACTTCTCTCATATGACGCCTGTTCAGGCTGCCACACTTCACGATTTGCTTCCCCCAAGCCGCAGTGACTGTCTGGTTCAGGCAAAGACGGGAACTGGAAAGACCCTTGCATTCCTACTTCCGGCGTTACAGACACTCATCACAAACCACCGAAACCAGGCTGAGCGAGGCTCGCCTGCAGTGTCCTTGCTGGTCATCTCCCCGACTCGAGAACTTGCAATGCAAATTGCACAGGAGGCTACGAATCTTCTCCAGCGGTTTTCCAACTTCCATGTTCGTCTTGCCATTGGAGGCACGAACAAAGATCAGGAAGAGAGACGGATCCTTCAAAGCTGCAATGTGCTTGTTGCTACTCCTGGTCGTCTCCTTGATCACATGGCCAATGAGGATGTTTTGTACACGTTTCGCAGTCTCGAAACCCTCGTCCTCGACGAGGCTGATAGACTACTCGACATGGGCTTCTCCAAGGCTCTGAGGGAGATTGTCAGCAAGCTTCCTAACAGGAAGGAGGTGAACAGGCAGGGCATGCTGTTTTCAGCCACAATCGCCCAGCATGTTCACCAAGCTGCCGATCTCGTTCTTTCTCCTGGGTACAAGTTCATCTCAACCGTCCCTGCTGGCGAGGCCAACACTCATCAACGTGTTCCGCAACTCCTTATCAAGGTCGATAAATTCAGCAGCGTCGGCGCGGCTGTGGTTGGCTGCATTCGTGAAGAAGCCAAGCAACATCAAGACTTCAAGGTCATCATCTTTGCTCCCACTGCTCACTTGGCAGACTTCTACGGGCACATAGTATCTCAATTGTCTGATATGCCACCCGTCTCAATCCTCCATAGCCGGATTTCTCAGAGCAAGCGCACCAAGACCACAAATGAGTTCCGCGATGCCAGGTCAGCCATCTTGGTCGCCACGGATGTTATTGCACGCGGGATGGATTTCCCGGGCGTCACTACTGTCGTCCAAGTCGGCATTCCCTCCGACAAGGAGAGTTACATTCATCGTCTGGGGCGTACAGCACGCGCTGGAGCGGAAGGGCGAGGAATCTTCATCGTTACCGAGGCAGAGTCCTGGTTCCCAAGATGGACATTGAAGGAGATTACTTTTATCCCACACCCTGCTGATGTATCTGCATTGGCAGAAGTTGAAGCAATTGCTACGGTCATGGATGAAACCGACAGAGCAAGGATTTATCAGGCATGGCTAGGATATTACAAGAATCACCTCAAGGGTTTCAAATGGACTAATGAAGAGTTGGTGGCTCAGGGTAATACGTTTGCCCATGATGGCCTGGCGTGCCCTGAGACGCCGCCCATTGCGAAGTCAACAGTGGGCAAAATGGGTCTGAAAGGCACCCGAGGTTTGGTTGTTGTCCCGGACCCCCCGAGGGCTCGAAGTGGTAGGGCACCGCGAGGACGGGGTAATCGTTCTTGATTATGAAGGGTATGTACGGCTGTAGTGTATAGACAGGTAACAGAAGAATGAATACAAGATTCCAAGCTATGATACCATTGTGCAAATTCGCAGAAGCGGTTGTCTATAGGTGATATGTTTTCTGAGATCGAGTTGACCATAAAAAAGTAGTCCAATATTATACACTGGTTTTAATCGTGGCAACGGAACAAAAAGTGAAAACCTTCAAGGTGGTGTGCCATTGTCGTCTATATAGTTGCATGGTCCTTCGACAGCTAACCACAACAGGCGGCAAGGTAAGCAAATTTCAAGCTAAAAACAGCTCCACGTGGGTGTTGATTGCCTGTAATTTCGGCACAAGGATAGGGGAGAGTTCCGCCTCGGATGAGAAAATCAACGATTGGTGCAGCGATTATTAGACAAAGCAGGGTTATTAATTAGAAGTAAGCTAAGGTAATTCTCTATTATTTTCTCCTTGTGGTTGCCCACCAATTCTACTATCATAATTCCTCGATTATATTAGATACCATCAACGGCAAAGGGTTAAGTAAAAAGGACAAGAGGCCAGCCCCTCTCAAAGCAAAGATGAAAAGGAAGTTGAAGGGTGGAAAAGCCCAACTTGGCGTGCGATGACGTGGCATACCGGCGGGTTTTTCTTTTAAGCGCTGGACGATGAGGAGCTTGAGTCAATGTCCTCCCCATTCACCGCTGGATTATACCTGGGGCAACTGGAGCTCCAGAAGCAGTTACCTCCGAGCATGAATCCCGTGGCCTTGATGTACTTCTGGATTTTGTGCGAGTTGCCGGAGCGCTTTTGCAACTCTAGCCCTAGCCGCCGGGTTTCCTGCTCGTGATGTATCACCAGCCCCTTGACGAATACAATCGCATCGTTCTCACACAAGCGGCAGGATTCCATAATCACCGGAATAGCGTTCCACTGACGCTCACCACGATCATTTCTTTCCACATTCCATGAATAGAGATCGTTTGTGAGTCCCATGGCGCGACCTGCGGAAAGTGCAAACTCGTGACACATTTCCTGCTCGGCTTTGTCGAGTGTGATGCCCATTGTCCACAACATGAAACTCTCCATGATCCTAGATCACACATTAGCGTTTCGGACATTTTTCTCAAGATAGTAAAGACTAGACTTACCAAAACCCAACGTTGAGGATCCTGTACTCAGTATACTCTGCGATGTTCGGAAGCTCACCGCCCTTTTGGCTGTCATAGTTGGCCAGGTATGACTTCAACGCATCAATCACACGTGGTGTACCTTTTGGGTCTAGCTTTGACATCCGATCGCCGAATTGCTTGAACAAACCGGCGATAACGGTCTTCCGACTGGGTTTCTCTGTGTCCTTCGCCGATCCGAAGGAATCTCGTAGACTGGCATGAGTCTGCAACGCTTCGGTGTGAGGCACATCTTCGATGAGGTCTACCCAGTCACATGTTAGAAAACCTGCCTTGTGAACAAAAGGGGTGTGTGGTTAGATAACTTACCGTCGTAAAGCCAAAGTGTTTCGATGATCTCGGTGGCTAGCTTGACACGTTCCGTCTTGCCATATGGCCAGCACAGGGCAAAGAAATTACCATCTGGCCCGGCAGAGTGGGTTCGAAGATCCTGCCCTGGCATCAGGTCCAGCCACGCTTTTCGTGCGGCTAGGGCTCCTTCTTCGATTTGGGCCTCGGCACGGTGTCGTGCCACCGGGAATGTGGTAACGCAGGACGGAGAGGAGGACACAGAAATGGGCGTCCATAACGAACGTTTAGAAAGGGTAGAGGCAAACTTTCGGGATGGAATAGAGCCCTCCTCTATGTGCTTTGAGGAGTGGTTGGATAGGGTCAGCATGTTGAGAGAGGTTGTGATGTGTACGATATGGACATAAATGTCTTCACAGATGCTGAATATATGACTCTTGAGAAGCATTGGTCGCTGTATATTGTTTTGCAAGAATCGAAGGATAGTCCGCCTCTTATAGGAACCCAACCAGCCGGTCCATGAGATGCAGTACCCCAACCCCAAGCTTTGATCCGAGCTATGATCCAATCTGTGCTTTTTTGCCTCGACATCACACTGACCGCTGTAACCCTGCTTTGTGTAGCTGGTAGTGATAGAACCGCACCGCGTATGCTAATTTTTCACGTTAATCCGAGCCCCTATCGGGGGTGTACCTTGAAGCCCAAAATTTGGATGATGTTCAACGGTCGGTGCGAAGTCCAATGAAAGAGAGCGCAGGCCAGCCAGTGGATACGATTTCAGCACAACGGAATCCCCGGCCCGGAGCTTATGACAGGAGTCGTAGGCTAACGTGGCTTCTCTTGTCCCATCGAACGTCATAGAGTCTTCCGTTTGGGGGCCGATTGGCCATGCCCTGAGATCTCGGCTGGGTATAGACCCTGGTTCGGTCTCCCAAGGCCACGGTCACGGTATGGACATCCCAAATCACAGCACGAGGCAACGCTGTCCCGGTACTCCTAAAGCAGTAAGGATCCACTGATTTCAGGATTCCATTCTTCTAGGCTCAGGGATTGAGACGAATGCGTTTGTACGAGGTATGGGTCCTTTGAATCACGGTATTCGGCAATACTTGAGGGAAGCCGTATCTCCTATTCGTTATTCATTTTCACAAAACGAAACAAATGGGTGAATTTCCAAACTCGTGGCCCATAATCCTTCACAAAATCAGCTTCAGGTCGGTCGATGTCGCCTGCTAGTGGTCGCATAACGAACACAACAGATGTCACACCTTATCAAGCACATTATTGGGCGAAGAGTTGGGGCTAGACGGTGTGCCGAAAGAACTTTTGTATTAAGACTGATCTGCATTCACGTGGAAGTGTTTTTGATCATGGGAATGGACCACGTTGTTGGTTCGTTGTTGGTTCATGTGTGATCGTGCTGCATGATCGACACCCAGTCACAAGCGCCGTGGCAATGATTGGACACCGTTGAAGCACGGCGGCAAAGGCACTGCAGTGAGAGGGGCTGGGGGAGCGCGGAGTCATATGACGGATGGAAGTTTTCTCGAAGGCACACCGATAAATTGGACTCGTGTGAGAGAAGTTGCTCGGGTATGGGCCGGGGTTCAGCCCCAAGAAATCCTTGTCGTCAGTTTTTAGGATAGGCACCAGCCCTCAGAATAGACCACACAGCCTATAATATCGGGTGTCTAGGACACATCCGCGGTGGCGGGGAGCGGCTCGGCGGATACTTGCCCGTTTCCAAGTCAGCCTCGCTTAGAGGCCTGGCTCAAGTGTGGGCTCCAACCCTGGATGGATAACCCTGTAATTCGCAAAACTTGTTGCCATATTTGTGGATGCGCTTTGAGAGAACACGATAATTATTGTGATCACCCGTTGCAACCTGAAAGGGGTAATCCAGCGCATGCCCGATGTCGTTCGATGGCGGTCAGGGTGCCTGCGTGCGCTACTCCGGGAAGATTTTTCAGCTTGAAAGCGGCATAGTTCCACCCTTTGCTCATTTTCTAGAGTCTCTGTGCAATCCTAGCAGTATCATCTCTAGGTGGTATATTGCTTCCATTAAAAGGAGTAATAATGATTCAACGGAAAAAGGTTTTACCAGTCATGGTGTGGTGTGTCTAAATACTTCTAAGACCATTCTCAACGACGCCCAATAGTGAAATTTGGAGCCTCTCGCCTCTTCCTACTTACACCTCAACGTCGGTGACAGTGTATTTTGGGCCCTTGGCGAACTTGTCCTGAGGAACGATGTGCTCCTCGCTTGTGTTTTGTTGTGTGTCCTGGATATCACTAAGCTTGATGTTCGGGCCCATTTCAATCCGTGAATTGGCGCTCTTTTTATAAGAACGACCCTGCGACCCGATCGAACCCCATGGAATGAACTTCAGCAGAGGTCGCAACGCGGCAAGGGAGGCAGTGAAGATGGTAAGTCCCAGCTCAGTGATCGAACTGATAATAGAAGTTAGCATGAGTTATCTAACACACATTGTTGTTATTTGGTAGCTGCTGGTACTCACAAAACAAATGTTACAAGGTAAGCGTTGGCAGCTTCGACACCAGTTGGGGACTTCATGTTGGCGACGTCGAGCAGATATTTCAGCCGCAGGACGGTTGCAATGGAGCTCCTAGTCACCTGGGTTAGAGAGCTGTAACAAACTAACTGATTCCAGACCGTGCTTTTACTTACACTACTCCCATTCCGAGAAGGAATATTACCGATGCCTTCATCTTTGGGCTTAGCTGAACGCCTCGTAGTAGGAAGACTGGAATAATCTGCAAAGGTAATTGTTAACATCATCTGACGACTCCCGAGAGCAAGAAACACCATTGTACTAACAGCGTAAAGAAAGCTAGACGCGATGTCCATGGACGAAATGGCATATCCGACATTTCCCAACGTCTTGGCCGACATACAAGTCCCTTCACCCACTCCCCAAGCAAGGGATAAAGGCCGGCACTGCAGTCCAACCATTACGCTCGTTACTGTTGTCCATACCGCCATGATACCGACCGACGCTTCCAATATTCTTCGAATCACATTGTTACTGCTAGCGAGACGATAAAGCACGAGCGCCACGCTGACTTTGGCAACAAACACGAGAATCACGTATTCGATGGTCGAAATAACGAAGAACTATGCGGCCGATTAGAATATACTCCAACGTTGAGCACCGGGAGACCAAACCAACCTTGACGGCGGTCACAACATCATAGTCTGGGTTGGGTGAATCATCTCCATATCCAGCCTTGACTGATATAAAGGTGCAGGTGCAGAGAATGATAAACCCAGCCTGGTGATCTGTTAGCTGGTGCTGTGCGAACCAAAGGGACAGCAAGGCATTGATTTCTCACATGAGCCAAGACCATGGCATAGTCGTCGTATCCGAAGGACTTGCTAATCATCGTCCGCACGTACACTCTTAAGCCTACGCAGAGCGTATTGACGGCTAAGAAGACGATCATCGCCGGCTGGATGCTGTCTCGAGCCCACATTGTGCTTGTATTTGTACTATACTCGCACTCCGGTATCCAAGATTGATGTTCAGGCAAAGTCTTTGGGCTTCACGGTTGCAAAAAGTAGAACATGGCCATCAACGAAGAAGTCGAAACAAAAAAGAGGTCTCGCGATGCTGCTTTTCAGTCAAAACTCCAATGCTACGCTGTAGGGGTGCTCCTGCAGCTCGCATGTCCTCTCGTGGATTCGCCGCTGCGGGTTCGTTGTGATGAACCAACACTGAAATGAGTTCCAGCCCCTTGTGTCCAGTTAGCGAGCTCAGCTTGGAAGAGATGTGCATCTCATCTCCTCATTCCTGCAGGTCCGGGCCAGGGGGCGGGGAGGAGCGTTGGATCCCGCAAGGGCTGAATCCATGATCATTGGGCTGCATACGGCAATCGAAACAGAAAGTGGCGAAATTTACGACCGGAGAGCTGAGACAACTTATTGCAAAGTGATTACATTGGTTCGTCGCAGGTTATATTCCCCGCAATTAAGAGCTGTTGGTTGACATGTCGGCAGTGATTTGCAATCGCCGACGATGTTATCACCGATGCCGCAGAGCGATCCGCGCCTTTGCTTTCCGCATCAGACCACCACGACCGACCGCAAATGGCTCGCCGTTTAGATGAATTATTCTAAATGCTGATGCTTCATTGGCTTTTGGGAGAGATCCGTGATGCTTTGGACGGTATTCGAGGACTCTGCGCCTCTGACCTGCATATCAGACCTGCATATGATTTTCGCTCTGCGTCTACATGCTCAGGCTCCCGACGCAGATTCAGCGAAGTGCGTCCAGTCTTGGCCAAGCAGTGAGACAATATCTCCATACGCATCCAAATGGGTCTGCTGCAGGTGGGATGGAGTGCCCCTGTCCCCCTGCAACTTGGATGTAACCTCCCAGGTTGTTGCCCTGTTGGTGCATAGCAACAGGACCACGCCACGTTTCTGGAGACTTCACAACATGCATTGCTCTCAGAATGGAAAGTGTTGCCCTCTGAGTCTGATATTCGAGGACTCATTCCATCTGCGGGAGTAGAACTCGTCAGTGACGTTTATACTCAAAGAATCCGCTGCTATTGACGTGATGGCGATCTTATATCTAGCCAGGAAGTGCGGAGCGGGCCACGCTCGGCTCGGGCAATCCCGTTAGAAACTAAGCCGAAGAAGTAGCCCTTGGACCAACGCTTACTGGCCATCCTGGGCAGCAGGAAATTGGGTTACATATGTCTTTCATAATGGCTAGAATAAACCCCCTTTTCATAAGCATGAACCAAAGATCCCTTACTGCTTGCATCACGCGCGCGGATCTCATCAGCTGCCATAAAAGTACGGGGTACCTCATGCAGCGAATATAAATTCCTCCGAATGAGCCCTTTTTCTGTCACCAAACCAGCAAGCTAGATCTCAATCATCTCATATCGCCATCCCACCTCACTTCAATCAGAATGGCCGAATCCGTCGCACTTATGACCTCTATCGCCGACTCGGCAATCACTTCGAAGATACAGGCCGTGTCTCTTGAACCGGAGCTTCCGGTCAGACCCGGAGATGTCACTGCTGACTGGCTCTCACGCGTCCTGGCCCGCAAGGTCAAGACCGCGACGATTGACAGGATCATGCCGGGCACAGCCACCAAGGTCTTTGTGACTGTCATGTTCGATGAAGCTGGCGCAGGTCCTGTTAAGTTATGCGTCAAGGGAGGGTTTAACCCCGACCTTATCCAGATGATGCCCTTCGTTGTCATGATCTACCAGCGTGAGGTTGATTTCTACAACAATGTTGCCCCGCTGCTCGAGCACATGGACCTTCCAAAGTCCTGGTGGGCAGAGCACAGTTCCGAACAGGGAATCATCATCATGGAGGATCTGGAGGCTGCTGGTCACTCTTTCGGAAGTCCCTCCAAGTCTTGGTCAATGCCCAGTGTGCTCACAGGCATTGAACAGTTGGCAGCACTGCACGCCAGGACCTGGGGTGTCAGAAATGCTGACTATCCATGGCTGACGTCTGATTATGACCAGGCGCTTCTCCACCTCATGCAGACTTACGAGCAGGTGGTCCATTCTCCAGGTCGGCCGACCATCCCTGAGTATATGAAGGACCAGGATCGAATGACGGCCGTTCTCAAGAAGCATTACGCCTCCCGCAACCCCAAGTTTAACTGCCTTTTGCATGGAGATAGCCATGTCTCCAACACGTATCTCGTCAACGGAAAAACGCGGTTCCTTGACTGGCAGATGATCCACATCGGCTCCGCGTTTCATGATGTGGCTTATTTTATTGGCGGCGCGCTTGATATCCAGACGCGTCGGCGCCGTGAGTTTGATATTCTCGAATATTATCTTCGTACCCTAGAGAAGCTGGGAGGACCGGTTCTCTACCTGAAAGATGAAGATGTCATGTTAGAGTATAAGAAGTCCTTCTTGGCTGGGGTCGGACCGATGATGTGTCCGTATGAGATGCAGCCCAGGGAGTGGGTATTTCCCATGGCGGAGAGATATGCTGCTGCCCTGCATGATCACAATGTCTTGCAGCTTGTCGAAGCACTCCCATAAGGTTGGTGCAAGATACAGGTATGCGCCAATCCAACTTGACCTTGCGGTCCTAGCTTACTCATTGCTGACACCCTTCACTTTCTAGGCTTGGGAGCGACTTTTGAAATGATTTTTGATGCGCGGTATTAGGAGTATTGTGGGAGTTATTCTTGTAGAGCATTTGCTCGCCTTTGTGCATTCTATGCAATATGACTTAGCCAGCTCTGGTCAAATTACCCTTGTATATAGTGTTGTTTTAATTTTCCAGAACTGAATCTCAAACTATTGATTGACACTGATGAGTAGTAGAAAAGCTGCGCCATGTAAAACACGAAACACACAACCTTGTAGTCAGGGGTGGCGGAGAACCGACCGTCCTTAAAACCGACCTCCCGCTGACCCCCCCGGTCATTTTTCGAAAGGCTTCTAGCCTATTTGTATATAGTGTATATTCTGACCATTGCATTAATATTTATGAACTGAGGTTTTGAGCCAGTCGGGTGATATGTTCTTACATGGGTCGGTTATTCCCCCCTAACTTGGTATACGTACGCGAACGAGGCGTGAAGCAGATGCAGGGCTCGTTACCATCTAGCCAACGTACTATGGTAAACAAATCTCATCATGATCACATATGATATATTATTAATCAAGATGGATGCTGAAAGCGTCTCTTCAGAATTTCATATTCCCCACATAAGGCTTTGGGCGTTGTAACTATCAACTCTTACTACATACACCTGGTTTCTTGATCATTGACAACTATCCGGGCTAGTTATAGGGTAACAGGCGCCTACTAGCCATCTTGAAGAATAAGGGGACCAGTAGTGATGCGATTTGTTAAGTCGGGTCAGTGGCATGGGGAGGCTATTTCCATACGAAAAGTGTGTCTGTCATGCGGCTTCTGGTGCCAAGTTGAACTTTATTATTGGGGAAGATTGAAGCCTATAGACAGTCTCTTGATCTCTAATCTAAAGCTAAAATCGAAGATGCGATAGAGTAGGCGATTTTCTAATAGCGAATACATAAAGGAGGTAAGTTAATCAAACATTCAGATATTACACAGCCCTCAGATACATCCCGGGGGAACCCATAGCACGTCTGCGCCCGGATCTGCTTGCCGATCGGATATCGGTGTCTGTCTCCTTCCAAGCGGGTTTGCCGGGCTATGGCGTACGTTTTAATAGTGTCCTCACTTGAACTAGTTGGAAATTTCCTTGATCTTGACTCCTTCATTTTTCTCCATACCAAGATCTCCCTCGACAATGGTCCCGTCAGACTCATGACCTGCGTTGTTGAGAGTGGAATCGGTGTCCATGGCTTCCTTCCTCCTAGCATCAAGAGCCTTCATGTCGATTACCGGGCCGGTGAACGAGTTCTTCTTGCCCATGAACCAGAACACGAAAATGGAAGCTGTTGCCACGGAGACCACGATGGGGACGTAGTTCATGTTCATGGCTGTGATGGGCAAGGTAGTCGGGAAGCAGAAGAGTATGTTGAGCCCGAAAACCCACAGCACAGAGAGGGCGTTAATAATGACGCCGTATCTCCCAAGGTTGAACCAGCGTGGTGGTAGTACTCGATCCCGACCTCGGAAAAGGACGATGGCTTGTGGAAGAACAATTGAGGTCTGGATAAAGATGATGGTCGCGTTGACCATCGCAGAAAAGGCTGTTGTCGACCCAAGGAAGATGAGACCGTACGCCTAGATGACATCGCGGTGAGCTTTCAGTCAGCTAGACAGTGTTAAGGGCGTTTCTTACCGTTATGAATGATGCCGATAAAAGCATTGAATTAACCGGGACATCGAACTGGGGGTTGACCTTTTGCCAGAGATGTGAGAATGGAAGAACGTCGTCGCGCGAAACTGCCCAAACTGTGCGTGATCCTGTGGTAGCTGGAGCGGACAGAGAAGTTAGCGGGTTGTGTAAGGTGGCAGCCAATGTCAGAAACTCACTAGAGGCAATCAAGGTGCTGAACTGGAACATTGAAAAAACGCCCAAGAGCACCGAGGCGGCTAATTTCGACTCAGTTGCCTGTAGGTAAATCTCAAATAGAGGCAGGCCTGTGGCAGTATTCAGAACCGAGTCGATATCCTTTATAGCGTAGAGTAGAGCACCCGCAAAAGGGAATGCTGTCAGAAACCCCGTGACAACTGGAAAGATGGTCACCAGTGGAACGTTCTTGGAAGGGTTGGGGATCTCCTCTGCCAGCTTTGCAGCACAGTCGCCACCCATAAAAGCATACACTGCATTCCCCATGGCAAGTAAAAAGCCGAAACCGTCGCTTGACCAGCCAGTGTGCGTTTCCATGTTGGTGAAGATGAATTCGGCTGACTGATGATGCCCCCGAGCAACGACGAACATGGTGATCATTGTTGAGGTCATTGTTATAAGCGCAAACACGAACATCATCTTGTTGAAATATGGGATCCAGTTGGCCGCGAAGATATTGAAGGACGCGGCGAGCCAGACGAACGTAACAAACAGCAGATATTTTTGCCAGGCCTGTGGTTCATAGTCCGTATTCCAGGCCACCACAATATTCAAGATAGTCCCAGCAACAAAGTTGGCTACTGCGCCTGCTGAGAACCACCAACCAATAACGCTCAACATGGCCGTACTATTTGGTTCTGGTTAGCTGACTTTCTACGAGGGAAAAATAAAATAGATCAAAAACTGTTCGGGCAGACCTGGACCTACAGAAAAGCCGCAAATGCTCGATAGTCATTGCTCGCAACCATGTAGGACCAGTAATACTGGGCACCAGAAACAGGATATGCGGAAGCCAGTTCGGCCATTCCGGCAGCCACGACGGTTGTCATTGTGCCTGCGACGAGAAGAGACCACATCACTCCGCCAGAAGATGCAGCCCTAAGCCCAATGCCCATCGATGAGCCTGTCCCTTGCCAGGTGCCGGTCATGGTAAATGACAGGGCGCCGAGCGACCACAGCGAGAAGCGCCGGGGCATCTGAGACTCGTAGCCGGCGGCTTCCAGCTCGTTTTCATCTTTCTCCGAAGACATGTTGTCGGCTGTGGCTGAGTGCGCTGCGCGAGAAGCGAAAATGATGTTCTGAAGGTAGTAATGCCTCTATTTTCGGGATCTTGGTTTCGTCTTTTCTTTCTTTGGTTCTTCAATGGGATATATCCTTGGAATAGCTGGGAGAGGAGAGGGAGATTTGGTATGCAGGCCCTGATAAGGCTACATGCCAGTCGACGGCGGGTGGTTGAACCATGATGTCCATCGCCAATCCCTCTCCCTTCAACTGGGGACTCATCAGTGATCGAGAAAACTGGTAGTATGTTTATCTCCGGCAACTTTCTCAGTTGACTTCATCATGAATAATTGAACAACATTGTGGGTGAATAAAAACGCCCGCCGCACCAGCGTCTGGAACGCAGCCCACTCTGAAACCAACCTCCCTCTCACCCCATCAGATCATTGAGAGTGCACCTCGATAAGAAGTGAGATTAGGAAATGAAGAAGAAGCTTTGATATTCCAAAATTAACATTGCATCCATCATCAAGATGCCAAATGCAAATTTGGCTTCGTTTCAGTTGAACGTCAGAGTCAGCCACCTCCATTGTACAAGGCGTGCGGCCGATACGAGACCGTATGTCTCCCTTGTTTTATGGGGAAGCCCCTCAATATGACCGACATGACTTGCCTGGTCACGCTAAACAGAATCACAGGTGCGAGGTTTTGCCTCTTGCTGGCGCGCATGAGGGCCTTTGCTCAACCGGCAGGGATATATCAACCCAGATATCTATCTCCACGAGCCTGCCCAATGGAGGGGAATAGCACGGTTTGGGAATTCTGCAGGGGATTGACAGACCCGCCAGATAAGCCGGCCCATGATAAAATGCTGGTTGGTCCAGCCTGCATCTGGAGATAAGAGTCGCGACTCGTGCAGCGGACGATCTTCACCTGTTGTCACGTGTAGCTCGTATGTAACACACCCCGCACGGCTCTAAGATCCCGTTCCGTCTCCTTTATCTCGCTCAACTTCGACCGTCAACACCGATCCAGCTTGGAGTTTTCCTTTCTGCCACGTCAACATGTCTCATCAGCCTTCTCGACAGAGATCCAGCAGCACATCTGCGGTTTTAGTTGGCAGGGAGCTGGCTGCCGATCCCGACATCGCGAAGCGGGTACTCAGAAAAATTGACTACACAATCATTCCTTTGTTGTTTGTAACCTACATGTTCAATTTCATGGATAAGACTATCCTGTCGAGCGCCGCGGTATTCGGATTGAGAGAAGATAATGTATGTTCATTGGGAGGATGATCAAGTGATGTGAGCAACAGAATAGTAGTTGTTGATATTGATTTATTCCCGAAGAACCTTAAGAACCAAGAGTATAGCTGGGTTGGAAGCATATTCTACTTTGGCTACCTTGTTTTCGAATATCCAGCCACCATACTCATCGCTCGCCTGCCCACGGCTCGATATCTTACGGTCAACACTGTCTTCTGGGGCATAGTCGTAGCGCTCACGGCAGCATGCTCGAATTTTGCCGGACTTATGACGGTGCGGTTCCTCCTTGGAATGGCGGAAGCTAGCATCACTCCGGGCTTCATGTTTCTCACCTCGACATGGTATACCCGAGACGAAATGCCTACCCGTGTGGGCATTTGGTTCGCTGGAAATTCGTGTGGAGGCTTGGCTTCCAGCTTGCTGGCTTTTGGTGTTGGCCACATCGGCGACCACGTACACCCTTGGAGATGGATGTACATCATTCTCGGCGTGAGTACATTTCTGTGGGCTATTCCAATCTTCCTCTTGCTCCCAGATTCCATCTCCACTGCTCGTTTCCTTACGCCGGAGGAGCGGCAAGTCGCTGCCAACCGCACTGCTACTGCAGGCACGGGTAGCACTGAGAACGCACGGTGGAAGCTCAACCAGGTCAAGGAGTGCCTTATTGACCCTAAAACCTGGCTTATCTTTTTCATCCAGTTGCTCACTCAGATCCCAAATGGCGGTACGCAGAGCTTCAACAACATCGTGATCACATCATTTGGCTTCACTGAGTTGCAGTCTACATTGATCAACATCCCATATTCATTGATCTGCGCCGGTATCATCGCTGCTACAGGCTTCTTGGCTGGCCGCTACCGTAGCCTTAACTGCTTATTGATCGTCATCGTCGTAATCCCCTGCATCGTTGGTGCCGCCATCATATATCACCGCGATAAGGTTGCCCATGGCGTCCAGCTCTTCGCCTATTTTCTCCTATCGTCAGGCCCTGCAGCAGTTCCGCTTAACATGTCACTGGTCCAATCCAACTACCGTGGAGTGACGAAGAAAATGACAATCACGGCAATGATGTTTATGGCCTACTGTGCCGGGAACATTGCCGGTCCGCATTTCTTCCGCTACACTGAGGCGCCTAGATACGAGACTGCTTTTCAAACTATTTTGATTTGCTATGTCCTCGTTATCGGATTGGCTATAGGCTTGCGATTCTATCTCGAGTGGATAAACAGACGGCGGACCATCGAGGAGGGCATTGAGGGAAATGCAGGCGCATCGGGTGTGCTGAAGAATGGCAAAGTTGCCACGACTATCACAGAGTCTACTCTCCGTCAGACAACCAACGAGCCGAGCCCTGAACTGGAAGCTGATGAAGATGTGACAGACTGGGAGACTGTGGGCTTCAGATATCGCCTCTAGAGCCCCAATCATTAGATGCGTTTAAATTTAGATGGCGGCTAAGGACTAGCCTAGAAGCACCGCACTATTTCTCCATCATTTAGACAATTCTAAGAATATCCAGATGGTCATTACATTCTGGAAGAGTGGACGTGTTGAGATTTTCCCTTCGGATCCTAGTCTGACAGGCGACATATGCGAGAGAAGTCAAAACCTATTTCACTACGGTCAACTCCATATTGAATGACTTTCAGGATATGTGCATCTGTCTTCGAAGATTCTAACACCGAACTGGGAGTGGGACAGGAGGCACCCCTAACGGTTCAATCACCACAAAGTCTCTGATAATTGCACTATGGATTGGACAGGATGGTGACTACTACATTATAGTCCTCGATAGTCTCGGCCCTTCGCTCGAGGATCTTCTTAACTACTACAACCAAAAGTTTTCACTCAAGACCATCCTCCTTATCGCCAACCAGGCCCTCTCTCGGATTAAGTATATCCATTCCAAAGCCTTTCTCCATTATGATATCAAGCCGGACAATTTGCTTATAGGAGTTAGCAAGTAAGGAAATATATTTTGCACCATCGACTTCAGCCTGGCAAAGGAGATCGGCGATACGGAGCAGGATCAGCACTAGGAGAGTCACACCTTTAGCGGTACCAGCCAATACGCCAAACTCAATAATCACAACCGGCTGGATGCATACTCATAAAACAAAGAGGCTTCTTCTTTCGGCTGACATTAGGACAGAACAGTCTTAGGGGGACAATCTGGAGTCTCTGGGATATGTACTTTTATACCTTGCCCGAGGCTTATTGCCGTAGCAGGGCCTGAAGGCGGCGACAGACAAGGAGAAGAATAAGCTGATAAAGGAGAAAAAACTAACTTTATCCATAGAAACGCTCTATAAGGGGCTTCCCAACGCGTTCATTACATATATCAACTACACCCGGTCGCTCAAGTTTCGATAATCGGCCAGATTAGGCATACCTTCATCGGCTATTCCATCATCTCTTCCAGTTCAAGGGTTTCAAGTACGATAACATATCGATTGGACAGAGAAGCTATTCAACGAGACACATGGACGAACCTGCACGCCAACGCCAGAGACTAAGAGTGGGCTTGCAAATAGAGGGGGGTCGAGGAAGGTCTCAAGAAACGACGAGGACTTGCAGGGACGGCGAGGCGAATCAAGGATGGTCCGTCGTCGGCGATGAAGACTCGGGTTCCGGTATGACCTGGTTCCGTGGCCGCCTGTGGGATGTTATGCATCGATCAAACACTTTTCACGGAGACACCGAAGGGAAAGCCTGCTGGAATTGGAGAGCCGAGCTGGGGAAACAAAACTCGACCCATTGGGCTCTAATCTGGTCGTCCAACGAAGTCGCCTTGTAAGTCTTTGCCTACTGTAGAGCGAACGCATTGCCAAGAAACAAATGGTGGCAGAACAACACATACTTAGTGGGCCTAATTAGCCAGCCCTCTCTCGTAGAGAGAGGGTCACTAATGAGGCTTTATGACCTCAACAGGGAAAAGAAAAAGAACTTTAGTTATAGCCTACTAATAAATTAGTATGGAGGTTTAAGTTACTTTTTTATAAACTTACCCTATAGAATGTTACTCTAGGGTAGGTCCCCCTCAACCCCTCTTGTATTGTAGAGAGGGGGCCGGACTAATTAGGCCCACCAAGTAGCGAGTAACAAGAGGTAGTACAGACGAGTCCGACCTATTGAGAAGACACAAATTCACAGCGGTTACTAGATTTGTGTGCTTTGCGAAGGACCGTGTGAGAACCTATCAGACCCCGCACGAGGCGGTTGTTGGATCTTGTGTTTAGTACCGATAAGTCTCGGAAGACAGCTAAATTGAGTAGGTTCTCGTCCAATCTAGCCCAGACTTGCCGAATATGGTTGTCTTGCGAAGGGCTGTGCGCGCTTGATTAGCTCCTTCCACAGACTTCAGCTGTTGTACCGTTATATCCGTTGGGCTGCTCAGACGCTCACCCCCCACCGCTGCTTCAAGACCTTGACCAAGCCCCTACCCCAGAAACGTGGTTGCAGGGAATCCCTTTCCTGTGGGCTTTTTCCTCTCCTATGTACCAATCAAGCAGTATCAATGGACTGGTAGAACCTGCGCTGCAAATGAATGTCTTGGACGGGGAAAGCTTCATAGGAGATGGTTCGACTCACCATAGTCTGCTGTTTCCTTTCGTCAAATAGTCATTGTCACATTCTTTAGTCTGGTCGAGACGGAGGATATGAATTGCATCCCGGCGGCATAATTCATAATTAATTCCACCTGGTCCCCATGTACAGGATCTACTTTTGTGTCATGTATGGCTATGTTGCTCGCCACCGCAGTATGCGCAGGTCGCGCCGGGAGCAATAGCAGTGGTCAACGTACAGAAGATGAGGTCACCGAGATCTTTACGTTCTTAGCGTAGTCGAAGCTCAGATTACACATGCTTCGACTTGGTATCGTGCAAGTTATTGGTCGATGTGCGTGTGGACAGTGTTTGAGAAGACCCTCCCTCCCCGGATTGGCGCAATCATTAGCACACAAGCTCGAAAAGGCTCACAGTGACACTGTTAGTAGGCTGATAAGAAACTCGGTTCGGAAAGATATGCACAGAGCCTCAAGAAGGCACTTCAGCTCGCCGAAGTAGGTGGCCTTGATTCATGAGACATTTCTACTACTGCTACCTGATGTCCACGTAAGGAATAAAGCTGACAGGCATGGGCTGAAAAGCCTTGGTTATCTTAAACCCCAGTGGAATTCTTCATGGGCAGCCACATGAGCAGTTATTGGTTTGCCGAGGCTGCGCCTAGGTCAATGGAGGTGTGAGAAGCTGCACTGAGGTTAGCCATTTTCACGATCTAGGTGACGACAAGTGTGTGATGCGACAATGGTGAGAATGGCTGAGTAGGTAGGTAGTGAGGGTACTGGTTGACAGATGACGCTTTTGATTGTTAATGAGAAACCAACTGTAGCATAAAACAAAACTATAAATCAAGCTTATAAAAGAACTAACCTGCGAGGACGTTTGGTATCGTCTGCGGGGATGTCCTAAACGTCTCTGGACACATTCAAAGCCACAGCCTGAGCAGCGTAATCTCAGCACTCATCAAGGCCCTTTTACCTCGCGTGCTGCTTGTACCTCCTGTGTAATATCTTCCGCATTGCCTGCGTGGACAACCTTGGCTTGGGTACCAGTGGCTTTACCATATGCCGGCGCCAGCTCATCAAGAGTGACTACTCCTGACCTGAACTTGAACACGCCACCTTTGCCCTCCTGTACGTCTTTTTTGAACAAAACTCAATTGTCGAAGCGGCTGCGCCCTCCTGCGATAACCACCGGAACCTGCGGTTTGGTTCATCACCCTAGTACTTCAGGGTTGGCAATTCGCCCGTGGTGTCGAATCCACCTGATCTAAAGACGGTGAACAACAGACTATCAAAGAACCCGTCAAAGATGAATACGGGCTTGATGGGGCTTGTCATGGCGGCTTGGTGGTGGAAAGCGATGTAAGCATCATGGTGCTCAAAGTCGCCAAATTTATTCTTGGTCGAGTCGTTGTTACAAGAAGCCGAGAAGAAGATCTTGACGACTGCGCGCTCGGCAGCCCGTAAGAGGATGAGATGGCCGCTAAGAACGCGCACATCCTCGACATGTAGGCGCAGATGATGGCATCGACTCCCTGAGCGGCCTTTTCGATGGCGGGGATGTCGTAGTAGGGGGTGCTTGTCACGAAAGTCTCAAGGTTGACGCCTTTTGGGACTTTGGACGCATCACTCCCTAGGTCATGTACCGAGAGGCCACGAGCAGTAGCCGCCTTTGCGAGGCGGCTGCCCATGTTCCCAAAGATACTAGTAATTAGGACGAGTATGTTGATGATGAGTGAGGTTTGTAGTGGGATATTGTTTGGACGTAGTTGGCGCTGTTAGACTTCGAGTCCGATCTGACATTTCGTACATTTATAAAAGTAATAATGGGCACGAGATTTATAATCGCGAACGTTATTGCTCGAGGTATACCGGAAACTCTAGAATAACGATAATTCTATACAGTCCACCGGCCGAAGGCGGGGAGGATACAACATTATAAGCGCGGGCCATTTCCCTAAGAAAGGCCGAATATCGGTTAACCGCCCTTCAGACGCGCGTTGGTCAACGAGGATTCAAGAGGCTTGAGGGAAGTGGAAAATAAGATTTGTTAATGGACCACCTGTTCTCCTCAAAAAGTCTGCCGCTTGAGTGTGGAAATGAAGATACTCTCAGATAGTTCCCCTGGTTACCCGGAGTCTCGGGATCCTCGAACAATCCGATTGAATGGAACCAAAAATTTGTTAAGCCTCAGTCCATCAACACCAACATGGTGTGATGCTTGTGGCCCAGCACCTGCTGCCAAGTGGGCGCTTGTTCAAAGCTTTGCCTGCGAGGCCGCAGCGTTGTAAATCTCCTTGACCATGTTTCTCGGGTCTGCTAACCTTGTTTGTGTCTCTTCGAACAGAGATGGTAAACCTGAGCTTCCAAATGGCGCTCCATCGAGGACCATGTCCGCTATCCCCTTGGCGCATAGGAACACCTGCGGCATGCCGTGGCCCGTGAATCCTGCCATGATATACATGCCTTCACGATTCGGGATAGGCCCCACTCTGGGTAAGCGGTCGGATGAGTAGCCCATGACTATCCAAGTCAGATACATTGTCTCTCTCGCTGCAAAGGGGATCCATGTTGATGAGGAGGTGAAAACTCACTTCCGGTCCAAAGGTCTGCTACATAGGCCTCACTGTCCTCCCACCCGATAAAGTGCCGTTGCATGTACCCATCAAAATATTTGCGAGTCTTCTGAATAATCTGACTATCGTCGACATTAGCATACCACTGCTTCTTGTCGGCTAGATATGTTTGTCGTGCACCCCCGACGATGATACTCCCGTCAGGCCTCGGAATGAGATAGTCAAAGTCCCAGTCGTTGAAGCGGAGGGAATAAGTGTTGGGGAGAAACGGAGCTTTCCCTGGTGTCTTGATATGAGCAACGGCCCCTCTGTACGGAATGATTTTGTCGGCGTATTCCGGAAGTAGTGACGCTGTGTAGGCGTTGGTAGCCATGATGATTTGCTTGGCGTGGACTTTTCCGCGAGGAGTCTCGATACACCAATTGAGCTCTTGTTGTTGACTGTGCGAAAGAGCAGTGGCAGAAGTATTAGTCTGGATATTTACTCCTTGTGTAATGGCGTCTGCAAATAGATGGTGGATGAGCTTGTACGGCGATACATTTCCAGCAGTGTAGCTAAACATGCCCTTGGCGCCTTTGACTCCGGAGAGCTATAGAAGAGTTAGTGATTATCAACTTGTCACATAGACCATAGACTGACCTGCTCTGCGTGTTTCTCCGGGGCACAGAACGTTGCCTTTGTTGACTCGACACCGGCTGCCACAAGGCCCTCGTAACCCTCCTTCAGACGGCGCTGCTGTTCCTCGGAGAACTGCACATCGATGGCCCTGGTAATTACAAAGTCACAGTCGATCTTTTCTTGACGAATAAAGTCGGCTACTGCAGCAACATTGGCAGATTCAAAATCTGCCACCTCGGCAGCCGCTTTCAGTCCGTACTCCTGAGTGAGCCTGCTGATGGAGGCGTACGAGTCGGGTTTCAGATGTCCGCCTAGAGTATCGTGTCAGCTTTTGAGTTGTCTGAGAGAAGTGGTAGTAGGGGCACACAGACCGTTGCGCCCGGTTGCTCCTGAACACAGCTGCCTGGATTCCAGGACGAGCATAGATGGCTTCTTGACGCGGTAGCTGGGATGACGGAGTAGCTGAGTGACGATTGAAGCACCGCTATAGCCGGCACCGATAATGACTATGTCGGCCTTGGTGGGAAGATTCGCAGTCGAGCGGTGATTATCAAGATTGCCAGGCGTGCTTCGCCAGAAGCTCGGCATCCCTTGAGGGTGGGGTCGTGGAGGTTGATGCTCGCTCATGGTGAAGGAGGGTTATCGCTGCTACGAAAGGGAGTGTTGGAGAGCTAGGATGGGCTCTTGTCGTGGTGGCTGATCAGACAAGCCTGGATGATGTTACGGCAGGGAAAAGAATCAATCACGGTGTCAAGGAAGGGCTTGGGGTAGGAGTAACAACAAATTCACAAGTTCAGGGATGGTATCAGCGCCTACAGATAAATTGCCTCAGAGTTGCGTTTTATCTGAGACAGCCGGCTCTCGATAGCTGGGCTCGTGTCTTTTGCTGTTGTGGCTGTTGGATTCTTGTCATTATTGCAAATAATAACAATAGAAACCTTGCAAGGGAACGGTTGACTCCTCACGACATGCATCAGGCAAGGTCCCAGGGAATGGTTGCCCCCCGCGTCATGTCAAGTCTCGCATCCCATCCTACTTTGGCAAGAGGCTGATTTGCTAACCAAAATAGTGCGACAGGGGGAACCGCTGAAACAAATTCGCCCCTTTCAATGTTGGGTGTTAAGTAGGCTCTTTTTGACCTCATTGCTTTACACTTATCGTGGTGTGTTTATAATCGTTGACAGCCCATGTATTGGGGGGCTTTGACATCCAAATTGCGGGGAATCTTGGCCCTCTTTGCTTAGAAAGAGGACAGATCCTTTACGTCGATCGCTGCTTGGAGACACGGGAATGGGGAGCTCTTGGATGCTTTGCTCTGTCGCGCTGCCTTGCAACGAATCACGGTTTGCCGAGTTGCCGGTATCATCTGGTCCGATATCGTCTTCCATCCCCGGACTTGGTCGGGACAGGCACAGCATCAGCATATGCCCACTTACAAGGATGGTAGCTATCGGCTCATCGTGATCCCCAAGATCTGGTTATCTAAACCATCCTTCGAGATCTGGTAATCTAAACCATCCCCCGACCAAGCCCTGAGACAAGACGGTTGCCTATTTAGGACGTAGTCCGAACAACTTGCGGAACGGTACCGAATGCCCTCAATGCGTCACCTGACCTGCCATTCCACTCTCACCGGAGACCCTAGAAGCCTAGCTGCCTCCAATTCAGGGTTTCCCCGCCCCGTAGGAACTACACCGGCATTTGAAGACCATTGGGGTAACTGGTTTCGGCCTCAGGGTTGCTGTCATTAACAGGTCGGAACCAGGGCCAAACAGGCAGGCGATCCACTCCCCCTAGCTCAACTTGGGGCCCCGTTGCTAGAGACAGCTTCTATCATAGTAGGTAATTTTTAGTCTAGTTGAGATCCTCTAGAACTAGAGTTGCAGGCTGCACCACAGGCGAGACTATAGTGCACGGTATTGACCGACAAGAATAGCTGGGCCAGATGCGTGATGAATTAGCTCGGAAGCGGGGTGTAGATTTTGTGTCTAGGCACCGTGGGTTAGCGATAAGAGGCCTAGCTTGCTGTGGTTGGGTCTAACCTTTAAGGAAGAGTTTGCATTGGCCATCTTCACGCTTCAATCGCCAGACTCGCCACCTCCAGCCGCGTGCTTGTAAGAGAGGACAGTATATAATTCCGAGAAGGCGGGTTTGTCTTCCCTCATCTCAACGGGGTTTCTTTTGTTTCTTGATACGGCTCCGCTGGGGAATACACCGACGCTTGGCCTCGCAGTCCCTAGTCATAGTCCCTTTGATCAACATGCCTCAACCGCAGTCCACGCATCCCCAGGCTCGAAGCCCAGGCTCGGCCTCGTCGGGCTTAGAGGCCCAATCCAACGCGATTGGCATCGTGACCGGACGTATCGACCGACCTTTCAGTACGCTCTCGGCCATGTCCGTGGGGGCGACGACGACCAACAGCGCCATCGGAGTCATCCTCAGCTTCTACACAACCCTCTCATACGGCGGCTCGGTGCTGCTCTTCTATGGCTTCCTCGCCATGGCGTTTGTCGGCCTTTGCACAGCCGTCACGCTGGGTGAGCTTACCGCCGGCTTTCCAGATGTTGGCGGCCAGTACGTCTGGGTTGCGAGGATGTCGCCTCATAGATGCCGTCGATTCCTTTCCTACGTGTGTGCACTCTTGAGCTGGGGAGGAGCCGTCTGCGTCGGGGCCGCCACGTGCCTTATTGCGCCTCTGCTTGTCTTCCAGGCTGTTCCATTCTTCGATCCCAGCTTTGTCTACAAGCCGTGGATGGGGTTCCTCGCATACCAGGGTGTCAACCTGCTCACTCTCATCCCCAGCCTCTTTGAGCATCTTCTCCCCAAGGTCTCTCAGTCTCTCCTGGTATTCACTGGCTGTATTCTTCTGGCACTATTCATTGGCCTGTTCGCAGCGGCCGACGAGCGTCAGTCAGCCGAGTCATTCTTCACTAACTTCTACAATACGTCTGGATGGCCGGCAGGAGTAGCCGTCTTGATTGGCATGAACAGCCTCAATTGGTGCTTTTCGTGCCTCGATAGCATCGTCCATCTCTCTGAGGAGATTCCGAACCCACGACGCAATATTCCACGAGCACTGATGTGGTCCATCGTTGTGGGAGCTGTCACTGGTGTCCTCATCATATTCGCTTTCATCATCAACAACACTGACTACGAGACCCGGAATTCGGCTATCCCTATGATCTACTATACATTCCGAAGTAAGGGAGCTGCCATTGCTCTCCTGGTGCTACTCTTCGTGTCCACCATTGGTGCGCAATGGGGTATTCATGTGTGGCAATCCCGTCTAGCGTGGTCCATTGGCATGAACAAGGGCTTGCCAATGCATGACCACCTCTCCCGAGTTGCTGGAGCTCCTTTTGGCACCCCGATCTGGTCTTTGCTCTTCTCGGCTGCGGTGACGAGCGTCCTCGGCTGCCTCTACCTCGCTTCAGAGAGGGCCTTCAATTCCTTCACCGGTGCCGGGCTCTTGTTCCAGTACTCGAGCTACGTCATCCCCGTCGCCATGCTTCACTATCGAGGCCGTAGTCACTTTCCCCACGGTGACTTCTGGTTCCCCCGTTTTGGGTACGTGGCCAATCTGGTCATGTGTGCTTGGGCTGTTGTCGCTCTCATCTTTTACTGCTTTCCTTATTCTTTTCCTGTAGTGACGGCTGAGATGAACTACGTCTCGGTTGTTGTCGGCGTGTTTCTCTTATTGATCATGATCAGCTGGTTCTCATATGGCCGGAAGCACTTTACGTTTCCTGAGTTGGAGGAGATTGAGGGAAGGGAGATCGACATGACTTCACATAGTGATACTCCTAGCCCTCAATACTCGAAGTCGTAGTCATAAATCTTTTCGGGTGGGGTGAGCGGAAGGCTGGTTGTTATTTTCCGTGCAACTATGTACTCTGACCTAGGCAGTTTAATGAAGAACGGAGGATTCGTCTGGACTCGCGTCCCATAGAGCTTGTCACCATCTGGTGAGAAACTTCCTGGCCCATTGTTTGTAAAGCTGTCCCGCGCCATTTCTAAATTGAATGTGCTCGGAATCATTATGAATGCCTGTCTGAATTATTTAATAATTTTATCTAATAGCTGAAATCTACAGTTTTGCGTCTGATGGCGCTTCTTCCTGATGCCTGGGCAAAGTCATGGCCCAAAACTCCTCCACCGTCTGTAACTCGGCGTCCTTGCCAGTGCGACCACGAGCCTTGGCTCCAATAGCCTTCAGAGTCTTCATATCGGCCAAATCAAGTGGCTTGTTACCACAGTAGTTACCCTTGACCCAGTGACAGTAGCCAAAGAGCCCGTTGACCTCCTTGGTCTTTCCCTGGGTCTTGGTCTTGAGAGCTCCCTCGGGGATGACGCGACGGGCACGCTTAGTGCCGCTCGCCTTGTTGTATCCATCGACGAGGTCCTGGAAGCTGCGAGGGTCTGATACAGCCCAAACTGTCTTGCCATCCCAAGGCTCAGGGTCAACGAATACACCGAGGACAGCGTCGCCGTAATCGTGCTCCACGGCGGTCCATGGGACCACCTCAGGATCGTTGCCCATCGGCGGGACCTTGAGCGACAGGAAGCCCTCCTCGTCTGGCCTCTGTGCCAATCCACCAAATGCGTCCACATACGTGTCAAGCCAGAAGACCTCCAGGACCCAACCCAGATTCACGTTCGTCGTGGTCTTGAAGCCAGCCGTCTTGGCATAGTCGGAGATGGCCTCCTTGTTGTCAAAGGACAGGATGGGGACCTCGCCGTTGGTGATCTTGGAGGCGGCAGGCAGGTTCTGGAAGACGAAGTGGTCGACTCGTTGGCGGATGGCAGCATCAATGATGATTTGCCCCATCTCTGACTCAGGAGGCCCGACCTCGTTCTTGAAGTTGATGTCGTCTGAGTTGGTGTTTACCCAGACGCCCCAGCAGCCCTTGAAGGCGGCATCGATTTCCTCGGGATTCCAGGAATCAGCTTTGACGACTTCAATACCGCTGTCGGCGAACTCTTTGGCCTTTCTCTTGGTAGGATCACGAGTGGTGACTCGGACATGGAAGAGTTGACTTTCGTGCAGAGCAGCGACGACTGCTCGACCAATGTTTCCAGTACCGCCAACGACGGCAATGACCTTTTTCTTTGCAGCAGGCATTTTGAGAAGAAGTTTTCTTTTCTTTATGGCTAGAACGGGGGTGCGATTTCGGATACAATGAGCCAAAACGGAAGGACAAGGGCCTTCAAGTCGATAGTGGGATGACTTTCACGAGGAGGGCTGAACGGATTGAGCTTATCGGGAGCCTGAAGACAGAGCCGGGCGCATTTATGAGGGGTTATCGGAAAGAGATGCTATGATTACCAACCATTGACGGCCGTACCCGGGCCTGCGGGGTATCATCAATCGCCGGCGAGAAGGCGAGAAACGCCCAACTTGCCGTTTCTGGCCATGACGCGAGGAGTTCCGAGGGGGCGGAGGTGCCCTCACTTGGGGGCCGCAGCACCCCCGCTTGCGATCTGCCGGGATGCCGTGGCTGCATTAAAGGGCCCCGAGAAGGGGTACAAACGGCTCCAGGCCTCATGGGACTAGAGAAATATCGTCCATAAATCTGTGGGGAAGGGTCTGATTGCCGGCAGTAGAGGGCTCGGTTGCAGTCACTTCCTGGTTGACCCGATCCTCCTCGCCTGCTTTCTGAATTAGTCGCAGAAGCGAGCAGCAAGGGGACATTGTCATTCTTGGCTGGCTTGATATATACCGAGGCCTCAACTCCTGCGTCCCTAGTTGATGCCATCAGTCAGCAAAGTCTTGTCCAGGCTCGCGTGCTGCCACATCACACCTGTCCCAAACACAACCCCCAGCGCCCGCCAAGATGGGGTCTATCCCCAAAGTTCTCAACGTTGATGCCCTTGTTGTTGGAGCTGGTGTTGCTGGGATCTACTCCACCTATCGACTCTCACGAGCCGGCCTCAATGTCCAGTGCATCGACACGGCCGGCGATGTCGGCGGCACCTGGTACTGGAATACATACCCAGGTGCTATGAGCGACACGGAGAGTTACCTCTATCGCTTTTCGTGGGACAAGGAGGATCTTGTCTCTTATCCCTGGTCCAACCACTACGTCTATCAGCCTGAGATCCTTGAGTACCTACGCCATGTTGTCGAGCGCCATGACCTTCGAAAGCATATGCGATTCAATACCGAGATGCAAAAGGCTATCTGGGATGACGACAAAAGCGTCTGGGTCGTCTCTTGCTCTGGTGACCTTGTCATCCACGCTCGTTATTTGATCAATTGCCTGGGGCTTCTTTCCAAGCCCAACTACCCCGATATCCCGGGTATCTCATCCTTTTCCGGCGACCTCATCCATACGGCTAGATGGGATCGCACGGTCGAACTGCAAGGAAAGACGGTTGGCATCATCGGGAACGGATCCACAGGCGTTCAGGTTATGACAGCCCTCGCTCCCAAGGTTGGCCGTCTGGTCTCCTTCCAGAGACATCCCCAGTACTCGGTGCCTAGTGGACAGGGACCTATTCCCAATGGTTATCGCGACAAGATAAACCAGAATTACGACCAGATTTGGAAGGACGTCTGGGCGTCGTCTACAGCGTTCGGAGTGCCCGAGACGACGAGGAAGACAATGGAGGCCACGCCCGAAGAACGCCAACGTGCTTTCCAAGAGGTTTGGGACCAAGGAAACGGTTTCCGTTTCATGTTCAGCGCCTTTGGTGATTTAACCACCAACCTCGAGGCCAACGAAGCAGCCTGCGAATTCCTCCGCAACAAAATCGATGAGATCGTCAAGGACCCCCGCAAGGCCAACGCCCTCAAGCCTCGTGATCTCTATGCCCGACGACCGCTTTGCGATACTGGTTACTACCAGATATTTAACCGCGAAAACGTGGATATTGTCGACCTACGAGAAACATCCATAGAGAAGATTGTCCCGGAGGGTATCGTCACAGCCGATGGCGCCGTGCACCGCCTCGATGCGCTCATCTTTGCTACGGGCTTCGACGCTATTGAAGGCAGCTACCTTCGTATTCAAATCATCGGCCGCGAGGGCAAATCGATTCACAAGCATTGGGAGGCTGGACCTACAGCCTACGGCGCCGTGGCCTGCTCAGGCTTTCCCAACATGTTTCTCGTATCGGGGCCGCAAGGCGCGTTCGCAAACTTCCCGGTTGTCATTGAGAGTGAGATTAACTTCATTACAGAGTGCATCCTCCACTCGGAAAAGACCGAATCCCGTCGCATCGAGGTCTCAGCCAAGGCCGAGCAGCAGTGGAGCGAGTTGTGCAACCAGCTGGCCGAGACGTCACTGTTCAAGACGGCGGCCAGCTGGGTTTTCGGCTCAAACGTTGAGGGGAGCAAGCCGAGCACCAAATTTTACTTTGGAGGATTGAACCGGTATCGTGAGTGGACTCAAAAGGAGTCAACTGCAGGTTTTCCTGGGTTTTCTTAAGTATGTATGTCATTTACCGGCCAACTTTAGAATGGCCGGTTGCGTAAAGTTACCTAGCTAGCTTCAATTTATGATGAATATTGGCAAGATGAGCTCAAAATTGCTTTTCACCCTGCCTGCAACTTGCTTCCCTCGATACGACACTACAGCGGAGCGTAGAGTGCTACCTAGTTAACTCGTCTTAACGCTCAGAGGCTGTCCAAGGCCGTATAACCTTGCATGACAAATGTCAACCCGTGCAGAGATACAACCGCTGCTGCCGTCATTCTCTGGAGAATGGTGTTTAAGAGGCACATGACGTATCCCGAGAAATATCGACTACGGGGAAGGTCTTGCTCAAACCCCTCCCTTCCCCATCGGGGATCGATACGATGCAGGTGAAAAGCCGCTTCTCCACAAGCTCCGATGTGTCGTCAAGGCAGACAGAAGGGGTTGGTTACTCTTTTCGGCCATGTAGCGAGCCCTTGCAATATCACACATGTCAATGACTAAACCTCTCCACTTGTGACCAAGCTATTTATCTGGCATCTCTCAGCGGGAACCTTGCTTTCGGTAAAGCGTTTGGCTCTCCGAGAAATTGCAATCCTGTGCGCACCCTCCAAACTTCTCACTCAAGATACAGTCATGACTTCATCCTTGTTCACGACCCTGACGGCTCCCAATGGACGCTCGTTCGACCAGCCACTGGGACTCTTCATCAACAACGAATGGCGTGCAGCAAAATCTGGTGATTGTATTACAGTCGTGAGCCCAATGTAAGTTCTGGTGTTGCCCTCTGGTCTCCATGAAACAAGCCAGTCCACTGACACCGCCAAATATCGGCAGAAATGAGGAAGAGATTGTCAAGGTACATGCTGCTGGCGAACAGGACGTCGACGACGCGGTCAAGGCCGCTAGGGCAGCGTTCAAAGGCCCATGGTCAAAGATCGGCCCTACAGAGCGTGGCGAGCTCTTGAGGAAGTTGGCCGATCTGGCTGAAGAGCAGACTGAGACGCTGGCTACCATTGACACATGGAACAATGGTGTGTAATTGCCACCGCGACTCTAACAACACATGACTGATCAACCCAGGGAAGCGTTTGTCGTCGGCCAAGGGCGACGTGGGCGAGCTGACCTCTGTGCTTCGTTTTTATGCCGGATTCGCTGATAAGCTGTACGGCCAGGGTATGTCTCCGACTGTCTGCATCTCCTCTGTATACTAACCCTCTTGTCTACGTAGTAATCAGCACCACAGAGAGCAAGTTTGCATACACCAGTCGAGAACCTATCGGCGTATGTGGTCAGATCATCCCCTGGAACTACCCGTTGGGAATGGCGGCCTGGAAGATGGCCCCGGCTCTGGCAGCTGGCAACACCATTGTTTTGAAGCCAGCAGAGCAGACCCCACTTTCTATCTTGGTCTTTGCTACGCTTATCGACAGGGCCGGCTTCCCTCCTGGAGTTATCAACATCGTGAACGGCTTCGGCCGTACTGCGGGCGCCAGCTTGGCTGGACATGTCGGGGTGGACAAGGTAGCTTTCACGGGGTCTACAAACACTGGTCGAGAGATCATGAAGCTTGCAGCCACCAATCTCAAGGAGATCACCCTCGAGACAGGCGGCAAGTCTCCGCTCATAGTCTTTGAGGATGCCGAGCTAGACAATGCTTCGAAATGGGCCCATTACGGCATCATGGCGAACCAGGGTCAGATCTGCACTGCTACCAGCAGGATTCTTGTCCACGAAAAGATCTACACCAAGTTCGTCGACCTCTTTATCGGCCGGGTCAAGCAGACCTCCAAGGTCGGCAACCCTTTCGAGGAGGGGACTTTTCAGGGCCCCCAGGCCAGCAAGGCCCAGTATGAGAGAGTCTTATCGTATATTGAAAAAGGTAAAGAAGAAGGCGCCACTCTTCGATTCGGCGGCAAGCCTCACCAAGGCGTCGACGGAAAGGGCTTTTTCGTTGAGCCCACAGTCTTCACCGACGTGAAGGATGACATGAAGATTTATCGTGAGGAGGTCTTTGGTCCTTTGGTTGCCATTAGCTCCTTCACGACAGAGGAGGAAGCCATTGAGCGTGCCAACGACACATTTTACGGGCTTGGAGCTGCCATCTTTACCGAAAACATCACCCGCGCACATGATGTTGCCAAGAAGATTGAAGCCGGAAGTAAGTCTCCCCATTCCCTTTGCAGAGTGAATACTGATTACGACTTCTCAGTGGTTTGGATTAACAGCAGCAATGACTCTGACTTCCGAATCCCCTTTGGTGGTGTGAAGCAGAGCGGAATTGGCAGGGAGTTGGGTGAAGCTGGAATCACGGCCTACACTACCGTGAAAGCTGTTCACGTCAACCTCGGCAACCGGCTGTGAACACATCAGAAGTGTGTAAGGGTCATAGCAAGTGATTGGTAAGAATAGACGGGGTTGCTGTTGTTTATTATGACTTTGCCGTGTATCAAGGGTCGAGATAGACTAAAGCAGAGGCTGTTGAGGGGAATAGACTCGGTGTGACTTACTTTGAAGACCAGGTGGAGCTCAAAAAATGGCCGTTTTTGATAAAAGAGCAAGCATAGAGGAAGCCATTGTAGTATCCGCGGACAAGGCGCGGCCCGAGGCAACCACCGGGTACATTTCTGCTAGAATTCGGGTCTTGCGTCGCAATTTAGGATCTTCCCTGACTACTATGCAATACATAGAGGCTCGTTCACGGCATGGACGGCAGACGCCGGATCAGGGTCAACAGCTGAGCAGAGCTCCAGTGGGTCTCACGAAATTTTTTTGGCGTCAGGTAACAGAAGATGAGGAATTGTAGGGATGTGCATGTGTTCCGTAGCTATCTTGCCTCTTCTGGGGCTTCCGGAGAGGTCTTATGTGTAGCTATGTGCATGCTAAACACAGCCTAGTTTGTCATGTGACATTCTTTTCTTATGTATGTAACGAGGTGCTTTTCATGAAAAATAGGCTTGAGACGAACGTACAACAGCGTACCAGTGTGTTTATCGTGGTATGTAGCGATATCGGCATTCAAACATCATGCATCTAGTGCAGCCTGCTCAAGGCTGGCTAATATATTCCATCACCCTACTTTACCCTCTCAGCTCCATCCTATTGATCCTCCTAGGCCTCCATGGAACCAATCGTCACCGATTTGATAACCTGGTACTCCTCGAGTCCATATTTGCTCCCTTCTCTTCCGAAACCACTCTCCTTGATGCCGCCAAAAGGTGTTTCCGCTGCGCTGATGGCTCCCGTATTCACGCCGATCATGCCGGCCTCCAGGGCGTTGGCCAGCCGGAGAACACGGTGCAGGTCCCGGGAGAAAAAGTAACTGGCCAGACCGAAAGGCGTGCTGTTCGCAAGCTGGATTACCTCTTGCTCGTCTCTGAAGCTAAAGATGGCTGCCAAGGGTCCAAATGTCTCCTCGTGTGCTACAGCCATGTCTGTTGTGGCATTCTTGATGATCGTGGGTTCGAAGAAGTATCCATTGCCAAGGTGTGAAGGACGCTTACCGCCAAACAAAAGCTCTCCTCCGTGGTCAAGAGCATCGCGGACATGTCTAGCGACCTTTTCGACCGAGGACTTGTTCACCAACGGGCCCTGGGTAACATTCTCTTCGAGGCCAAACCCTAGCTTGAGCTGACTGACTTGTTCGGTCAATCGTCTGGCAAACTCGTCGACAACCGAGGCGTGCACAAAAAGCCGGTTGGCACACTGCCGAGAGCATTGTCAATAAGAGCAGATCGTATGATGGGCTGGAGAGCCACTTACAACGCAAGTCTGGCCGGTTGCGCGAAACTTGGATTGCATCGCTCCTTTCACGGCCAAGTCCAAGTCAGCGTCGTCAAACACAATAAGGGCAGCGTTTCCACCCAACTCCATGCTCATCTTTTTGACAGTCTTGGCCGCGAGTGTGCTCAGATACTTGCCGACCTCAGTTGAGCCGGTGAAACTCAACTTCTTGATGATGCCACTAGAAGCGAGCTCCGACGCCGCTGTGCGATCCTTGGTCGGGACCACCTGCACACAGGCTGCCGGGATGCCCGCTCTGACTGCGAGCTGTGCTAGGGCTAGAGCTGTGAAGGGTGTTTCGCTCGGCGGCTTGACGACAACGGAACATCCGGCTGCAAGAGCTGGTGCGACCTTTCTCGTGATCATGGCCGCAGGAAAGTTCCAGGGGGTGATGATGCCGCATACCCCGACCGGCTCCTTTATCGTAAAAATCGTCGCCCCAGGGGTCGAAGACGGGATAACATCGCCGTAAGAGCGGGTAGCCTCTTCAGCAAACCAAGATACGAAAGAAGCCGCGTACTCGACTTCACTTCTAGCCTCTGCGATAACTTTGCCGTTCTCGAGGGTCAGGATTGTGGCCACTTGGGGATAAGTGTTAGCAAGAATATTAGATCGGGTAGGGATTTCCTCGGGCAGCTCACAATCTTCCTTGTTTGCGAGGATAAGGTCGTACCAAGCTCTCAACAGCTTCCCACGCTGAGCCGCCGTTGTGGATGTGTAGAACTTCTTCTGGGCAGCGTTTGCGCTCAAGATAGCTCTCTGGATATCGTGACGGCTGAAATTTGAGCAGTCGAGAAGGACGGCGCCGGAAGCAGGCTCGTAGACGGGGAAAGTTGAGCGGGACGGGGGGCTTTGCCAGCGGCCCTCAATGAGGCCGTGGCACTTGAGCAGGGACGAATCGCTCAAGGCGCGACCAAACCTCGCGAAAGGATCTGTTGGAAAGCTCATACTTGCACATTCAGACGACTAGATGATTTTTGAAAGACGGAGAGAATTCGGGGCCATGACCAACTGGAAGACAACCGACAGCAGCTGGTGGCCTATTATCACAAGACGCCTTCCTCTACCGATCAGTAGTACTGGGTCAAGACGCAATCCGAATGCCAGTGATACCTTGCTCGTCAAGCTTTCCAAGAAAAGAGCCAGCGCGAGGTCTCGCCGGTGAAAAATCCGTACCTGCACCCACATGGGCTAGCTCAGCAGTCGGGTTTCCTGTAGGAGACCAAGTGCGAGATTTTGCTATCCCCGCAATCAGGTACAGCAGCTCTTGACCCATCCATCTCGGGATGTGGCCGGAATTGGCAGGCAACTTGCACCTCTGACTTGTCGACCATCACTCAAGGCCAAAAGCCTCCTTGTCAACGCCTCATTTAAACCAGCTTCCATCTCTCTGGGATATTGCATTCAACCTAGCTTCACTCAACTCTCAAGACTACCGTTTTTCCATCACCTCTTCCCCCGACGCAAACTCTTCGGCTTCTCCAACTCACCCACCCACAACCACCATGCCCGCATCACAAGGAAATCTGACAGGTTCTTCCGACCCCCAAGCTGTCCCTCACGGACACTGGGACTCGTTCCCTGAGGAGCCATTCCCGCTCTATGCTGGCACCAAGTCGATCATCTACCGCTCAGAAGATGGAAAGGTCGCAGTGGGAATGTTGAGGGAGAAGGGTAAAGACACGCTCGTCTGGCCGGTTGATGAGTTTCTTTTTGTAACAGAGGGCACCATCAAGATTGATATTCATGGTGGCGAGAATTTCATGTTGGGCAAGGGAGATATCATGGTCATGAAGAAGGGACAGACGATTACCTTTGAGTGCAGCGATGACTTTGCCAATGTCGCCGTCTTTATTGACCTTGAGGATAGGGTTACTCTGGTATGACGGACAAGGGACTACTTGGCTACAATAAAAACAAACCTTGTTCATCTCTCATCTTTCTGCACGGTGGACTGATGCTGGAGCTCAAGACGGCCGCCTGAGCCAGCATGAAGTTGCGAGAACTCTTGATGGGCCCATAGATCCAACAGTGCATGTTTTTTTAGGAATGATCTGGTCATTCACTTATGAGTGTGCCTCCAGTGAGTCAGCAGCCACTCACCCTGGTCATGGCCGCAAGGACTTGGTTAGTAAGGCATAACCTCGCAATGGGCAGAATGATAAAAGTGTTGCTAGTACGTACATTATATCAGACTGTTTATGAGTTTCTACGGGGTTCTTCGTACAGCTCCAAAATCACTTCTTGGTCTCCACCAGCTCAGTTATAGCTTTCCAGCTGCGGGAAGCTCATAAATGTAGTCCTCAGTGAGGCTCACCACTTCACGAGCGAGGCCAAAGCTGTAGACGTATCCTCCTGCGTTTTGACCATAGGCGTGGATGACTCTCTGGCCATCAACCACCTCTTTCTCGCAACGCACGCCGCAGAAGCGCCTATCCATGGTAGCGTAGACGCCTACGTGATCGTACAGGATCGGCCAGTCTTTGGGGTCTGGGGATGGGAAGACGTCGGGCTGGTTGTTGTGAGCGTTCTGGCAAATCTGTTGACGACACTTGTTAGCAAGCTTTATCGCTTCAGGACGGTCGCTTGACTGGGATTACCTTCTTTCGTTGCTCCTCGGATATGGATAAATCCCGGTCATTCTCGGTTAGAACACCTCCGACATAGACTGTACCATCGAGTCGTGCAAAGGCAGTAGAGTAGTATCCCTTATCTCCTCTGCGGATAAAGAGTCGGTCGTAGGTGGGTGGAGCCTTGGCAACCACGCATTGAAGCCTCCAGGGCGTCAGGTTCTTCTCCATGACATCCTTGAGGTTCTCTGCCCCAATGCCAGAGGCATTGATGAGAATGTCATGGCCAAGTCCCTTTAGATCGGCGAGCGAAGAAACCCGAGTGCGTCGAAACTTGATTCCGCGAGCCTGAAGCCTCTCGTACAGCCAGGTGAGGAACTTTTGAGGCGTCAGGACAACCGTCTTGTATTTCATGCCGTAAATGGCACCTATGGGAAGCTCCTCGTCGCTCAAGAAGCGGAAATCGGGCACTTTTCCGGCATACCAAACATCCGCTTTGGTGCCACGATCCATGATCTCGGTCATCTCGATCTGGCGGACACTCGACTCGGGGTTGGTCTCGGCCAGTCTGAGGAGTCCCATGAGACCCTCAAGCTGCATCTTTTGCTCCCGGGGCGACGACTGATGGACACCAACCCAGATGGCGCCAGCGTAAGGGCTAGCCCACTCCTTGGTGTCGTAGTCGCCTGGAAGATGCTCGGCCACGATGGTGACGTTGTAGTTCCTTGGCAGACTGGCCGCGGCCATCATGCCAGTTACGCTGAAGTCATGGTTTAGCAATCTAATGTGGTTTGATGGGGAAGAAGTTATGCGCTTACCCAGCACCCAAGATGGTAACCTTGACCATGGTGAATAGAGATTTCTGTATTGAGCTTGGTAGAGGGAAGTGACAGGCAGAATACTTGGGTTTAGATGCCTGACGAGGCTGTAGTAGGAGATGCTTGAACAACGAGTGCAATATGTACTCTGATGCCTGTCCCGGGAGCTTCCCCCAGCTTTTCTCGGGACAATCTAGTGTCACCAAGCCCCGGAGCTGTCAATCAGCTCTGGGGAAGATACACCCGGTCCCATCTCTGGGAATGTCGGTCAATTGCCCCATTGAGGCCAAATCCGAGGTCCATTTAAATTCAGTGGGGGGCGTGTGGTGCCTAGACCCGGCGTTCGCCAACGTAGAACGGATGGATCCTTGACTGCCGAGCCGAATGCAATTACAGTACTCCGTGCGGCTGTCGATAGCTGGGTAGTAAGCGAAACCTTCCAAAACAGTCAGGAACCCGACTTAGTTGTAGGGCCAGGCGGTGATATGTCGTTGTGCCGCCTGTTGTGGCCTCCTGGTCATGGCGGACTTGGCCAAGGCGAATCCCGTGCTGAGGTAACCACCAAGAATAAAAGCGGATGCAATTATCGTGCTGCTTTGGCAACTTGTCTTCCTAGCTTTGGATAGGGATCAAGTCATCCTTTCAAGTTTGACCACCGCCATCTGTCCCTTTGTTTGTCCTTCTGTTCCTCGCAAAGACACCATGACCACCGTTGAGAGCCTTAGACGCAACCAGACCGCCTTTGATTATGTTATCGTGGGAGGTGGTACAGCTGGATGCGTTGTCGCGAGCCGGTTAGCTTCAGCGCTCCCAACGGCCAGCATCCTACTTATTGAGGGAGGTGAGAGCGACGTCGGCAAAGACAATCTCCACGACCTCAAGCTCCAGGTTAATTCTTGGGGAGGAGATCACGACTACTGCTGGAGCTCAGTTCCCCAGCCCAAGGGTGAGATCTCACTGTGCACGGGGGGTCCTCAGGCTGGTTAACTCAACGTTCGCAGGCAATAGCTTCATCCAGCACTCGCGCGGCAAAATCCTCGGAGGCTGCTCCAACATCAACGGCTGCATCTCATTCCGACCTCTCGAGTATGATATCCGCAAGTGGCAGGAAGCTGGTGCTGACGGCTGGACCTTTGACGAGATGGTGAGACTCGTGGACAAGCTGCGAGTCACGGTCAATGAGATCCAGCCCCAGTACCACAACCCAGTCGACCTGGCTCTTGTCGAGGCAGCCCAAAAGGCGTTTGGCATCCCCAGGACAGATTCGTTCAATAAAGACGTCGTGCGCACGGGCAAGATAGCGCCATCAGCGGGCCACTTGGCTATTGCCCATAACCCGGAGAATGGCTATCGCAGCAGTGCCAGCATCGCCTACATACACCCACTTCTGAGCGGGGAGGAGAAAAGGCCCAATCTGACCATTCTCACGAGCGCTTGGGTTCATCGTGTCAACTTCATCGACAGCGTCGCCTCTGGAGTTAACCTGACTCTCAAGTCGGGGCTCCCGATAACTGTTAGGTCGGACGTTGAAACAATCCTCTGCGCGGGAGCCTTCGATTCCCCGCGACTATTGCTGCTTTCCGGCATTGGGCCACGCGATCAGCTCGAGAGCTTCGACATCCCCCTTATCGCGGATGTTCCGGGGGTAGGCGAGAATCTGATGGACCATACAGAGACGGTCATGATGTGGGAGATGAAGGCCGCAGTTCCACCACAGTCCGTCATTTACTCGGACGTATGCTTCTTCCTACGCAGGGAGGCACAGAACTCGCGGGGAGACGACGGAGACATCATGGACTCCATGTTCCACGTCTTTGGCATTGGATTCGATGACAACATGGCTCGACATGGCTATCATGCCCCAGAGAACGCTTATTGTCTAATCCCGAACCTCCCAAGGCCTCGTTCCCGGGGCCGCATCTCCCTCCAGTCTTCAGACCCCAAGATACGCCCGGCCATTGACTTTCGATACCTGACCGATCCCGAAGACTACGACCTCAAGACAATCCTCTTTGAGCTCCGTGCAGGCCGCAAGCTGGCGGCCATGGCTCCCTTCCGAGAACTCATCAAAAGGGAGGTTGCGCCTGGTCCAGATGTCCAGACAGAGGAGCAGCTCATCGACTACGCTCGCAAAACCCACGGCACCGTCTTTCACCCATGCGGAACGGCCAAGATGGGAAACATTGCCCAGGACAGCATGGCCGTTGTCGATCCTCAACTTCGTGTCCGTGGCGTCAAAAAGCTGCGAGTCATAGATGCCAGTGTATTCCCGCTCATTCCATCCGTCAACCCGATGTTGACCGTCTACGCCGTTGCCGAGAAGGGTGCAGAGATGATCATCAAGGATTACGCTTCGGTCCGTCTCCGGGCCAGGATTTGAGAAGTGTTGGTGACATTGTAAAACGCGAGTGCGCATAAATTGAGTGTACATAGCTATACAGAACAAGGACAGTATCCTTGCCGACTATTGAAAATTTTCCCCAAGAGATATCCACAACCTGCCACATGTAAACGGCGTCCTTCCTGTCAATCTTTCTGGGTGACAGTCTTGCCATTATTTGGCTCCTCCGGGCCTAAGCGAATGTCAATCTCCAGTTCTTGGTGATCAAAAGCTCCAGCCAAGTGACGTTGATGCCGCAGTCCTTAAGACCCCACAGCTCCTCCAGCAGATCGATAGCCCACATGTTGACAGCCACTCTATTCGTCGAGTATATGGCTTTGAACCTTTCGACAGCCGCGGTGCGCAATTCTTCATCGGTCTTTGTGAGCTCGGCGGCAGCAGTGAGAAGCGGTGTTGAGTGAAAGCTGAAACAAGGCGCGTCAACAGGCGTCTTGAACAAACGTTCTAACGAGTCCAACACCAACGGCCTTATCCGGGCCTGGGAGTCATGGATTGCGTCGGAAGCGTCGGAAGCGTCGTCGCCCGGGGTGAGATCGTCGGCTTGAGAAGGCACGCCGCAGATGTTGTACAGCATAATAAGTCCGTGGTTACGATACCCGATGCTCATGTCGACGAGGTCCTGGTCATCGTGGTCCGGTTCCCATGCCAGCAGCTGACCCTCGAAAGTCGCTTCCAGCACCAGGTCCCTGGCCTCGGTTTCCAGGACCAGGCGGCAATGCCGACCGAGACATGCGATCAGATACAGCAGCTCTGACATGAATCCAATCATGGGATGAAAAGAACTGCGGGTGGCCTGGATGGCATCAAACATCTGCGCCGTGTTGAGGGGTGCGAGATCTTGGGGTGCGGCGATGAAGGCGCACGACATGTCCCAATACAGGTACCACCCCAGCATGAACTGGACCAACGGGTCCCGCCGCTTCTCCGGGTCCTCCAGCATCTTTTCTAGCAGGCTACGGGCAGCTTGGAGATGCTCTTTTCCATAGTCGTTTGGGTGGTCCTCTGTCCACAACCATGAAACCCCCTGCAGGAACACGGTCAGCAGGGAGGCAGGTTTGAGGTTGGCGCCATCCTGCATCTCACGCCGCAGTGCCTGGATAGCAAGGCCGCGCTCTTGTAGGCAGGTGATCAGCTCTTTCGACTTGAAGAAGTGCTCCTGTCCTGCGCTCACGCTCTGCACCGTGTGCAGCAGCGACGGAGTGGTCACGAGATGCTCGAGAAGGGGGTATGACAGGGGGTTGTTCTCGGGGCACACGGTCATTATCCGGCTGGTCTTGTCGAGCCAGTACGCGAGGAGCTTCTTTTCGGGGTTCACAATGCCCAACCACGGCTCGGCGATAGGCTTGGTGATCATCCAGGGCACCTCAATCTGCCATCTTGTTGGCGGTGTGGAGGAGAGACACACGGAGCCGCGTCTTTGACAGTGGCTGCAAACTGGGTATTTCTCGTCGCATTTGACTCGGCGCTGCTTGCACTCCTTGCATCCAGATCTGCTCTTGGGCTTGCGGGTAGCCGCGAGACCGAATGTCAGCGACTCAATCGGGCTCTCGCTGGCATCGCTGGCTATCGGTGCTGGGGGATCGTTCTTAACCCGCGACTGGAACTTATTATCGGTAGCGAACCGCACGCGATAGGACGACCTCGACGTCATGGCTACGATGATTTCGGTTTTGGAGGGGGCCTGGGCGGGGGAGACAAAGGGCTAACGTCGTCGAATTATGAGACAGGGCCGTCGATTTTTGGATTCTCTGGAGGGTGGGCGGGGCAGACAAAGGGTCGAGATGTTCATTGAGTACTGAGTTGCAATGAGATTGTAGAGAAGAAATTCACGCCGAGGGTTCAAAAGCTAAGACCCCGAGGACCTACGCTACCCCAGAAGCCAAAGGGGTGATAAGCCAGTGGGAACGAGAGTTAATCCGAGATAGACTGGAAGGTCACCATTGGCTGATAAGCGGTGGATCTGATTAGTAAACGGGGACTGGGCTTGAATCTTGTCGTTGAGCCGACCTCTCTCCGCACCGAATCACTGTGGCTCCTCTCCAAATACCTTCCTGGCGCAGTAAGGAGGGGAAGGGGTCTGAGTCAGTCAAAGCTGGGGGAACTCTAAACCAACCTGGCGTCGTTGCTGGGGCGTCAGCGTCAGCAGGGGAGGAGGAAAATCCGGGGAGCGTGGGGGAGCCGAGTTGTTCCCCCGTCTGTGCTGTCGATTCGCTTTGCTCTTTGCAGGCAAGACGAGCCAATCTCCTCTACCGTAACATGCAAGCCCTAGAGATGCAGGTTACTGTAGAAGAGATTGGCTGATGGCCAGACCTTGATCTCCTCACTGCACTCTCCAGGAGAAGCGGGGCAAGGTCTTGTCGTCATTTCTGCAGAGACTGCATAGTAGATATCCCAGTTTTGGCCGGGATCGGAACTACGGATGAGGCATTTCGGGAAGAGGCTGACGGATATTACGGAATGCGAATAGAACATCAGCTACTCATCACCAAACAAAGGACACACGGTGCATAGGCTAACGGCTCAAGAATTCGACTACAAATTCCACGCACGTACTGTCTCGGCCGTTGTATAATCTAGCACACGCCACCCCTAGAGTCTACATGACTTGTCCCCGCTGCCCATAGGAGCAAGCTCGACACCCTCTAGATCCACGTAACCGTAGACCTCCATCTTGTCCCCGTCCGCCTCCAAGGCCTTCTCCCACTTCTCAGCGCTCTTGTTAAACGCTTCAACAACCTCATCGTTGGTGAGGTCCATGGGACACTGATTTCTCCCTAGCTGGCGGATCTGGGTTCCTGCTGCTGTCTCGGTCAGGCCATAGTCTTGATTGTTGATCTTCAGGATAACGGCCCCCGTATTCACCCTGCCCTCCAGAATGTCCTTGGGCAACTTAGGCTCCGCGCAGAGGGGACGAGCCAGGCCAACTCCGTCAACGACATCCAGAGCCTTGACCATGGCGCTCACCGTGCGGAACCCTCCCGTCACAAAGACCTTGGTCTGCTTGAGTCTTGGCACAACCGATTCGGCGAACTCGAGGAAGAATGCCTCGCGCTTCTTGGTGTGTTCGTTCTTGTGCTCAAATGCCATGTCTTCGTAGGTACCGCCAGAGAGCTCCACAAAGTCAAACTGACACTGGTGTTCGAGGAGCTCGCAGAGCTCAGCGCATTCTTCAGGGGTGAATCCCTTCTCGTCAAACTCAACCGAGTTGAGCTTCACGCCGAGGACAAAACCGCTTGAAAGAGGGATGCGTGCTCTGATGGCCGCGACAATCTCCACGATGATCCGAGCTCGGTTCGAAACAGAACCGCCGTACTCGTCAGTGCGCTGGTTTGTCCTGCGAGAGAGGAACTGAGAGAGCAGGTAGCCGTGAGCACCATGAAGCTCTACACCGTCGAAGCCAGTCTTGTAAAGATACTCGGCCGCATGTGCAAATGCGTCCACGAGGCCCTTGATCTCTTGGTGGCTGGCAGCATGTGGCTTGGCAAATGTCATGCCCCACACCTCCTTGGTGAGGTGGACAGCTGAGGCCGATACAGGATCCGCGTTCAATCGACTTTGGACCTGTCGGCCAGCATGAGAGATCTGGCCGATCATCAAACTTCCGGCGTGGTTGCCAGCCCAGGCAAGACGTTTATAGGCCTCGAAACGTGGCCCTTCGAAGGGAGCGTCGGGGGGGATGATCAGGTTACCGGGGCCCTCGATGTTGATAGGATCGACCATCAGGTTTCCGGTGAGGATGATACCGATACCCCCTTCTCCGAACCACTTGAATGCATTGATGATGTCCGGGGTAGGGATGCCGCGTTTGCTGATGTCCTTGGTATCCCAAGTGCACAACCTTTCGGTCATAGATGCTTTCAGGAACCGGTTCTTGGCTGTTCTTTGAGAAAAGGCCAGCTTGAGAGGCCTACCCAGTGCTGACACGTCCGAGACAGGTCGGTCCTGTCCGTATCGTTGTTTGGACATAATGCGAACTGGCACACAAAGGTCGAGGAAGAGGTGGTAGATTGTCGAGGAGAAGAGAATGCCCGTTCGGTTATAATTCTAGATCAAGGAACGTATGAATCAAGCAATGGAGTATAGCTGAGGACGAGCATCTGTGAATTTAACCTCCCTTCGGAGCAAGAATCAGCAAACCACATGTTTCCCTGTTTGTCTAATGACCGAAGCAGCAGATGTGCGCTGAAAGAATTGGATTTAAAACAGCTTGATTAGTCACGGAACATACATGGCCTAAGCCGGTTAGTGTTCCCGAGGTTCGGATTGAACTCAAGAGTTGCAAGTAATAATAGCTAAATATTAACTAAATCTAAGGTATTTAAAATAATGCATCAGACCCACTTGCCTAAAGCGTACGGGATCCGAAGCGACAGATCGGGACCCACTTTGAGTTACTTGTCGGCGTCATGCCATGCGGAGTATCATGGAGTGTCGTACGGAGGAGCGCCTGCGGTCATCTTGGAGCATTAAAAACGGTAGTGGAAAGGGCCTTTTTTTTCTCTCTTTTTGGTTTTTTTTTTTCCTTATTTGAAATGAGGGTATTGCCTAATGCGGTGAAATAACGAGCACACCCCCCTTAGTGGACCTGCTCTGACGAACCAGAGGAGCCAGCCGGGACAAGTTTCAACTGGAAGCCATGCAATATATCATGTTTGCTTCTTCGATTTCTTTGTGCAGCCGGGAAGGGATGAGGGTATGAAGAATACCACAACTCTATCAACGAGATATGTACTGTAGACAGCGACTGATGTGTGCATGGCCTTTCTATCGTCAGCGAAAAAGTAAAGATGAAAAGCAACCAGAATTTCAGGTGATCCGCTTGCTAATGCTCCCTTCGAACCGGTCTTGATTATGGCACTGGGCGTATGAGTTAGGGAGCTGCCCCTTGCTAGTTACCTGTTCAGGCACTGTTGCGAGTGGGAAGATGAGTGCCCAGTGCATAGCTCAACATCGAAACCCGCCAAACAATCTGAAGAAGCCCTACCTCTTCGGTAACAGTCCCGAGACTCTTTATGTAATGCTTGTCCTTCATATCCCACCTCTTTGGAGCCTGGCAACATCCCAAGCCTCATATAAATAGCCATCCATCCACCACCTTGAGCAACACATTGGGGTTTGATTGCCATTTTGCCCCCGAATCTTCAAAGACTTTCCAAGATCAATCGAAATGGCTGCCAACGTCCTCGTGGACCTCACAACTCCGAACGGAATCCGGTACCGGCAGCCCTTGGGTCTGTTCATCAACAACGAGTTCGTCGAGTCCAAGTCCGGTGAGACATTCCCGACAATCGACCCCGCGTATGAAAGCCCCGCAATCCTACGACTTACAACTGCTGACCACCTGTAGAACCGAGGAAGAGATCGCCCGTGTACACGCAGCCGGTATCAACGATGTCGAAGATGCCGTACGCGCTGCTCGTCAGGCCTTTGAGGGAGCCTGGTCCGACGTTGAAGGAAAAGACAGGAGTCGGCTTTTGTACAAGTTGGCCGATCTTGTAGAGGAGAATGCACAAGTTCTTGCCGCCATCGAGTCGTGGGACAATGGTAAGCATTGAAGCATGGCCCGTGATGGGCAACAAACGACTGACACTAGCAGGCAAGCCATACTCGACAGCCCTCCTAGAAGATATTCCAGAGGTCATTGACGTGTTTCGATATTATGCCGGTTGGGCAGACAAGAGCTACGGACAAGGTACGATAGCCTTGTATTCTTTGAGACTTGGTTGACTGACCACATTGCACCCTGGAAAGTGATTCAAACAAGAGGGACCCAGCTCAACTACACTGTGCCAGAGCCAGTCGGCGTCTGCGGCCAAATCATTCCATGGAACTACCCCATCGTCATGGCCTCCTGGAAGTTAGCCCCAGCCATTGCTGCCGGAAACACGGTTATCCTCAAGGTCTCGGAACAAACGCCTTTATCCGCCCTCTTCCTCGCCAGTCTAGTCGCACCGGCCGGCTTCCCCCCTGGAGTCATCAACATCATCAACGGCTTTGGGCCGGTTGCTGGTTCCGCACTTGCCTCGCATACTAATGTGGATAAGATAGCCTTTACTGGCTCTACCCAGACAGGAAAGGAGATCATGAAGTTAGCATCGTCTAACCTGAAAAGTGTCACTTTGGAGACTGGAGGGAAATCCCCTCTGATGATCTTTAACGACGCTGATTTGCATGCTGCAGTTGGAGCTGCTTATCCGGGCATCATGGCTAACGCTGGGCAAAACTGCTCTGCAAACAGTCGCGTACTAGTTCAAGAAGATATATACGACCGCTTCCTCAAACTGTTCAAATCCAAGGCGGTTTCTGATACCACCATTGGGGACCCATTTGACCAAGACACGTCCCAAGGGCCTCAAATTACGCGAATGCAATTCGACCGCATCCTCTCCTACATTCAGTCTGGAAAGGATGAGGGTGCCAAGCTTGTGCATGGAGGCAAGGCATATAAGAACCTGAACGGCAAGGGCTTCTATCTCGAGCCAACCATCTTTAGCCATGTAACGCCCCAGATGCGGATTTACCGGGAGGAGATATTTGGCCCTGTTGTCGTCATCTTGCCATTCAAGTCGGAGGACGAAGTAGTCAAGATGGCGAATGACACCGAGTTTGGCCTGGCAGCGGCAATTTTTACCCGCGACATTTCTCGAGCACATCGCATCACGCGAAAGATCAAGGCCGGTAGTAAGTTGTCCCTATTCCCCAAGTTTTGGCGGTGGCATCCATGCTGACGAGGAAACAAGCCGTATGGATCAACAACAGTCAAACCGTGGATCCTCGAATTCCGTTTGGTGGCTTCAAGCAGTCAGGCATTGGTCAGGAGCAGGGAGAGGCCGGTATCAAGGCGTACACGAATTACAAGACAGTGGTAGTTGATTTGGCTCCCGAAGGGCACAGTCAAACTTCATTGGAGCCCAAGTTGTGAGAAGTTACTCCTATACCAATGCAAGGCTTCAGAGCCAGAAGAAGGATGGAACATCCCAAAGCGTCTCCAAGCATCCTGTAACGGAAAGGTTTTTCTCAAGTCCATAGACAGATTTCAATAGCCATTCGATCAAACAGTAGTCGTCACACTCTAATTTGCAATTCAAACAATATGCAAGAGGCCAGACAATAGGGTCACAAGAACCAGTGTCTCGAGTTGATATTAGCGTCTCGCATATGTAGCGTTCCGCCCCCTGTAGTAGAATCTCTCTGATACATAAACCATAAGAAAACGCAGGTTTTCAAGCTGTATGATCGACTGTATGGTATTTGTGCGCGCCTAACTGAGATGCAGATTAGAAGGCCGAGTTGCCTCGCTCACTACGATGAAATGCACTGCGAACGCAGCCTAACAGAAACAGTTTGACTAGTGGCACCTACAAGTTATTGGAGGTTCCCTGACGCATCCAACTCGGGCGTTGGATGATCTTCGCGGTACAGCTCAAAGAAGGAACTGGCTAGGCTCATCTGGCGCATCTCTGCGGCCCTGTTGGCAGGATCGTGTCTAGGTTCAATGAGGCAAGTGAAGACGCGCGTGTAGGACAGGTGAAAGGTCGGTAGTAGTAATAAGGATCTTGGTAAGAAGTTAGGTTGATCAATAGCAATAGAGAAGATGCTCAGAGTACAAAGCCTCTTAGCAACAATGAAGACGACATAATGTTGCCATCGACTTGTTGCTTTAGTCGCATTTCATTCCCTTCTCGACTTACATCATCAAATCTCAAAAAACATAGCGGCTTCACGCTCGTTCACCCTTCGAGATGTCGCCAAGCACGACAGTGCTAATGATTCCCCTCACTATATTATCTTTCATTATATTAAAGGTTAAAAAGCCTTTTTTATAAAAGGTATTCTCTTTTAAACTCTAATTTCTTCTATATCTTTTTCTCCCTTCTTATTATATAAATACTACTAGCTACTCTATTTATTTATTTTTCTTAATAGTAATCTATTAAAATAATTCTATTTAGATATAAAAAATTTAATATAATTTTAAATTAAATAAAATAAACTAATATATTTAATCTTATTTATTTTAAAATATAAAAAGCTTAATTAATACTAACTTTTAAAAATTATTTTTATTTTAATTTATTTAATTTTTTATTTTTATTATTTAATAATAATAACTAATTTTTCTTTCTAATTTAGAGTTTATCTTAACTAATTATATTTTAGATAATAATAATTATAATATTTATATCTAATATAAATATTCTAATCTTTTAAAATCTAATTAATATTTTTAATAAAAATCTTTAAAAAATAATTATTATTATTAAAGATAAATTAAAATAAGTATTTATTAACTATATTTATTATATATTACTATAGTTAGTTAAAAGCTTATTTATAATAATAAAACTACTTTTAATAATATAAATTATATAGTTATATTAGTTAAAATTATAGAGTTTTTATAATAACTATAACTCTTTATAGTAAAAAGTAATACCCTAACTTATAGAGTTTAATTTACTATAATTAAAACTTTTAATTATTATAACTTAGTAAGTTTAAAAGCTAGAAACTTTAGATTTTTAATAATAAGTATATTTTTAAATAGTTAAAAGATATAAATTATCTACTCTTTCTTTTATATATTTCCTAGTTTTTATTTACTCTAAAACTTATTATAATAGCTTTAATAGTTAAATTTAATTTTCTATAAAGGTTATTAGTATTAAAAATCTAAAAAATTAACTTATAATTATTAAACCTTAAGATAAATATATATAACTTTTATAAAACCTATATTTATCTAAAAAGAGCTTAAAAGATAAATATTTAAATATAGATAATTAATATTTTATCTTTTAAACTAAAATAGATATTCTATTTTTAAAAGTTATTTTAGAATATATTAGTAATCAAATAATATAATTTTTTAATTTAATATTATTTTTAAAAAAGAATTTATTATATAAAAAATAATATAATTTATAAATAAATAAGCTATTTTTATTTATATTTTATATAAAAGTCTTAATTAAAATAATAATATTTAATTATTTATAATAATAATATTAGAAATTAGCTTATTTTTTTAATCTCTTTATAGGTTTAGATATTATAATCTAATATATTATAATTATTATATTATAAAGCTTTTATATAGATTTACTCTTTTTAATAATTATTTTAATAATTTTTCTCTTTTAACTATTTATTTATATTTTTCTAATTTAATAAATATATTTAATTCTATATAATTAAAAATCTTTTAAAATATATATAGCTTTTTTTAGCTCTTTAATATTTATTTAATATTTTATTTATTATATAAAGATTTTAAATTTTAATATATAAAAAGGTTATTTAATATATTATTATAATTACTTTCTTTATAAATTAATTATAATTAATATTAATATTAAAAAGTTATTTTTTTATTAGTTTTATTATAAATAAAAGTATATTCTAAGATTAAATAATATATAATTTAATATTTATTTTTTTAAAAATATAATTAGTAGTTTATATCTAAACTTTTAATACTATAAGATAAAATTAAAATTAAATACTTTTAGCTTTAATATAAATATTAATATCTTAAAAACTCTAATAATAAGAGTATTTATATAGTTAAATATATAAATAATCTAGCTATAGTTATAACCTCTAAGGGGAAAAGCTTATTATCTAATAATAATAATTATCTTTTCTTTCTAATTTAAAGCTTATCTTAATCTAGATTAATTAATTAATTAATTACTAGATAACTTAAATAACTATAATATCTAATATAAATATTTAAATTTCTTAGAGTTTAATTAATATTTTTAATAAGATTTTTAAAGTAATAATAATTATTATCTAAGATAATCTAATATAGCTATTTATTAACTATATTTATAATATATTCTTATAATTAGTTAAAAGCTTATTTATAGTAATAAAGCTATTATTAATTATATAAATCTAGTAATTATATTTATTTAGTATATTATTTTATTATATAACTTACTATCTATAGTTATTATAAATATTTATAGAGAATTAAAATTAATTTAAGTAAATATTATATTCTAAGAATAACTACTCTCTTATATAGACTTATTATAATCTAATATATAACTTATAGTTTTAATATATTATATACTATATTAAGTTAATAAGAATAGAGATAGCTTTTAAGAATTAGTTTATTAATTAAACTTTTTATATTTTAAAATAGTTTAAATTAAAATATTAATTAAATTAAATTAGATTTAATATTAATATATTAGAGTTTATTTTAATTTAATTTAAATTATATTTATTTAGAAATAAAAGAAAAGTTAGTTATTTAAAATTATTAATTAAGTTTATATTTATAAATATAATATATATTTACTATTATAGAAAATTTTTATTAGATAATATAGATTTAATATTAATCTAATATTTATTTATATATACTTAATTATACTATATAATAAAAAAGTTATTTTATAAAATTTAGATTTTAATATATTTAGATTATATATTTATTTTATATATAATTTATAGTATTTTTAAAACCTAAAACTATTTAATTTTAAAAAGAGGTTTTAATAATATTAATATTTATAATATTATATTTAGTTTAAAAAACTCTTTTTAGATTATATAATATTAAACTAGATTTAATAAAATCTATTTAAATATTTTTCTTTATAAAAAAATAGAAAAAGATTATATAAAAAAATAAAAAGAAACTTAAGCTTATTAATATAAATAATATATATCTATATTAGATTTTTAATCTCTTACTTATTTTTTTTTTATTAGTTTTACTATAAATAAGAATATATTCTAAGATTAAGTAATATATAACTAGATTATATAAATTTTTTAAGAATATAATTAATAGTTTATATCTAAATCTTTAATATTATAAAATAAAATTAAAATTAAATACTTTTAATCTGAATATAGATATTAATATCTTAAAAACTCTAATAATAGAAGCTATTTATATAGCTAGATATATAAATAGTCTAGCTATAGCTATAGCCCCTAAGGGGAGAAGCTTATTATCTAATAATAATAACTATCTTTTCTTTCTAACTTAAAGCTTATCTTAATCCGGATTAATTAATTATATTATTAATTAATTACTTAATTAATTAATTATTTAATTAATTAATTACTAAATAACTTAAATAGCTATAATATCTAATATAAATATTCTAATCTCTTAGAGCCTAATTAATACTTCTAATAAAATTCTTAAAATAATAATAATTATTATCTAAGATAATCTAATATAGCTATTTACTAACTATATTTATAATATATCTCTATAATTAATTAAGAATCTACTTATAGTAATAAAACTACTATTAACTATATAAATCTAGTAGTTATATCTACTCAGTTTATTACTTTATTATATAGCCTATTATTTATAGCTACTATAGCTACTATAGGTATTTATAAAGAATTAAAATTAGCTTAAGTAAATACTATATCTTAAGAATAGTTACTTTCTTATATAGGCCTACTATAGTCTAATATATAACTTATAGTTTTAGTATATTATATACTATATTAAATTAATAAGAGTAAAAGTAGTTTTTAAGAATTAGTTTATTAATTAAGCTTTTTATATTTTAAAATAGTTTAAATTAGAATATTAATTAGATTAGATCAGGCTTAGTATTAATATATTAGAATTTATTTTAATTTAATTTAAATTATATTTATTTAGAAATAAAAAAAAAGTTAATTATTTAAAATTATTAATTAAGTTTATATCTATAAATATAGTATATATTTACTACTATAGAAAATTTTTATTAAATAATATAGATTTAATATTAATCTAATATCTATTTATATATACTTAGTTATACTATATAATAAATCTCTTACTTATATAATTATTTTAATAATTTAAAATAATAAATATTTAATAATAAAAAAAATAAAAGAAGTAAGAAAATATATAGATTATAATAATTTTATACTTTTAATAATAGATTTTAAAATTAGCTAAATAATAACTTTTATAGCTATTAAGAATTAGTATTTAATATATTTTTATTATATAAAAAGCTATATAAAATATAAAATATTTAATTTAATTTAGATTAATTATATTAATAATTTAGCTATTTTTAATTATTATAAACTATTAATTTTATAGTAAATTATATTTCTAATACTAGTTTTTAAAATAGAATTAAATAATTAAAATTAAAAAAAATATATCTAGCTAGCTATATTTACTTTTTAAATAATAATTATATACTTCTAGTTATTAAATTAAATTAGTTTAGTATTTATATAATTCTCTAAGATAAATTATTATTTTAAAAAAGATAATTTCTATTATAAAGCTAATCTTATTAAAGTTATATAGATTTTTATTTAGAATATTATATTTTATCTTTAGATTATATATAAAAGTAAACTAAGATCTAATAATTTTTAATAAAAAAATATATTTATTATAATTACTAAGAGATAAATTATTAAAAACTAAAATAGTTTTTAAATTAATATATCTATTATATTTCTTAATAATTAATTTAATAAGCTATTAATATATAATAAATAATATACTTTTAAGCTATAGAGTATTTTAAAAATAATTAGATATTTTTAGTTAGTTAATAGTTATACTAGAGAGAAAAGAATAATAGAATTATTATTTAAAAGTTAGATATTAAATTAGATAATAAAATTAAACTTATAATAATATAGATAAACTAATATTTATTTATTAATACTAGTTTTAAAAAATATAATTTATTTAGAAATAAATATATATATATATATATATAGTAAATATATTTAGTATTTTAATATATTATATAACTTAAGTTAGAATTAATCTATAACTAGAATATAATATTATTATAAATTTATTTATAATAATAAGTTATTTTTTTATATAGATTTAATAGTTTTTTTTTTTTTTTTTTTAGCTATAAATAAAATTATTTTAAAATTAGATATAATATATAATTTATTTATAATATAGGGTTTTTTATATATATAGTTAGTAGTCTATATTTAAACTTTTTATAGAATAAAAATTAAATCTTATACTTTTAATCTGAATATAGATATTAATATCTTAAAAACTCTAATAATAGAAGCTATTTATATAGCTAGATATATAAACCTAGCTATAACTATAATCCCTAAGAAGAGAAACTTATTATCTATTAATAATAACTATTTTTCTATACTTATCTTAATTAATTAATTATATCTAATAAGTTGGCTTGTGTAAATGAAAAAGTAAAAAAAATAGAGTCGAAGGTTGGGTACGGACCGAAACTTAGTTAAAAACAAGTCGTGTGGAGCTAGTCACGTGTGGCCTGATCTTGGGATATCCCTTGCATACGGCAAAGACCCCCAAAAAAAAAAAAAAAAAAATATCTAATAAGTATTTATCTTAATTATAATTATCTTCTTATAAGTACTTATTACTAATAACTACTATAAGTAATAATTATAATAATAAAATAAATATAACTAATACTATTATCTCTTCTTTAGATAACTAAATTTATATAAATAATCTAGCTCTTTAGCTAATAATAGTATTAGTTAGTTAGCAGCTAAAAGAGCTATATCTCTAATATATAAAAAATATAAGCCTCTGATTAATCAAAGAGCTTCTTATAGTAATATAGCTGCTTATAGAATAATAGGTTTAGTAGCTATATCTATTTAGACTATCTCTATAATTTAATAATTATATTTATTAAAAAATATTTTTTTTATTTTCTTATAGCTAGTAATAATAAATAAATAAATTTAGTTATTAATATATTTATAGAGAATTATATTAATATTTCTTTAATATTTAATTATTATTATAATTAAAATTACTATATATATTTTTAATAAATAATATATTAAATTAAACTAATTTAGATTAAAATAGCTTTTTAAATTTAATATTTATTTTAATTAATAATATTAAATAAAAATTAATTAAATTAAAAAATTTCTTAAAAAGAAAAATTAATTAAATAATATTAGAATTATAATAAATAAATTAATTATTATTATAAAATATTTAAAGAAAAATATAATAATTAATTTTAAAGTTATTATATACTAATTAAAAAACTAAATATAATTTTATATAGTATTATATTTTTATATTATTAAAATTATTATAAAATTTAAATAATTTTATTTTAATTAGTTTATAATAAAATAAAATATTTTTTATAAAATTTTATATATATAAGTAAAATTTATAATAATTATATAAAGCCTTAGTTCTAATAACTTCTACTACTCTTTATAAATATATAATTTATTATAATTAGAATTATTATAGTAACTTTACTATTTTAAGAAACTAGCACTGTTTAAAAGTATTAGATTTTTATAACTTAAGAGTACTTTTTACCAGTCAGTAGAGCCTCCAGCTTCAGTAAATCTATCTGATAGCGTGCTTTTGTACTACGCTGAGGAGTGACACTGATCGTGACTTATGCAAATTACTACAGCCCAGTTGAAGCCTACTCCGAGTCAAGCTCGGGGTAGTGCCTCCAGATGCCTTTCCCATACTTCTGCCTTCGATCGCTCGCAAGATATTTCTTGATCCGTGGGCGTTCCTTGACAGCATCATACAGCTTGAACACGCCCTCATACTCTTTGCTCTCCTCCATCTTAGCCAGCGTTTTGGGGAAGGCAAATTTAAGCCCATCGATGCACTGCAGAATCATTAGCAACAGACTCTGAACAAGCATAGCTGGCCTTACCTGGAACAAAACCAGATCAGCATACGAGAGTGAGCCGCAATACAACCATGGCCCTTCCCCACTAGCCTCGCCCTTGAGCACACGCTCAAAGTAACCTATAAACTTGGGAAGGCGGCTGTCAATGTAGTTTTGCGCCCTCATCTTCGCCGCTTCCTTCTGATCCTCATAGTAATAGTCCACAGAAATCGGGTGGTGCACATCATGAGCCTCGTTGCTCAGCCCATCCAACGCCGTAAGGGCAAGCTGATTGACGTGGAAGATGCCATTGCTCTCATTGTCGTACTTCGGTGCGAGACCAAGACGGGTGGATAGGTACTGAAGAATGTTGGGCAGTTGGTGGATTATAAGATCGCCATGTTTTAGGATGGGGGGTGCAAAGGGTGGGGGATTGGAGGTATCGCCCGTGTTTGTTTTGGAGGTCTGGGCCATGACCAACTCGATAGCATTCTCCTCGACCGCTGTATCTGTGTAGGAGGCCCCAGCTTCTTCCAGCATAAGGCGGATGGCCTCACCGCGACCGGGGACGGTTGGCCAGTAAATGAGGTTGTAGGGGACGTCCTTGACCGTCTCGGGGCGTTTGACAGAGGGAGATGTTGAGCTCATTTTGATAATCGCAGTGTTTGACTTTGTGTTCGATGTTAAGGGAACCCGAGAGACTACTTTGGATACGTTGATTTTGTCCGTGAGAATATCAAGGAGGCACTTAAAGCGGGGCAATGGCTGTTGCAGGGGTGCTGAATCACTCTGGAACAGGCTAAATCTTGGCTCGCTTATACACCCAAATAGGAAAGTGTGTACCCATGAGGAGGGTGGATTTCATCATAGCTAGCTTGAAGCTTAATCAAGCTTTATGGATCCCAAGTATACACTAGGCAAGCTCGGCATCTGCATACCATGTAGACCCACGGAGTTCGGTAATGCCTGTGGATCCCTCTTCTATGACGTGGCACACGTGACTCGTCGAATTGCAATGAGTAATTGGAGATATAGCTATGCCTTTTTTGTTGAGCTCGAGTGATTGTATGAGGTTAATGGCTAATGTTCCCCCTTTCGCCAAACGTGAAGTATGTTTGATATAGATGCTTCAACCCGTTGCAAACCCCCAAACTACGTGTCGAGTGATGTGTGAGAGGCGCACAGGAGGTACGTGTGTTGCCTGTCAAGAAGGCGAATCTCTCGACCGGGTGGTCCCGCCACTCGCTGCTCCTGGCTCACCGCGAGTAGACTAGGTTCATTGTTCCACCCGGCGGTAACAGTTGCCAGCCCCAATATTCACCACAGCAAGGACAACGTGGTCGTAAGCAGAATCAATAAATAAATAAAAAGAAAAAAGCGGACTATCATTTGCTACAAACTAGACTAAAAGATTCTAAAGATTCTAATCCATTCCAGAACCAATCTGAAGAACCCGGATTTTCGACATTTAAGCCTTGGCGCCCAGTCCGTTATACCTTACAAAGGGATGAACACCCTACTCTTCAGATGTAGTTGGTGGAGCCGGGTCAAGCCTGTAGGACATATGGTGGAGAGGGGGGGGTTCAACCAGAGCTCGGCCATTGAGCTCTCTCGCATCGACCCAGTTGCCATGGATCTGAGCTCGCGTGCGTATTGGAAGCTCGATAACCGCAACAGGATTCTGGAAGTCCTTGGTGTCAAGAATTACCAGGTTGGTGAGGTTGAACTCAAGACGGTCAACTGCAAAAATGATATAGCCATCTCCTTCTGGAGAGTCATCAGACCGGGGAATGAAGACGGGTTCCTGGCACCGGCACTGAGGTCCCGGGTAGTAGACCTCCAGCTTACCGGTGCTCTTAACGAGCATTGCAGTAGCATTGAGCCCTTCGAAAACATGCTTATCGCTGAGAGGTCCCTTCTCTTCTGAATAATAGATATTCATGAAGATATGGTCATACTTCTTGCAATAGTAGCGCTCATCGATACGACAAAACTCATTAGGAGCATCCACCAAGGTAACCGGGTCGGGAATGCCAGTCTCCGTTGGCTGCTTGATGTCAATCTCAAGACGAACCAAATCCACATTCGTCTGCTTGGGGGGTTTTTTCTGTCCATCAGTAGTAGACCAAAATGGGAAAAGCACTGTTCGTGGCCAAGTACCCTCGAAATAGATCTTGTCTCCCTCCTCCCAAGCGCCGGCCGTGTGCACCATCTCAGAGTTGAAAGGATGCGTGTAAAAGCGATGCTCGTAGGGTTTCCACCCTGAGCCCGCCAAAGGTTGTTCTGGTCGTCTTGGGGTCACGTAGAACACGGCCGGACGCTCAGTGTCCCAGGTAGCATGTGTTTCACCAGGTTTTGGCGAGGGATTGAAAGAGGTAGGCCACTGGCAAAAGACAATCCAGTTCTCTGTGATGGCAACGTCGTGCACGAGTCCAGGGATAGACCGCTGAAAACGGTGCTCGTTCCTGACGATACCTTGGCGGTCGACGGAGTAGGATATAATCTCATTTCTGGCATGATCTATGCCCCAAGTAACCAAGTGATCGGCATGGGGATCGATTTTAGGGTGCGCCGTGAAGGTCGGGCTTGAGATCTGGTTGCCATAAGGATCCAAGCCGGTGGTCTCAAGGGTATCTGGGTCCATAGCATATGGAGGGTCCATTTCCTGAAGAGCAAGGAGCTTACCAGCCCAGTAGACAACATTGGTATTGCTTGTTGTGCTCAAGACAGCCCGTATGCAGGGATGCTGTGCGAGAGGATGGTCCCGAACATCTTTCCAAAGGCTCTGCTTCTTGTTTCTCTCGACCTTATATCGGTCATTCTTGACGTAGCGTATCTTGAAATCCACTTGACCCTTATGGATGCGAAAGGCACTGACAACCCCATGGCCGCTGAGGGGACTGTGTCCAGAAAGTGTAGGGGTGAAGTGATCTGACCCCACGCGGTAAAAAGTTCCATCCACAGAGTCTGGGATGGTGCCTCTAACCATGACATCACCAATTTCACCTTCAAGGCGAATTGGTATATCATGTCCACCCAGGTCCTCTGTCAAGGCCCATTTGGATGGGAGGTTCTCAGCACCCTTGATGGGAGTAAAGGTTGTCATGATGATCAAATAAGGGGAAAGAGTCTTTGGAAAGTTGAACTGATATTGTGGCAAAGAGATTTAGATTGTAGCAGGAGAAAAAAAAAACGAAGAGGTTATACCGGCCTTTATATATTTGAAATACGCCTGGGATGATGAAGGGACGACAGCTTAACGGCGCCGAGCGCGAACACCAGAGAGAAGGCGAGGCGATGCCGAGAAATCTCCACCCCGGAACTTGCAGAATATGAAATCACAAGGTTGCCATTGGAAGTGCCAATTCATTAGCAAATGTACATTTGTTTCGAGGTACGGGTCATGTTAATTCACATTTCAGCCTATTTACGGGCTTCGTATGAGTGTCTGTTTGGCCTAGACTCAAGGATAGTTTGCTCAGTCAGCGGTGATCGGCTGAACTGAAAGTTCCGCAAGTGCGCTTACGTGACATTCAGGCTCCTACGTTAAGCCCGGTCCATCCATATCCGAATTCTGCTTGCGAATACATGGCTGTTGACTGGCCGAGGACTTGTTACGATGACATGCAGCTAGGATGGGCTCCGTTATCCCTGCAACTTGCCCGTGCTTCTCCTCAACTACCTACCTAGCCACCCAGTTCGCCCTGATCGCCATGGCCTCCCCTCTCTTCTAGCGTCGCCCACTCCTTACTCACCAAAGTATACCTGGTCCCTCACGCACATGGTAACGGCGTTTGGCAAACGGCAATTATTTTTGGGTGGAAAATGAGCTGGCGTTTGCAGGACATAGCCTAGCCAGCAATTGTTGTTCATTTGATAGTCCTTTTGCAAGTTGTGTCCGCGATAGCTAAGGTTACCCCCTAACTAATTCACGCTAGAGCAGCATCTGGCTTCTACGGCACGTCTGCCCTGCTTAATCAATCAAATCAATCAAAGCATATGGTCCCTTCCCTCAGTTAGCACTATGGTTGTCAGCTTGCTCACTCCAGTTCCCCCAGTGCTATAATTGCCAGAAACCTGCTTGATAATAACCCCTTTGTCCTATCCGTTGGTTATGGTGAATCTACTCTCCTTGAATGCAAAATAACAACCAGGTTTTAATAAGGCGGAAGTACTTCTGAAGCAAAAATTATCTCTAACAGTGTTCTTCAAAGGTTACCAGATTGCCACAAAGCTGCCTCAATCTTCAAGTTATCGCCGGTGGTTCAGTAATGGATTCAGATAGCCTATAAATATTCATCTATCTAATGGGTGCCTAGATATCGCTTCGCAGGTTACGGGCGAGACTACTATGATAGAACCGCTAACCTGCGACACCTCTGTAACATGTTACTGACACACCTAATGCTACCAAGTCACAGAGATTAGCTACAAATTATCAGAGTTTCGCGATGAACTCCTCTATACCTGCAAGTAGTAACTCGGGTTGTTTAAGGGCGGCGAAATAACTACCCTGCCTATAATATTAGATTATAAATATAGTCTATAGGAAGCTATATATTTTATTATATTTAGTAAAGAAAACTAAGTTCTCTATAGTTACTTTTACTATAGACTTAGATATAGTTTAAAGTTTATAAGAGAAGATAAATATTTAAACAGCTTTATTTTCAGTATAGAGATAGTATTTATATTTATAATATTATAATATAGCTAAATAGATCAGGGGAAATATATTATAAACTATAATAATAGAGTAAATAAACTATTTAAAAGAACTAATCTAATAATAGATAGTTATATAATATATTTTATAGTATATACTATTCTTATTATATAAAATAATACTATATAATAAATAATTATAATATTAATTTCTTATTAGTATACTCTATTACTTTTTCCTTTAGAGCTATTTAATATAGTTTAAAGATTTATTATAGTAATAATAATATAAGTATTTTATTACTATATAGTAAATAGAATATAATTAGAATAATAATAAAAACTTATAATAGATAGCTTTATTTTATTTATAAATAGTTAAAAAAGTTATAATTAAAATTAAGCTAATATTTTCTCTTTATATAATATAACTATTATTAAATTCTAGTTTTATAGTTAAACTATAAATAACCTCTATAATATTTAATATAGTAAAATTCTACTTTAGTAGAGAATTTATAAAAAGAGTATAGCTTAATAAGAAGAATATTATAATATAGTATAGTAATATATCTAGTATATATTAACTATTAAATATTTCTAAAATTAGTAAAAACTTAATAAATAATTCTAGATTATAATATTAAATATTTATATTTATTTCTTTTAAAGAAATATAAAAAATATTATAAAAATAAGTAAAAATAGATATATAATAAAACTTATCTAGCTATTTATAAAAAATAATAATAAGCTTTATATTATATCTAGCTAAAAATTAAATAATAAAATATATATTATTATTATAACTTATAGATAAATCTATTATAAAATTTATATATAAATTAATATATTTTTTTAAAATAGTAATAGTTAAATAATTTTAACTAAATAGATTTTATATTAAATATCTATTCTCTAATAATACTAAACTATCTATTTAACTAAGATTTTTTTTATATTAGTAGTCTGTCTTTAAATAGCTTTAGAAGTTAATAAAACTTACTAATACTATTCTCAGAGACTTAAGGGTAAAGAGACTTAGCGCTTGTTTAATATAATTAGGAACTCGAGTGAATACTTAATAAGATATAATGGCCGAATGTCCAAGCGCATGTTATTGCATTAGCAAAGTAATAAGTTTATGGCTACTGAACATATGCTGGGCATTAAATAGGGGTGAGGAGCTACAACCCGAACGCTCTGTAATCGGTATATAATGGTGCCCGAGCCTCCGAAATCATATGTCTAAGAAAATGTAGATGGTCCAGGAGCTTCTCGCATACCTAACTTATGCAATGTTCTTGCCGATCCTCACACCCCACTCACTGGTGTCAAACTACGGAATTGAGACTTGCAATTGTAGCTGTCATTCGATGGGAAAGATCCTGGACGCTGGACGGAGTTGAAAAGACGCCGAAACCCGTTCCCTTGGCGGCAGAACCATCCTATCAGCCGTCACCTGCAGTGCGAGGCATATTGTGAGAAGGCCAGACGGGTGCCTTGAGGTTCTGCGTGAAATAACGTGCCTGAATCGTCTAATTGCTGTCTATAGATCATGATAGATCAGTGACGAATTCCGTTTTAGGAGGGGCAGCTGATATTGAGGCCTGCCTCCGAACTTCTCGAGGTTGCAGGTATTATTATACTATTAATAAAGTTCTGAAACCTATCTATATACTACTTACTGTCCTGCTATAAATATCTAGTATAAAGTAAGATATTTATTACTTAATATTTAATTATATATATAGTATTAATTCTATTCTCTTATATAAAATATATTTATTTTTTTAATAATTTTTTATTATATAATTTATTTTATAATTATATTTATATTAAATTTAAAAAAAAAATATTAAAAAAAATATTAAATTATTATTAATATCTAAATATTAAAAAATTAATTTTAATAAAAATAATAATTATTATATTAATAATTATTAAAAAAAATATTTTAATTAATAAAATAAATATATTAATATTAATATTTTAATTAAAAAACTAATTTTTTTTTAAAGTTTTTACTATATATAAAAGATATTCTAAAATTAGATTATATATAACTAAATCTATATAATTTATTTTAAACTAAATTTTAATCTATATTTAATTTTTAATTCTATTTTTTATTTATTTTTTTATTTATATAAGCTAAAATAAAATAATAGTTTCTCTAAAAACTTTAAAAAAAACTTATTAAATATATAATTTAGCTATAAACTCTAAAGAAAAATATTTATTATTTATAATTAATTATAATATCTTTTTTAACTTATTATTACTAATTATTAATATTTAAATCTCTTTTTATAATTATAATAATAAATATCTCTAATATTATTATCTCCTATAGCTAGAGTCTAATTATTATATATAATTAGTTCTTTAACTATATAATAATAATAATTAGTAAGAACTCTTATACTCTTATTAATAATATAAAATAATTAAGTTTATACTTTATTATTAGATTTTTTATAATTATAAAACTACTTTTAATTATATAAATCTAATAATTATAATTACTAGATCTAATACTATATTATAAAGTCTATAAAAAATAAAAAATAGATTTTACTCTATATAAAATATTTAAAAAAAAAGAACTAGATAATAATCTCTAAGTATTTAATAATAATAATAATCTAAAATATAGTTTCTAATTCTAATATATTATATATTAATAAAGACTAAATATAGTTTATATAATATTAAAAAACTAATAATTAAATTATTTATTTTAAATTTAATATATTAAAATATTTAAATTAATTAATATATTTAGATTAATAAATAAAAAATTAATTAAATAAAAGCTATTTTTATATAAATTATTTTAATATAATATATAATATATTAAAATTAAAGATAATAAATTTAAATAGAATAAATATATATTATAAAATATTTATTATTAAGATATATTTTTTAATTTAATTAATTCTTATCTTTAATAAATATATTATTAATATCTAATATCTTATTATTCTAATATAAAGATAATTTAAATAGATATAGTTATTAGATTTATTATTCTATAAATAGCTATATTATTATAAAAGATTTTTAATTAATTAGAGATTTATATTTTTTATATATTAAAAATATAGCTTTTTTAGCTACTAATTAATTAATACTATTATTAATTAAAAAGCTAGATTATTTATATAAACTTAACTATCTAAAGAAAAAATAATAATATTAGTTATATTTAGTTTATTATTATAATTATTATTTATAATAGTTATTAGTAATAAATATTTATAAAAAAATAATTATAATTAAAATAAAGTATAATTAATTAATTAAAATAAAGTATAATTAATTAATTAAGATAAATATAAAAAAATAGTTATTATTAATAAATAATAAATTTCCTCTTTTAGTAATTATAATTATAGCTAGGTTTATATATTTAGCTATATAAATTGCTTCTATTATTAGAGTTTTTAAGATATTAATATCTATATCTAGATTAAAAGTATAAGATTTAATTTTTATTCTATAAAAATTTTAAATATAGATTACTAATTATAAATATAAAAAAGCTCTATATTATAAATAAATTATATATTATATCTAATCTTAGAATAATTTTACTTATAGCTAAAAAAAAAAAACTAAAAAAAAAAAAGTATATTAAGTTATTAAGCTCTAGTAGCTTTATTATTATTAAACTCTATTCTGTTTCTCTTCTGTATCGAGATAAGAATTATTAAGAAAGTAGTTATACAGCTTGTGATTATTGTCGGTATTTCCTTGGCTGTGTTAAGGCTGGTGGAGCTAGGCTGGATGCCTGTCAAGGTTTTGCTACTGAGTATACTTTTGGCCGAGGAAATGCTGTGAACTTGCAAGTACTTCCTACCAGAGTGTATTGTTGAGCAAAACGACATACCGTACCGCCATCATATAGTGGTCAAATTTTGGACTCAAAAGGGATGACAAAACAGTTTCTTGAAACAATTTCCTCTTTGAGATGTCTCGCGAAGTCTCGCATGCCATTGATAATTGCGAAAGCTTATAAATCAGTATTCAATTGCCTCGTAGCTGATGTAGGCGCGCGCTCTCCAAGTTCTGTAGTCTGATATAAGATCTATGCGTTGTGGGCAGTGTGAGAATCCATGCGCCAAACAACCCCGGCATTCCGTCCCCAATGTCAAACAACATCTACGACAATAGTGAGCGGGCGGTACAGCATCTCGCTGCCCAGACAATAAGCTCTCGGAATGTTTCATGAGATCGAACGAGATCTTATCAGACCCGGAATCAGCGAAAAAGTACTAAAGAACGAGATTTACCAGCTTGGCGCAACTCAGTACGGCATCGAAATCCACTGGCATAAACGACTTGTCAGGAGCGGCTCGAGCGCCCTACGGCCTTTCCAGGAGAATCCCCCTGATCGTATCATTGGCGAGGATGATATCCTTGTTATTGAACTCGGTCCGGTCTTTGAATCATGGGAGGCTGATTTTGGAGGACTTATGTTCTTGGAGACGACCCCCATAAGAAGAAGATCCGGAATACCCTTGACCCAATTTGGAACAGGGTCAGGAGCTGATTCTTGGAAAATCCGGACATGACAGGAGAGGAGCTCTAAAATATCGCCGTTCAGGCTGCCGAGGAAGACGGATGGTCATTTGGCGCCGATTTGGCTGGCCACCTTGTCGGATCGTTCCCCCATGAACACATTCCCCGCGACAAGACGACTCTCTATAATCTCAAGGGGAACAAGGTGCCCATGAGCACCTTAGGCAAGAACGGGAAGAAAAGGCATTGGATCTTGGAGATCCACCTACAGGATCACGCGCGAGGGCTGGCGACATTCTACGAGCAGCTCTTAACTGCCGGGTGATGTGATGGGCTGGCAGCTGGCATGGGATTAGGTTTAAAAGTGAGAAACTAGTCTCAGAATCATTCATTTGACTTATGGAAACTGATTGGACTTGATTTGATTGGCCCCAATCACTTGAAGCCACCGCAGACTAACCAACCCCAAACTAAGGTTGCCTTCCTTATTGGGACCAGGTCCGAAGTGACAGGGATGCCGATTTCGTAACTTTAGCTGATTGGATATGGCTTTCGGGTGTGGATAAATGCTGGAGCGCAAATGACTGGAACCTCCTAAACCTGTCTTGTCTGTTAGCCAGTAACCCCAATGAATCTCTGCTGGTGATCATTGTGGCTTGGTGTGATTAGCATCTCTGTGGCAATCTTATATCATCTCCCTTGCTTATTCGTGAAAGAAGCATCATGCCTGCGCACAAACGAAAGCTCTCTTTCCACCCCAAGCCTCCTCTCCACCATGTTCGCTCGTCGGGTCGATTGAGAAAACTTCGTTACGCTGTCGAAAGCGATAGCGATAGCGAAATAAGTCCCAAGCCCGCCCTAGAAGCTTCGGAAAAGAGGCAAAGTCTTGGTCGCCAACGTGCTAGGACGGATGAATCAGGAGACGAGTATATTAACGACGTTGAGTCCGAAGAGAGCGGAGAAGAGGACCAAGATGAAGAAGGCGATCGAACCGACGACGACAGCGATTCAAAGCTACGAACGCCCCGACGAGACCAATCGGACGGAGACCTTGACGAAGATGAGCTGCCGAGGGTTACCATCATTCCTCTCGAGCGACTGAGAGAGACAGGCGATATCGAATACGTCGACTATAGGATTCACCCAAACAGTCTTCTGTTTTTGACCGACTTGAAAGACAACAACAACAGAGCGTGGCTCAAAGGTATTGTTTTAATGTTACAGACCGTCGGATCGAGTGCTGACGCCCCAAGCTCACAATGGAGAGTTCCGGCGAGCATTCAAGGACTGGGAGACCTTTGTGGAATGTACAACATCCTCGGTTATAGCTGTAGATGAAACGGTACCCGATCTACCAGCCAAGGACGTCATGTTTCGCATCTACAGAGACCTGCGCTTCAGCCCGGATAAGAAGCCATACAAGGTAAGCGTTATGCCGATTTTCCGGACAGCTTCGGTGAGACTGAATGCCATAGGCACACTTTTCCGCAGCATGGTCCCGAACTGGACGAAAAGGGACGTATGCGCACTATTACATACATTGCGAACCGGGAGCATCCATGATTGCAGGCGGAATCTTTGCTCCAAATGCCCAACAGCTCCAGAGCATCCGGTCGAGCATTGACGAGAGACCTAGGCGGTGGCGGCGGATCTTGAACGAGAACAGTCTCAAGCAGTCGTTTATGCCCGGGATAAAGACGGGGTCAAGGGAAGAGGACGCGCTCAAGTACTTTGCCCATGAGAACAAGGAATCTGCTCTCAAGACGAAGCCAAAAGTGGGTAGTACGTCGTCGAGTAACGGATCCAGTAGCTAACTTGGAGACTCAGGGCTTTATTGCTGACCACCGGGACATTGAACTCTTGAAACTGAGAAAGTTTACTCTGAGCAAGAAGATCGAGGACGACTTACTGCTCGCCGATAATACGCAAGAAAAGATTATAGAGATTCTAAGGCCCTTGGTCGGATTTGTAAGTTACCTGACTATAGCCTTGTAACGGTCTAGTCCATCACTGATGCGTGTAGATTACCTTCCTCAATAGCATCGTCATGCCGGATGGGGATTCGAGTAGTTCGGACAGTGATCATTTCAGGGGGGACGATTAGAGTTTCGTATACGAGGCTGTAGATTGAAGTACAGGGACCTAATCAAGGATCATTCTGTAAAGGGCTACTGAAGGCTGTGCCAATGGAACCGTGAAGCCTATTAATAATGAATGTGGAGATCGTGAGCTGTATTGCATCATTCACGCTACAATGACTCATTCACCGACTTTCGGTTGTGCATCTTAATTCCTCATGCCAAAGTACCGAGGTTCCCACAAACTGCCGTAGTTGAGTGATGCCCGACCTCCACGGCATAACTCGTAGAAGTTCCCTTGGCTTATAAAAGGCCAGGCAGCTGGCCTTCGCTGTGTTGTGGCATCCTTTATCAGCCACCGGCCAACTCGTCCAACTCGTCCAACTCGTCCAACTCGTCCAACTCGTCCAACTCGTCCAACTCGTCCAACTCGTCCAACTCGTCCAACTCGTCCAACTCGTCCAACTCGTCCAACTCGTCCAACTCATCCAACTCATCCAACTCATCCAACTCATCCAACTCATCCAACTCATCCAACATGGCTCACTTTGACCCCAACGACTTGTCCCGCTTTGACAGCTTCCACATTCTTGAGACTTCCTACAAGGTCGTCTCTAATCACAAGATCGCCTGCCATGTACTCATCCCCAAGGCCCTATTCGAGCGTGCCAAAGATAACCCGACAGATCCTCGACCGATCCTATTTCGCATCCACGGCGGCGGTTTCATATCCGGGTCGAGCCTTTTCCCAAACTTCTTTGCCCTATGGCACCTCGAACTCGCAACTCGACACGATGCCATCATCGTGAGCTGTGACTACAGGCTGGCGCCCGAGGCCAGCATCCACAAGATTGTAGAGGACATCGATGATTTTTTGAAGTGGATTTATACCGATCTGCAAGGCTTAATCAGCACCAGTTCAAATGTCAACGTCGATATAAACCGCATCATGATGGCCGGAGACAGTGCGGGCGGCTATCTCAGTCTTCTCGTTGGCCTCAACCATTCTAGCGAGATCCGTGCTGTAACAGCGTCGTACCCTCTGGTTGATGACAAGAGCCCGCATTTCACAGAAGCGTACGATAAGCCAATGTTTGGGTTTCCTCATCTTCCGGTATCCATCTGGGATGAACACAAGGCCCGGTTGAAGGCCCATGAAATCCCGCCCGTCATCTCAGCCGACCCTCAGCTCACACGCGGCGAGCTAATGTTCAGCGCTATCCAGAACGGAAAGTTCAAGGATATTTTCCCCAGCGACGAAAGAGCTTTTCACATCTTGGAAAAGATCGAGGATGGCGGTCGGTTCCCTCGGGGTGGCGTGTTTGTTTGGCACGGAAAGGGAGACACGGTGGTCCCTGTCGAAGGCAGCGTGAAGTTGTCCGAGTTGCTGGCTGCGGTCGACCCGGAACTTCCATTCACCTTGGCTATCCAGGAAGGTGATCATGGGTTCGATGAAAAGGCGTCGATTGACGAACCGTGGATGGAGGAGGGTTTGAAGGGTCTGATTGCTGCATGGCTGGCCTGAGGCCGGACCATTTATCCCAGTGATTATAGTACCAACACGATTTGCTATTTCTGATACCACCTTGATAATGTACTCATTATAACAAGGGGCTTTTCTGATGCTCTAGGATAGATTGTTGATGCCCCATGGAATAGTCTAAATATCCGCCAAACACCGGCAATAACTTCTCCCTGTAGTGATCGCTTACTCGCGCTCTACTTGGGGGGCCTAAATCCGCCGGCCCCCCTACCTACAGTAGGGGGGGGTCAGCGACTAGTGAAAAAGACAGTAACTTATAAAAAAATAAGTAATCTAGTATATCTGCTAATTTTTATAAATAGTATAGATACTATCTTTTTAATATATATTCTACTTATTACTATAGTTAATTCTATTAATTTAAATACTAATATAATAATTATTTACTTTATATAATATATCTATAATATATTATCTAATATAATTCTATAATTAATAATATAATAATTATATTTAAAATTTAGAAAAAATATTATCTAATTTAGAATTAGATAATAATAATATTATATTAAGATAGATTAATCTTATAATAAAAAAGCTTATTTTTTTATAGTTTATATCTAATAATCTTAAATAATATACTATTATTATAATTAAACTCTTCTATACTTATTATTATAAAATAATTATAGTTATAAATAAAGACTTTAGAGTTCTATATTATTATTTTTATAATTATATTTAGAGTTATTTAAATATTAATTTAAATAGAGAGCTTAATACTCTTCTTAATAAAGCCTAGATAAAGACTATAGTTATATAAGCTTATTATTAGATTCTTATAAGCTTCTATATTTAAAATTACTAGTTTTATTAATATATTAATACTATTCTATAAACTTTAGAGAAAGAAGATATAGCTTCTAAATAATAATATAATTACTTTATAAAGAAGTATAAAACTATATTCTATCTTTATAAAGCTCTTTTATAAGATATAAAAAGAAAGAGTATTTAAAAATAAACTATCTTAACTAATTAGTTTAACTACTTTAAGGGTTATTTATAGTATAATTATATTAATAAGTATAATATATAGAATTTTAATAAGATTAGCTTTATAATAGAATATCTTAAAAAAGAAATATTTATCTAGATCTTTCTTAATATTAATTAGCTAGTATTAATAGATTTATATAATAAAGTTATAATTATAAGTATTAACTATATCTTAATAGCTAGAGTAATTATTTTTTCTTTTCTTATTATTCTTAGTATTTAAATTCCTATAAAATAGATTTAGAATAATTTTAAACTAAATATTATTATTTATATAAATATAAAGAGATATATAACTAATATAATTACTTTAGAATAAATTAAGTATTTTAATAAATATATAAAGTCTAATAACTCTAAGAAAATCTAGATCTTATTAATAGATAACTAAAAATATTATCTTACTAATAAATTTATTAAGTATTATTATCTTAATAATATTATTCTCTTTCTACTACTACTAAATTTAATATATTATTTTTAATCTTATAATATTAGTATTTTTAGTCTATATAAGTACTAGTATTAGAAAGTATTATATTAAGAGATTATAAATAGTATCTATAACTTTAATAAAACTAACTTCTTCTTTTATCTTTAAAAAATATATAATTATATATTTAAAAAGTTAATTATTTTCTTAATATAGTAATAATCTAAGCTTTTTCTATATAATCTATCTATTATATTAGATATACTTTAGAACTTTCTATTATTACTAACTCTAAATATAAATAAAGTTATACTGCTAGGTTTTATTAAAATTAGAAATAAAGTTAGAGATAAAAATAAGAATTCTTTATCTAATAAAAGTTCTTTCTTATTAGAAGGTTTAGATTTAGAAGAATTATAGCTAAGTATATAATAACTAGCTAGTATTATAATACTATAAAGAATATTATATTATAAATAAAAAAAGATCTTAATATTAATCTTTAATATTCTTATAATTAAGTAATATTATTAGTATATTTAACTTTAAATTAAACTCTTAATTAGCTTAAATCTATTATTAATACCTTTAGTATTATAAACCTATAATAAAGTCTATAAGATTAGCTAGGCTCTTAAGCTAAATAGTATTATAGCTTTTAATAAGTTTTACTATTATAAAGAGAAGATATTAATTAGATAAAAACTATATAATAAGAGATATATTATAACTAGATTTAGTTTAATCTCTACTAGTAATATCTAAAGCTATATAGTAATAGATAACTATAATTAATATACTATATAGGAAGATAAGGTTTAGTAAATTAAATAGAAAGCTATTTATAATAAAGAGGCTTTTCTATAGTATTAGTTTTATATTATTAGAGGCTTTATTTAAAAAGATATATTAAAGATAAACTATAAGGAATTAAAGATTCTTAGTTCTAATAATATAGACTTCTTAGAAGATAATCTTATTCTTTAATTATAGTTTTATAAGTAAGATAAATATACTTTTCTTAATTTAATAGAGTTAATAAGTTAAGTATATACTTTAAATTATTAATTATATAAATAGCTAGCTTATTAACTATAATAGTTAGAATTATTTATATAGCTAATAGTTTATAATAAATTCTATATTATTATTATAATTAAACTAGTTATTATAAAGAAAAGTAATTAGAAAATAAAGAAAAGAATACTATTATAGAAAATAGATAGAATTAGTATATTTAGCTTTAAAAAAAGTAAATCTAAAGTTTTAGTATTAGAAGAGATATTTATTAAAATATAGAATAAATAGTTATAATATAGTAACTTAGTATTATAATAAAGTAGACTATATTATATAGTATAATAGAGTAGATTATAATAAAAGAGGGATATTTATTTAAATATTAGTATCTATACTACCTTCTAAATTAGTAAATATACTAGATTACTTATTTTTTTATAAGTTACTATCTTTTTTACTAGTTACTAACCCCCCCTACTGTAGATAGAGAGGCTAGCGGATTTAAGCTCCCTAAGTATTTATTAAATAAAAAGACTGCTAGGATTTAGGATAATCTATATATATAGTATTAGTATAGAATAAAAAGTTCTTTCTCTTAATAGAAGTTTATATATATATATATATATTATAATTTATTTTTAAAGTATTAAAAAACTATTTTTAATTTTAAAAATAATAGTTTTTTTTATTATAAGTTAATTTATCTCTATAAGTATAGTATATATTTACTATTATAGAAAATTTTTATTAAAAATAATATAGATTTAATATTAATCTAATATCTATTTATATATACTTAGTTATACTATATAATAATAATAAAACTAATAAAAAGAAGTTTAATTATTTTATTAAGATTTAAATTTAAACTATAATAAAAAATATAGCTTAATAGTATATTTATAGTTAATATAAGTTCTACTAATACTCTAGTATAGATAATATTTTTAGAAGATAATCTATATATAAAATCTATTTCTCTAATAATTATTAACTCTTCTCTCTCTTATAACTGCTAACTATAATAGTTAAATAAATTATACTAGACTAGATCTAGAGTAGATTAGAGTTAAACTAATTAGAGTATTATTCTAAGTAATATAATCAGATTATTATAGACTATATAATATAAGTTACTATTAATATATAAATATTATAGAGCTAGTAATAATAGATATATAGATAATATTATTAATAACTATCTAAAGAAGTATTCTATCTAGTAAAATAAAGATATATATATATTTATTATAGAATACTAGAAATATATTACTCCTAGTAATCTAGCTATATTCTATAATAGAAATATAATACTTCTATTACTTTTATTCTTTAGATAGTAGATTATATAACTATATAATCTATTATAGAGATCTTTATTTATAATATAATACTTTCTCTTTATTAGTTTTATTTTTAAAATCCTTTATAATTTTAATATATAATAATTAGATAACTTATACTAGATAGGGTCTAGAGTAGATTAGGATTAAACTAATTAGAGTATTATTCTAAATAATATAATTAGATTATTATAAGCTATATAATATAAATTACTATTAATATATAAATATTATAAAACTAGTAATAATAAATATATAAATATAAATTTATTAATAACTATCTAAAAGAGTATTCTATTTAGTAAAATAAATATATATATATACTAAAGAATTATTAATACTTTATAATAATCTATTACTTTAAATTATTAGAATTATTATAAGATTCTAATAATCTATTAATAATTAATTAGAAAAAGTAAAATATATTATATAACTCTAATATATAATAATATAATTTATAATATAAAGTTCTCTTTTTATTAATTATATTCTTAAGATTATATTTTATAACTTATTAATAAGTTTTTTCTAATTTAATTTTATATTCTCTTTATAATCTATAATAATATCTAACTATATATAAAAAGCTTTCTATAAAAAAACCTTTTAATATAATACTTTTATTAATATTATTCTATTAAATTCTTTAATAATATAATTAGAATATAATTATTATAAGTTCTATAATTATAAATACTTTAAATTAAAAAGTTCTTTATTTTATTATTTCTACTATATAAAAAATAATTAATTATATTATAATATTTAAGATTTTATATTAAAATAATTAAAATATATTATTAATTAGTATAATAAACTAGAGTTTAAACTAGAAATAATAGAGAAAAAGTATTATTATATAAATATAAAAATCTAGTATTTTTATTAATAAAAAAAATTATAATTAAATAAGATAATATAAATAATATCTTATAGTATTAATAATATAGAGAAATTAAAATATATTAAATAAAAGAAAATAAAAGAAATAGTTTAAAAATAGATTTTATTTTTAATTATATTTTTATTTAAATTTATATTCTTAGAGATTAAAATTAATTTAATATTTCTTTAGAAAGATATAGAACTATTTTTTTCTTAGTTTATTAGAATAAATATTTCTAGTTTTAATAATATTACTAAATAAGCTATTAATAATTCTTTAAATACTTAATAAATTTCTA